GTATTATTGTACGCGTTCCGTTGCTTGATCCTGTCGATGAGACTGAGGAATCGTAAAGCTTCTGGGTGAAGATTTTTTTTTTTTTTATTTCTTTGAGCGAACATAGCACATTTATTTTATGAGAGTCAGTTACGCTACTTACGACCGAACAATCGCAGATAGAGGAGAATATGGGCGCCTGCCTTAACGACTTATTGGTTTCTGCCCCTATTCCTTACAATGGTCGCTGCTGTTGGTTAGTTTGCAAGGAACGCAACCAATTCAAATATATGTGGGGTGCTTAGACGTGGGAAATTAGTTTGCATTCCATTGGCATATGAAATCACTGTATAGGAGTAATTTAGACACTGGAGAACGACCGGTATCCTGACGTCTTTCACAAGTATTACACGGTAATGACGAGTAAAATAATGCATGCCGGTGTACACGCCATCCATATGAAAACTATCAGGAGTGGAATTCAAACTTACGATGCATGACAAAATCTGCAGCGCGGACTTGAACGTTATGAGTTGATAACATCGCGTTTGGGCCAGCACTGTTTCCAGAATTTCTGCGTCATCTCCAAATCTGGGGGGGTATCGGCCACACAACTCTCAGACAGACTTGCGTATAGGTACGAATTTACGTGCGCGCCACGTGAACTGTTGTTTTTATTTCGACAGATACTACCGTTGCATTTTTGGCAGTCGAGTCCTTACCTGCTGCTGCGGAGTTCTAATCTGGGACATCGAAAGAAATACGTGCAATGATCCTTGCAATGTTGACAGAGAGGAATGCAGACCACCAGACTGCGAGCATCAAAAATTTACCACGCTACCATGGAGCGGAAGTCGAACTTGGGGTTTAGAGAAATAAACTGATGGCTCGAGCGTGCTACGCATAATTTTAGCACAATAAAAAAAGGATTATAAATTTGCGACTTCGTTTCAATTATTTAAGGCTCTAATGATTCGTATTTAAAGAAAAAAAACCGCAAACGTTAGACTAATGCGGTCTGTGCAGGTGAGTTATATGCGGCCAGTAGTCGGATAATTGACTAAAAGTAAACGATTACCTTTTTAATTAGTCAAAGATAAACGCGGTTTAAATTAGAAACTTGATTAGCGTCCACGAAAACCAGTAAATAAATTTGAGAAAGATTTGGGTGGCGCGTGGAAAGTGCAACGGGCACAATGCCAGCGGTTCGAAAACACGACGAGAGGGAAAAGCCGCGAGGGCTCGTTTTCGAACCACTGGCCTGGCGGCTGTTGCACAAGAGGGAACTTTAGCCATATGCTTTAGCCCACCAACGCATTTCCCACGCGCTTCGCATCTTTCTCACGTTGATTATTTAATGGTTTTTAATGGTGCTCAGCAAGTTTCTGAGTGGAACCACGGATCTTTATCTTCGATAGTTAAAACGTTAATAGACGAGTATTAGTTATTTAACGTATTTATCGTGGCGATTATCCTCCGGTACTCCGTTCTCCTGGCCGTATGAATCACCTGCAGGAGCCAAATTAGTGTAGCTTTTGCAGATTTCTTTTTTAACAAATCAAAAGTACTTTTTATTACGAACCTGCGAGTAAACTTAATGTAGATGTTAATTCGTGTGGCGAGCATCTTATCATCATTCAACGTTCAATGGCATTGAGGCATCCATGGATAAGATTGACAAATCCTGAAACAAGAAGCGTGAACGTAATAAACCACGCCCTGCGTTTCTTAAAGCTATCGCTGACTATCAGTGCGCCGCAGTCCGAAACGCGAGAGCGGGTGAACCCCGTGAAAAAGTGCCCGTCCACGGGGAGCAATTACGGGCATACATCTTTGCCGCGCCACGGCCCCACAAAAATGCGTATGTGCACCGAGATAACCCCCGGGAATCCAATCCCGCCCCGTAGCTTACAGCGTATAATTAGCACCCGTACCTCTCAGACTGCACAAGCGCGCCTATAGCGACACGTGTGAAACCACTGTCCCACTTTTCATAACATCGTACAAATGACACGGTGTCCGCTTCAGGCACCATGACAAAATTATCTGCGGAGACGCCTCACGCGTGTTGGAAGCATGTTTACTTTCTACATTAGCATGCTTCCAACGTGTCTGCAGGCAGTTTTTGTGAGACCCATGTGACCGTCACACGAGGAACGCCCCAGACAGTAGGGAGTTTTAGGGAACCCTGTTTGCCCATCCGATATGGTACGATAAGCCGTCCAATACGAACTGCGCATGTTCGAATCTTCTCGAACATGCGCATGCGAAAACGGTTCCCTAAAACTCATGATTGTCTGGAGACTCCCTTTTCTGTTATGTACTAGCAGACTGACCACGGCTTTAGTGGAAGAAAAAAAAAACGGCACTCGGAATGATCCTAACAAGGTAAAGACCTACTATACACTCTGCCACCTTGTTTCTCTTTTGACTTGTGTAGCTAACTTCAAAAGAGATGCCGACCAACCCGTATATCGACAGAAATTTATTATCCCCCCTCCAGACCCCTACACCTTTACACCTGTCCGGACAAAGAGTATATAGTCCGAACAGGCAGGGTAAGCTGGTTCTCGGTGACTGAGCAACACTTGTGCCTCGTTTTGGTCTGGGCAGTCACAAATGACCCGAGGTCTGCATACACGTATACCGTCGAAAAATATCCGGTTGTGGTTGGTTGAATGACGCCTAATTGAAAACTATTTTTGTGTCTACATTCTAATTTATCGTCATTCCCTGTCTCTTAAAATACAAAGAGACTAGTCTCAATGAGTCTAAGGGTCCGCGTCTATGGTTACAAAAAAGAGTCATGTTAGGAAGGCGATAAATACCGGACTGTCGGTTAGGTTTCCCCATTCCAAGAAGCCAGAATTATTTGCAATTTCAACATATACATACATTTTCATTTAAAAAATAACTTTAAATCGAAGTTAGCACTGACTCGTTTTGTTTACAAGCACATGGACAATTTACAAGATCAAACACAAATTTAGTTTTAATGTGTTTTTTCCAAGCCAACAATTATATTTTCTAAGTTTCACTAAGTTTGCTCTGAGCATTAGCAAATAATGTTCTGCTCCCGCGCAAAAATATAAAATTACAGATAGAAGCACGAACTTCAAACGGATGTATTTTTGCCGTCCAAAGTTGGGGCTTGCAAACTACACTGGCCAAACTTTGACGATCAAGTTTAAATCGAAGTCTATGTCGTTTCTTTCCGTGGAAAAATGTTTACAGCCAAACTCGTGAACCTACCGTTTTTGCGGCCGGTAAATATTGATCTCTTTGCTTTCTAGACGACCTCTAATTGCCACATCTCATCATCCATCAAACAATTCCTCCAGACAGCAACAATACTTACTGCACAAAATACGAATTGGGGCGCAAACACCTACATTTGTCTGCACCTCGTTCAACGAGTATCTACCTCAAAATGTTCAGTATTCAACGTGACACAGCGCATTTTTTAATCACGAAACAACCTGTATGAAAGGTGTGATCTCCAAAGGCAATATCAGAATTTACACTTTTACTTTTGTTCAGCACGAATTAAAAAAAAATATATATATATATATATTTTAATAATTATAAATTATTATTATTCTGACCTCTATCAATTTACTCTCACCTATATAGGGTCGTTCCAAAGAGATAACATACTTAGCAAACAATCAAGACAAATGCTTCAGCGCTTACAACGTTATTGCCCTCAGGAAATAACATCAGATGAAAACACTCAAATAGTGAAGGTTCTGCCAGGAAGACATACCTACACAAATGAGCCTTTATTCTCCCATATAAATTGAACCCGCGCATATCGTATGGCTCGTGTTCCAATGATCAAGTTGGGGAACTGTGAAAAACAAAAACAGCCCAACTTTCCTGTTCCTTGTAACCTTCCGCCGAAGCAAACTGTGTTTTACCGTCTTCCAACTTCGTAAAATAGCCGCTAAAATATTACAGCAGAGCTGTTAAGGGATAGTTTCCCCCTTGTTTCGTGTCCGCGGACAAATAAATCTCGACACAACCCTCTGGGCAGCTACCGCCATCTATAAGCGACGGCGGTAACCGGACAACCGGCTTGGCGGTTGTCTGGGTGACGCCGTCGCTCATAGATGGCGGCACATTCGGCTGCTCTTCTTTCTTCACCGAAGTGGAAAGGCTGAAAGTTTTTTCAAGATGTGCATAACAAGGAACAATGTTTGCCCTTGTACAAAGAATCTACTCTTTTCATCTAAGAAAGAGGCACATCACCATCTGTTAACCGAAAACTTCAACTTGCTCCGCACTTTCAGGAAACTGACGAAAAATCTCTTCCCCGCAACGAATCTCCAAACTGCGAACATACCGCATTACCGGAAAACTTGGTGCCCGACAAAGCCTGAGCTTTTGCTTCTGCTTAGGCCTCTTTGAGAACGAACAAGAGCTCCAAATTAATCCTAAGCTACGGGCTTCTCGAAAAACACGAAATCAACCACAAACCCTCTCCCGCCCTTCCCGGAAAAGAAGCCGAAATCTCTACTCCGTTTCACCGTAACTTGGTAAAGAGCAAATGCTACGGCCGCCTCGAGGCAATAAAAGCGGCGGAGGTGACTCACGTGACAGCGTTACGAAAGGTACGAAGGCGAGTGCCGCTCATGGCTTCGGCAGCACTGAACGCAAGGACGCGTTGATTGGCTCACTGAAACTGCAGCCTTCGCCGTTTAATAAGTCACAGTAAGACTGAGTAGAAAAAAAAAAAAGAAGCATACATAATGTATGAAGCTCACTGACTTCCAAACAATGAGAAAAAAAAAGGCTTAGTTGCGGGAACCAAGAAGGGGGCTCACTACTAACAAGTATTATGCTCCGATGTGCTTTGATTAGCACGCCGCTTCTGTCGTAGCCGGGCGAGCGGAGGATCGAATTCACCTAATGAAGCTTGATGGATGAAACTGTGAGCCACTGGAGGAAACCTGTGCGTGCTTAAGAACCCCAGTGCCTCTAAAGCGTGGTGCTCCCATCACTGGTGGACCGGGTATAAAATTTAGTGTCGCCTCACTCGCAAGGTACCACTGAACGCCTCCGTTCGAACTCACTACAGGGAGCACTATGCACAGCTTGGTAAGTCGGTGCGATTCTCTAGTCAGTTGCACTTCAAACAATGTTGTTGTTGTTTTACTTTTTTAACAATAGCCTTTTGGAATACCACAATTCTGTCCAGCACTGGTGGGACAAGTATGACACCAATTAGGAAAAAATAATCTTATGTTTCACATTGATTGAGCAGGTATTGAATGCGAACATTCAAATTAACATTATAGGCGGCTTTCCTCAAAATTCCGTATATAAAACGTAATTCTGCGGCAACCTTTAAATTAAAAAAAAAATCTATTGCTAAAAGTTTTGTTTAGCCTTGACTGATTCCCATTTACTTGTAGAAGCTTTCAAAACCATTGGTTGGCTCACATGAGCAGAACACCTATTTTCTTGGAACTACCTTGCACATAATCTGCTAAGGAGTATCTTGTACTAATCTACATTCACAAAATACAATTACTTCTCTATTAAGACTATTGATATTCGAAAAATGTGTCCGGGTCGTTTTAAGCTAGTAGTGCAAGCGCACATCCGGGTAACTTAGCTGCACGAAACACTAAAAGGAATTGGATGAGCGATGCCCGATGAAATGTTAGTTGGGTATTTACTTTATGTCCGGAATTCGATCCGTCCTGAAGCACAAAAAAACCGTCAATATTTTAGTAAAAAAAAAATGCAAGTGCAATTGTTAAAAAAAAAAAAAAAAGAAGTCAGCTCGAGATTGCATCTTCGTTTAAATAACCCGGTCACAACCAGCCATAGAAAAGTGAAAAGTTATAGTTTTTTTTTTAAATCTTTGATATCATTTTGTTTGTACCGTTATAAAATTTAACTATTCCGATAAACTATGAACTCATTTCCTAACAAAAACTCAGGTTGACTTGTCGTGTACACGTCATATGTTTGCAGATGTTCTGTGTGATAAGTTCACAGTATAGAGCCACTAAATGAGCTACGCTTAGAATATCGGCACTCTGTTACCCGATCTGCTAGTGGACGCCGCCATCTTGGCACTTAGCGCAGAGCAGATGCACCTGTTGATCGGCACATATAAAAAATGCGTCTTCCCCAGCTTTGCACAAGGTGGTAGGAAGCTCAGGTGACATCGTTTTGCTCTGTCGCGAACTGTTCTAACATTTCAGAAGGACGGAAAAACGTTTCCTGTGGTTTCAGATAAAGTTTTACGTAACTGGCAGCCATGATTTTAAGCACCAAGATGGCTAAAGTGGCGTTACTCAGAAGCGTTTCCTATTTAGTGGCTCTAGTCCACTACATAACGGGTCTTTCAGATAATACTAAACAATTCCTATAAATGACCTCTTTAAAAAAAAAAAACTCTTTTCGGGAACAAACTGTCAACCCGGCAGACGTCGGGGGTTGCAAAAACACACTAATTGGCTACCTAACTACACAATATTTACCAATTTACTTTTTTAATTAACGCAGTTTGGTGGCCAATGGAAATGGCAAGTTTGTAGCTGCAGACAAAACGATAAAATGTTCGTTTTAAAAAACAAATATAAGATCGTATTCGTTTAAAATTTAAAAAAAAAGATATATATATATATATATATATAGTTTAGATTGTTTTGTCTGCAGCTACAAACTCGCCATTGGTACGGGCAACCAAACGGCGCTAATTAAAATAGGCAATTAGTATATTTAAGCGAGTTAAGAAATCAATTAATATGTTTAATTGATCCTTTTTTTATTGCAAATTTTGAAATTTGCCGTTTCTGGTAGTTTGTTCCCGAAAAGAGTTACTTTTCTTCTCAACCACCCTATTTTAGAGATTTTTTTTCCCCATTCATGCATCGGGCATAACTTAAAGGGGCCCTCCGGAGCGTTCTGCGATGGCCTATTTATGGCGGTAACTCAATCTACGGGCCCTAAGGATCCTAAAAATCATAAAATTACGGTCATGCGCGGTGGATTTCCCTATTAAAATTGCTATCAAAGTCCCCGGCACGCCCCCCTTTCTGAGATGACCCCGGAAAACGGGACGGGCATCTCTTTACGCGTCAGCCAATAGCAAGCGAAGGATTCCGGCGTCGCTGCGCGTCACCAACGCGGCCGACCGCCGACCCGCGGAGGAATCTCTCGAACACGCGCGGACCGTCGTCAAGGAGCCCGGACTTTGTGCTCGGCAGTCGTCGTTCGTCGCACCGCACCGTCGCGCTATGGACCTTTCGGACCTGACGTCTCTGGAGCTTGAAATCCTGAAACGGACAGCGGACATGGGAGCCATTTCGTATGATTCGACACCGATGCGCGTGTCCCGCAAACGCACACCTGCACATGCCCGGGAAGCAGACGAGCCGTCGCGCCGACGCATCACCCCCTAGCAAAAAGCTTGCGAGGAGAAAACATAGTTCGCTGGTTTTGGAACGATAATTGCGAACTATGTTTCCCGCACTACAATCAGTTTACGTTTTTCTCAAACTCTAATTTACAGAAAGCTTAAAAAGTGTTGCAATAATAACGTTCGCATTCACCGCGAGATGCAGCATTTCCATTGATCAAGTTTTAGCGATGGGCAGGGAATGGGGGATTTCCTTCCAAGAGAAAATAGTCCCGATATATTTCTACTGCCATCTGCTTAATAAACGGTTTTGTAATCTAAAACTTTGTATACATATTAACTTGCACCTACTACGCCATATAACAGCATAAACAGACCATCTCAGAAAGCTCCGGAGGGCCCCTTTAAGCCATTGTCCTATACAAGATAAAAGCCATATGTTGTCCATGACAAGTCTATTCAAATTTGCCCGTCACAAGCAAGGGGACGGAAAATTCTAAGAAATGTGGAGCGTCCGCTTTCGCGGAAAGCATTTGGGAGAGAAGAAAGCTCCAGATTTCTTCGAGTGAATGACCACGTCACAAAGACGTGTACGCGTTATTCAAACAAAGTAACTAAATATCGTTACTCATTACTCGCACAAAAAAGTAGCTAAGTACTTCACTCGTTACTGCGATTTAAAAGGAATGCGTTAGTTCAGCTCGAAAGTAACGCGCCGTTTCTATGAATGCGTCGTTTTTCTCTGAAGCAGTCCACCTTCCAATACTTGGCTTCATTATTAATTCATCGCTTATGTAACACATTCATTCGGACATAACTGTACATACAGTGGCATACCTGGTGCACATCTTTAGTTTTCTAACTAGCCTCTTTTGCGCCGGGAAAGTCACGGGAGGAAGCTGAGGTGTGAATTAAGTTGAGTGCCTGCGTTGCGCACGCTGCCGTCCAGGAGTAACTAAATATAGTTGCTCGTTACTTCACCAAGTAACAAAAACATGTTACTCGTTCTTTCACTTGCAATATAATTACCGAGAAAAAAAAACGTAGCTAGATACAAGGAACGTGTCACTTGTAAGGCGTTTAGTACAAGTCTGGATTCATCGGCGAAACCATGCCGTGTCCCTCCCATTCTTTTTCCAGTTCATCGCTACCGTCTTCGGCCTCATGGCGGCGGCATGGGCCGCCCCGCAGTTCCCTGTCAACTACGCCTTGCCCTTAGCGGGCAGTTACGGCTTAGCTGGAGCCAGCAGCGACAAGTTGACCTACGACTACACGCGCAACAGCGCATCCGCAGCCAGCGTTCCCGTGGCCGCCCCCGTGGTCGCACCGCCCGCTCCGGTCGCGGTACTCGCCCCAGCCGGGGCCGCCAACGCCGCCCCCGTCTACGGCTACGGCGTGGCATCCCCACTGGCTTACGCACCCGTGGGGCACGTGGTCGGTCTCGGCTACGGACGCCTGACGTACGGCCTCGGTAGCTACAACTACGGTCTTCACTCCCTCGGCTATGGCGGAACGTACAACGAGCACGGCTACGGTTTCTAGACCGCTCAAAAGGTAATCCTGGGTTGCAGTGAACTTATCGACGAATTCAATGCTCGCTGGCTGAGTGTACCGGATAAAACAGTGCGCGGCTTCGACGTCACGCTTCTGTCGTGGCGCTGCTGTCGGTATACGGCACGTGCGCAGAAGCTTCACCTCGAGCAAATCAGGCCTCTGCGCATGCGCAGTGCCCACACCTGATGTGGGCAAACGCGCATTCGCTTATAACCAGTATGCTGTCAGAACTGAAAGTGGGCTTTGGTGTGTGGGAAGTCACGAGTGAATTTCGGACCATACCAAATCATAAGACGATTCGATATGTAAAAAGCAGCGAGTGTGCGGGCCAACTGATGATAATTAATCGTAAGTTATTCCATCTGTGACTGCGGTGCGGAAAATTAAGAAGCTTCCGAGGCGAAGAAAAAGGCAATAGTAAGAGAATGTCTCGTTCACCTTCTGTTGTCTTTTCCTTGAACTCGAAAGTTTCTTATTTTTTCCGCAACACAGTATCAGGTGTTACAATTTATGATTCATGATGAGTCAATATGTGTTAATTCTATCAAAATGATTATATAAACCCCCGGAGAGAGATCTTATACCAAACTCTTAAAGAACACTTATAATGACGCATGTAACTATAATTTTTTTCTGCAGGGATTATGATTATCTAAGAGCAAAAAATCTAACAGTGCGGAGTTCAAGTATAGTCAGAACAGGATGACCAGTGAAAGCACGTCGTGGAATTTCTCTTATTTGACGCTTTTAAATGTTTATAAGCTGTAAATCGCATCAGCCGGGAACCCGCTCAGAAGGCACACCGGCAAAGCCTATATTCATTTTAGATTTAGTCAGCCTTTGAACAAGTCAGCCTGGTTATGTCAGATTTAGTTTCCTTTTATCTCTCAAACAACAAAAACTGAGAATATTTAGAATATTAAACGACTGAGAAAAAAAAAAAAAAACCCTTCTGCTAACAAAATTAGGGTATCTACTCCTGTCCATAACCACAATTTAAAAGAACCTTCGCACATTTGAGAAACCTGCGACCTAAATTTTCTTCATTATAAACTTCATTCCGATTCAATAACTAGTATGGTTGTTTAGCGCAGGCGTAAACAATTTGTTCTTGTACGTTCTTTTCTTGTTTTTTCAGGCCCCAAGTATCTGAATAAAACTTTCAATCTATCGCTCTTTATTTATGTGAAGTTTTGATGCTTGCATTTGCTCTGAAATGTTGTTACAGGCAGAGTCTGAGCGAGCAAGAAGCACAATAAAGTTGGTAGAAACTAGCTCTCCGAGTATTGTCTCTGTAATTTAAACTGTACTACATACGTCAGCCACCCGACACCACCAATGAGCAGTCGGACAGAACTTTTATAGCTAGTTCTCTTTCCGACACAATAACATTATTCCAGAGTCTCACCTCGATTCGCTAAATCTAAAACATATGTTCTCCTGATGTCGAACAATGAACGTCTGGAGGAGCGAATTGGAAATGGGTGGTCCAGACAACGCAAAAGACGATGCCAAAATAGTGATGATAAAATTTTTAGGTATAGCATGCAGTCGGTGCGACGTTTGACCGAACGCAGCCGAGCAGGAAATCGAACGCATGCCACTTGTTCATGGCTCCGCGTGATAACACCACGCGCAGAGACGCCTGGCATTTTACAGGTGAGATGTAAAAGCACTGGCTGTTCCGCACGTCTCAAAAATCACCCTCATGATGCAGAAGTTTGATAGTTACCTAATGAACGTAACTACGAACTTCAGTAAAGTTTGAAAAGTCATATTGAAGTGAATATAAAATTTAAAATTAAAACTAACTTTAGATCCTTACGCATTGCTTTTCACAATAAAGGGTGACATTAGCATTTTTTTATTTAATTTTTTTACTTCAGAACAAGTTTGTTTATTTGAGGGTTTTGTGATGGAGTGAAGCCAGAACATTTCGATCTGAATCTGCCATGGGTTTTGTGCATCTTGGTGAAAAACAGCTACCGTTGTTCAGCGAACATGTCCGTTATTCCAAGGGATGGAATTGGCCTCGCCATCGGTATATAGTAAGAACAATTTCTTGGACCAAAAAACAAAACAAAAAAAGGCGTGATTAGTAGAGTTGCACATCTCGAAGAAAACGACTTTTGACTGTAACGCTCTGGCCAGTCATCTCTTGAACAAAGAAAAAAAGGCAACGCTCGCTTCCTATTCTGGAAGTGCGTGCCCAGAACTTAATTGGATATGCACACTGTTTAAACATTGTGACCAATCTGTTCCTTGCCTTTCTGCTAGAAGACGTCTCAGTTTTTTTGTTTTTCAAAAGTAGAACCGCTTTCAAACGAAGAGTAGGCGATGAAGAACCCGCACGTTGCGATGTGGCGACAGCCCTGTCGTGCTTAGGCGGGCGATGGCCTGGAGAATTTCGACTTTCTCGGGAGCCTCGTTCAGAGGTATGCAGGGGCGTTTAGAAGCATGGAGGGAACAGCACCCTTGGTAAGTCACGGACGATCCCTTGCGATTTCGGTAACCTCACCGTTGCTGAAATGGAAGATGCCTTGCGATACATTTATTTTTACTATATGGGGTTCATAAGCCACCATTTGAGGCCGAAGTTCTTTGTTCCCCCGGTCAAAGCGCGATCCTTTTTCAAAAAGATTAGGATCATTGGGAAAAGAAAATATTAACACTTTATATCCTCTCGCGGATTTATAGCACCCCTTGCAATGAGGCGCGAAGTAGCTTGTGTTCTCCATCTTCATTTGTGAACGTGAGGGCCCCACCAATTAGGCTTCTGGTCAAAATGTCCGCCGAGCCAAATAGTCCATCCAGCCGAAATGTCCACCGAATAAAAATGTCCATCAGGTCGAACTGTTCACCGAGTCAAAATGCCCATAGGGTCCTTTAATTTTTATTTGCAAGATTTGGAGATCCGAAAAAAAATATTCCTAAGCGGGATTCAACTCGAAATATAGAATACAAAAGTGATTGAGAGCTCCGAAACCACAAAGTGTGCGAAAAATAAAATGGCCTTTGTAGCTTTATCTTTGCGCACACACGTTCCGTGCCACTTTTTTCTCGGTGTTTGAGCAGTTGACCCAGTGAGGAAATGTCCTGTGACGTATTCCCCTATGTGACCAATAGCCCTGCGACGAGCTGCCCTATTACGAATTGTCTTTCGACGAACTGAACTTCCACCAAGTATGTAGGAGGTTCAGTTTGAAGTTTATTGCACTCGGTTCTGTCCGAGGACCTAGTGGTGTGGTGAAGTGTGGCGTTGCTTGAGGCAATAATGGGCCATTTGTTCTGGAACTCTATTTTAAAAGTTCCTGCTACAAACGTCATCATGCGCAGCTCTTTCGCTTTCAGCCGAAGCTAGCGCATTTAATTTTCTAAAGTTAAAAATTAGTACAGGCGCGAGAAAATTGTTTTCTGTCATTTACAAAGGTATCTTCAAGGTCGTTTTTTTTTATCTTTATGTTTACTGATTTTTGACATTATTTTATATAAATGACAAAACTTATGTAGGAGTTTTTTTTTGTTTTTGTTTTTTTTACCAAGCTATAGGTACTACCAATATGCACAGGCCCTTGGGAGCGGGTACAACACTGTTTTTTGGAGCGCTAACATAATTCAAATTTGCCACAACGTAACTCTAGCAGTTCGATATCGGAGCCGAGGTTTCCAGAAGAAAGCGCTGTGTGTTAATGTTGAACTAACGGTCAACAGGACACCGTGCATGCTGTAAATTAAAGTTTTTGTTTTTTTTCCGGATTGTATATCTGCCGATTTTCTTTAACGAATTTTCTAGATTTAGGGTGGTACACTGCGTATTCATTAGCGTGGGGTGAATGATTCGCGGCACCAGACGTTCGTGATTGCTTTCAAATTGCTAAATTTGTGAAACTGAAGTCAGCGAACGCGCCCTATTTAATCAAATACTTTTTTTTTATCACTCACACTTTTTTTTTAATTTCTTGCACTTTTCTCTGAACATTGGGCATCTTGTTCCAACCACAGGGCACGTTCTGGCGGAGGTTGAGCGGCCCGTAATGCTCATTTTATTTTTCGAATAGAAAAAGCTGTTCGCTCCTAAACATCCGGCAGAGGAAAATATGATTTGTCACAAAAAATTTAATAAGTCATTCAGATTTGCGCAAGCAGTCAGATCATGACCGTTCGTGCAAGAACACGTACGTACAAGTCGGTATCAGCACCAGTGTTAAAATATGAATCAACGAGGTAAACCGGCCAAAATGTTCATCGGGATGAAGTGTCCACCGAGTCAAAATGTCCATCCAGGTCAAAACGTTTATCGACACGAAGTGTTCATGAAATCAAAATGTCCAATATTGGACATTTTGACTCCGTAAACATTTCGTCTCGATGGACATTTTGACCTGGAATCCACCAATTGTAGCCGACAAGTGCCGTTAAACACTAAGCGAGAGAGAACACAGGCTTAACGCGATGCGAAATTAGCCTTACGAACAAATTTAGCAGTTCAGTGTTAATCCAGAACACACGTCACGGCGAAGCCGTTGGGCATCGGCGTCGCTTTCACACACCGTGTGGTGCGTGAACAAAAGCGTTCGGAACATAATAGACATCTGACCATGTTGTACCGAACCATAGCCTCCTATATACTGACAAAACCTGGCAGATAGCCACGAGAAGCGGCCGCCGAAACGAAAAAGGTGGAGCGGCAGACAACGGATGAGAGGAGAGCCACGTGACTGGCGCCCCGCTGCGGCGAGACGCCGCAACACACTCCCGAGGAAACAAGTGTGCTTCGGATTCTCGCCGCTGCAAAAGCTGTGCGCTGACGTCCAGGTTCTGGGTTTTGATTGGGATTGTATCCTGGAGCTCTCCTCGCAGGCAGCGATGTCAAAGCTATGTGGTATACCCGTGCGCACGTAGACCTTGAACGCCAATCAAAGCTGTGATCGTGCGGTGTTCGCTTCTTCTGATATGCCAGAAACAGTTGTTCTCCAGCATCCTTCTGAGCATGAGCTGCGAACAACGTCCAACGAAATGTCGTTGCGTGAATACCCCCACACTCGTACAAACCGCCAATGATTCAGAAGCTTCTTTAATAGCGGTGAAATTGCGAGGATAAAAGGGGACTGTTTCCTTCAGTCTTGTCTTTCGCAAAGCTCGATTACGTAATTGTGGGATCGGAACCACCCGCCTGACGACAGTCGAGCGCGGTTAATGGGTTGGACACGAGAACTGCGTGAGCACTTGACTTCGGCTCGTAACAACCTATATCTCGGCGGACATTCGGGTAATGGCTCGTGTCCAACTACTGCGGTAATGAGAATTGCCAAACTCTAAGAATTCCTGGCGCTCAGCATGCGTTTTCTACTTTCCAGGCCCCAGCGCGTGGCTATGATTAACGTTGGCGGCATATATGATAGGCACCAGGCCACGCGGCCCCATGTTCTGGCTCCGAGTTGAGGGAATGAACGATGCTCATATTTCTCGAATTTATTTCCTGACTGCCATTGCTTAGAAAGAAGAACTAAGGCAAGTTTATTCGGTTATTTACTTTGGGGAGTAATTCTGAGTAGGATTTAGCGAAAGTAGAAAAATCGTTTCATGGCTCTAACGCTGTGTCATAGCGCAGTGGTAACGCACCCATTGTTGTACTGACTTGTACGAGTGTGCTACCATTGATGTCAGTGTCCTAGCAGTGATTCATGTAAGAGTGCAGTCGTAAGCCACGACTCGCCTGTTTTCTGACCATAAACGTACCTTTCTCTTATGCAATAAAAGAAAAAAAAAAAAGAAAAACTCAGTGGTAACGCTTCTGCGTCGCACGCAGTGGACTCAGGTTTGATTGCCACGGGCGGCGGGCAACCTTTTTTCAGGATGGGGCAGCATCGGCGACGGACGCCCTACAACATAATTTACTAAGACTTTTACAATTACTACAGCTACAACATCAACAACGGACGTCATTTCCAGCGGCGGAAAAAGCCCATAACAGCTCTAATAAATAATAAAAATAATTAAAAAAAAGTGCGAATAGCGACACATGATGACCACCACCATAGCCTCCTCCACTGACAAATCCTGGCAGATCGCCACGAGACGTGGCCGCCGAAATTGAAAAGGTAGAGCGGCAGACAACGGATGAGTGGAGAGCCAGGTAACGGGCACCCCGCTGCGGCGAGACGCCGAAACACACTTGTCCCGAGCGATGGAATGTCCGCTCGTGCTCCTCGCGTTCCTCGCGCTACCGCTTCTTTTCTCGTCAGGTTTGAAAACCATGTTTCGGGTCCTCGCCACTGCAAAAGCTGTGCGCTGACGTCCAGGTTCCCCGAGAAATGCTCTGTGCTACCAGATCCTCGCGCTCCGAATCTGCGACCGAGGCTCCGAGCACTGTATGGCTCCGTCGTCAAACTGTCAGGCTTTGTGAGTAAAGAGGAGGTTATGGGTGCCTCCACGTCAAATCGTACAATGACTGTCCGGGTAATATTTTTTTAATAAGTATGTGTGAAAGCCATGTTCTTCAGAGGAACATTCAACAATATGTGAACGCCGTAGCTATTTTTTTTCTCAGAGACATAAAATTGAGCAGCTCGAGGCGGGGACATTGCCGAGATTTCATTATGGTAATTTGCGCAGCCGCCAATGTTACACCAAAGCAAGCATGTAGATAATTTTGTTTCATTTATTTTCTAGACAGTAATAACGTGGTGAACTGGGCCGGTTGGTTGACGTTATGCATGATGGGGAAAACAGCTCAGAAAATATGAACTACGAAGAACAAACACGACAGGACAATGCTGTACTTGCAACTAAAGAATTTTAATGAAGGAAGCAAAGACAGAAAAAACATAGTGCAGTATCATAAAAGATGGCACAAAATCGCACAGTCGCCAACCATGAAGGATGTCAGTAATCTACATTTTTCCCGCAGGAAGGACATCTCTTTTGCTGACAGCGCCAAGGACGGTTCACGAACACATGAATGCCCATGACACGAAATGTGTGTCCGTAGAATGGTGACCCTGCCCAAATCAGGCCGACATTTGCAATCTCTGCAATGAATTGGCAAAAGCCCCCCGATCGGATACGAATGTTCTCTTAACCTATCATTCAAACATTGGGCGCTGTAAGCAAAAAGGATGTACTTCCTGCGGGAAAAAAATATGAGTCACGTAGTGAACGGGTAGAAATGTCGATTACTGACGTACTTCACGGTTGGCGAGTGTGAAATTGTGAGCAATCTTTTCAGATACTGTGTATGTTGTTTTTTTTTCTGTCTGTTTCCTCCATTAAAATTATTCAGTTGCGAGTACGGCATTGTCCTGTCGGTGTATGTTATTCTTCGTAGTCCGCGTTTGCTGAGCAGTTTTCCCCATCATGTAATACAAGGAAACGAAATATTAAAAATTACAATTATTTTTTAAAAGCAAAACAAATTAAGAAACACGTCAAAAACAAATTTTTTAGACATTTTCATCTATTATTTATTAACAAACAACTTTATGAAAAACCTAGAAACATATATAAAAATGTTCGCTTAAAATGCAGCTTACGTATATATAAAATATATATTTGTTTAGCCATCGCTGTAGTTATGTTATTAATTCAGAAACGTAAATCATTTCCCTAAAAGTAGAAAAGTTGCATGTCAATATTAAAAAAAAACATATATATATTTTTTAATTCTTCGTATCGCATTGCAGTAACTTAAACTAACTTGTGACGGCAAAATTGAGTAGCATATGACCTCCAATCCACCTTTGGCAAATGTGTGCTGCCACCTGTTTGACACACAAAACGTCAGCCATATCCTGTTCACGACGGCTCCCCCAAACTCGCCTTTGTCCCCATCGTGGCTCATCTTCTGCCTCGAAGTCGAAACAAAGAAACCATCTTCACTCTCTGCTCGGCCAGAAAGAAAAGAGAGAGGGTACTAGAACCATTTACTCTCGAACCGATGTTTCTACCAAAGGTCCATTGAGAAAAGCGACAACACACATTCCCTCAAATTTATTAAAAATTAAAATAGCGCAAAAACACGGACAAGAACAAGAAGGTAGACGAACAAAGCGCTGACTTACAACTAAAGTTTATTCGTGCTAACATCAAGTATAAATACTAGTGTAACGTCATAAAAAACAAAGATAAAATACATGTTATGAACGCCACGTGCTCCTTAGCCACCGTTATGCGCTGTCACTGTGTGTCCAAAAAGCAGCATTCCTTATCGGATAAACATATTGAAGGAGTGCTGACCACAGTTTTCCCCCAATTTTCCAATTTCCCGCGCCTTAATAATTTTTCGAGTGAGTTTGTCTTTATTTTTCTTAAATGTGTCAGCACTCCTTCAATATGTGTATCCGATAAGGAGTGTTGCTTTTTGGACACACAGTGACAGCGCATAACGGAGGCTAAGGAGCACGTGGCGTCCATGACAGGTATTTTATCTTTGTTTGCTTGTTATGACGTTACAGTATTTATACTTGATGTTAGCACCAATAAACTTTAGTTGCAAGTCAGCGCCTTGTTCGTCTACCTTCTTGTTCTTGTCCGTGTCCTTGCGCTGTTTTAATTTTTAATCATGAAATACCAACTAGCCCAAACTTCTACGTTAGTCAACCTCAAATTGAGTTAGCTTGACTTCATTATAGGGGCTTTGCCACACAACGTCGGCTCTTCATCGCTGCATCCGCAGCGGAACGCAGCAACGCGTTGGCATCGCATCTGTCGCACGAAGCGCGCGCGGTCGCTCTCGCTTGTTTACATGGGGTCTTTGCCGGTCGGGTCATCGGTTTCGTTTTCTCGCCGCTACCAAGATGGCGGACGTACTTCTCGGCGCGCTACTAGATGGCGCTTTACATTTCGCATATGGTCATTTCGCATCCATCCATCCATGGTCTAATAGATCATGTGCGAAATGTAGAGCGCCTTTTAGAGAAATTGCGCACATTTCTGTTTCTGAATTAGTAACAAAGTTACAATGACGACTAAGCAAATAATTTTGGTTTATTCATAAGCTTTCAAGACGCACATTTTGATATATTTTGGGACGTTTTGCATAAAGTTGTGTGTTGGTGAATAATTTCTAAAAGTCTCTAGAACGTGCTTTTTACGTGATTCGTATTTTTATTTCTTGCATATAAATATACAATTGTAATTTTTAATATTGGGTGTGCATGTTGTAGATTGCCTATTAAATAAATGAAAAAAGAAATAACTACGTCCCTGCTTTGGCGTGACATTGCTCGGCAATGCCCACGCCTCGAGCTTCTCAATTTTATATCTCTGGGAAAAATTTTGCTACGGCGTTGACATACAGCTGAATGTTCCTCCTATGAGCATGGCTTTCACATATATAGATATTACAGGAATATCAAAAATAGGACCCTGACAGTCATTGTATGAACCGACCTGACCAATAAATACCAAGGAGACGCTTCACGCCACGCCCCTTCGAGCAGAAATGACCCGGTCTGTCGGTGTCCTAACCACAGCGCAACTTTTGTCATCATGAATCGGCGGCACGTAGAACTACCCAAGAGCGCAGAGCGCTCACTACACCTACCCTTAGAGCCACCATAATTGAGAGTTGGAATGTGAGCCAATTTCACAAGCTGTAGCAGCGACTCGCCGCGCTCCCCCTAAAGAGTAAAAAAAAGTAGTTCAAAAACACATGACGTAAGCCACTTACTGACTCATCAAACCAATAACGTCAGGTACGCCGAAATCACACTGTATCAAACGTACCAATGCCACTCTTTATCTTACTAAAAGAGGGCACGTTAAGACAATGAGTCAGGCCGTGTTCTTATCACCTTTCGATAGCAGCAGCAACAACGAACCACTCGGAACCGCAATCGATGCTCGGCAGCACAAACACCAAAAACAAAAACGGAAACGTAGAGGTTGTCGTCACCACGTGCGCCGACGTCACAACGGCATCCGCTTTGTATCACGCCGGATACACAAAAGAGCGCTCAGCCCATTCGCACGCAATCAGAGGACACGGTAACCGAAGTGAAGTCGCATAATGGAACACGATTTACACAAACCCGAGAACAGTTTCCTGTAGAGGACAGCTACGCCGTGCGCACTTCGCGCAGTTCCGACGTGGACCCTTGACTCAGTGATAGCGTCCTCGCCACCGCGATAAAGACCGATATTGTTCGAGCGCTCGGTCTGCGAGGAAAGCAGTTGGGCATCTTGCTTGCACCATCGGAGATTGTCAACCGCCGCGCAAGTTATCCTACGGACACCTCCACTTCGTTGAAGTCGCCCGTGCAACATATTCCGAAATGAGTAAGTACCTTTCCGTAATTGCGATAGGTGAATCCGCCACTATTGTAATAGAAGCACGGTAACTTCTTTGGTGGAGTTAATTAGGGCTCACGTATTTAAAATATAAGTGAAATGTTTAAGATGAACGTTCGTGTATCTGTTCTCTTAACTTTACACCTCCCAAGCAATTGTTCTCAATTTATTTTTGATGGATTTGTTATTGTTTTTTTGTTTCGCACAAGAAACTCTAGAGCGAAATTCTTTTTAAGCGAACGTGTGTTCTACCTGCCTTTTCATTCATATTGTACATTAATTGTACATATTGTACATTAAAATATGGTACATTAAGGTCCGCCCATACAATTCCAGTAGCAGTCCACAAAAACAGTACTCGCCGATTTGCGTTTGGGTTCTAACGTCTTTACATTGACTAAAAATTGTTTTCGGAACAAGTAATAATTCTTCTTTATACGTATGTGTACTTCAACAAACCACCACATTTTCTCGAAAAAAAAAAAATACAGCCAAAACATTGCTTGGCTGCAATACAGTAAATAAACGTAAAAGATAATTTGCCAAGCAAATATTCTCGGCATGCCCGCCCATTTTTGAAGCAACCAATTTTATTTACATCAAATGCCAAGTGTAATTTGCGTTACTATACTATAGCGCAGCATGGTTGAAATTTGTGAGGATCGAATTTGATTTGGACTTAAGAATCTAAACGGGACGTGCCAAACAGGAACAATGCATGAGTCAGAGCGAGCGAAAAGTCCCAACAGCTGTACGTCTAAGTGACGAGTTTGACTAGCACAGCTTTCATGCACAGCCTGCAGTGATGTCGCACATACTCGCAGCTGCAGCGTGAATAACAACTGAAGAGCGATATACTGAGATCGTTCCGTGAAAACACGCCCAAAGTCACCGCTGCAGTGTTGGAAACTATCGATAAAAACGTATATTTTGTCTGACCGTGCCAATAAAAGAAAAAAATAACGTATTTGTAAAATGTTTTCATGACAGTAATTTGTACATCCCCAGCGTGCATAAAAATAAAGCCAAGTTACTCACGCAAAGTGACATTGTTTTACGAGATGGTATTTCTGATAAACAGCGTATTACGTCGTTCTATAGGTAAAAAAGCACACCCTCAGTAAATTAAGGGGACATCAGACCGCACCACATAAAAAGATAACCATCATTTTTTTTTATATATATATATAATATAGAACGCTGACGGGTAAGCGCATAGATAGGCGTGCAGGTTGGAAAGTGACGCGCGAAGACCGCGTTCGTATCAGGTGTCCGTCACATGTGCGATATGCAGGTGCTGCAGCAGTATACACCGAAAGACCTTGTTTGTGCGGTACAGGTACCTTCCACGAGGAAAACAAAGCAAGCGCTCGCGCCCTGCCAAATATCAGAAGAGATTGTGGAATCACTCGCAATCAAAACCCCAGCCTTCTGTGGGCGACGTAGTGATATATGGCGCCTGGAACGCGCTTCCGACTGGTGTGTTTACCGACTCTTCATTTGTGGTCTCGATTTCCGCCTGATGAAGTCATAAAGTGTTACGTTGTTGCCTGTCGCAATGCGGGCCGTGGCACACCAGTCGAAAACGCGTTCCAGCCACCGCAATGGAGGTATTTACGGCGCAGACAAGCAGGCGCCATCAAATGTTCTAAATGCGAAGCTGTCCAGTGGTGAGCCGAGGCCAACTCGGTGCCCCTCAACGAAGATTCCTTTACGTGGTCGCTCAAAGATGTGGCTGTCCCGGGCCGTGAGTGTGTGAAAGCACGTGGTTGGAGGTACAAATATGCGAGGTTAATTAACGACCATGAAATTGCCTCTTTGCATAAGACTTTAGAGGAACGTGTGTGGTTCAACACCTGGTACGTGCAAGGTAGCAAGAACGACGCACCGTTTCACGCTGATAACGGGAAAACTTCCGTGGATATGCAAATATAAAGACAGACACAATAGGTTGCGATGGTAAGACGAACAAAGAGACACGAGGGAAGAAAAACACGCGTGGTGTTACTGTTTCGTCTCTCTAAAAGTACTACTGTATACCAACCCTTAAAGTTGCGAGCGACTGAAAAACTCTCGGACATTGTACGCAGCTACATTTTGTACAAAAAAAAAGTTTTATGCTTGAGGTAGTCGCGTCCCAAGTAGCCCTAGTGGAGATGCTAACGAAGCATGCAGTTTTGTGCATCTTTTTTTTCGAGAATTTATATGATGTTGTTTCAGCGGGACAATTGACCACTTTGCTTCTCTTTTTTGTTGTTGTTGTTGTTTTTTTCCACCAGTGCAAAATAGCAAAGAGAAAATAAACTCGGGAAGCATAAATTGAGTTTAGTGGCTATTTCATAATCATTCTAGTACAAAAAACACCGGCACGCGCAAGCAAAGTTTTCCTGTAAGCCTTACTCAAGAAGCGAAGAAGCGAAGAAGCGACAGAGGAGATCGGTGGCCAAGTTTGTTGGCGCACTGCAGCTCGGAGCGCGCGGAGCGAAAGCTCACGCTGCAGAATCCAGTGATCCTGGCTTCAATCTCCACTCCTACCCGTTTCGATCTGGATGAGCATCGCACCGGCGTGCGGTCGTGTATCACTACTGCGTGATGTACGTTAGAGACCCCAGGCTAGCGGCTGTAGTGGACCAGACGCCCATTGAGACTGACTAACATCCGGCTGTCTAAACATACGTACGACATAATTATTAGAAAAGTAACACCATCAGCATGTACCCTGTTCCACTGCTCTCTCAGCCTTATCGACAAAAAACTTCCATTTGCAAAGTTTCCTACTTTTTTTTATTAATACGTAACATTTTAGTTTACTACTCCCTTCATTTGTTTGTCTTAAGCTTTTGGAAGCAACGAACATCGGCCATCGTTGACACAAAGACCAACTCGCTGTTTGCAAAGGAGCCTGAACCGAAAGTGTGTGTGCCCATCACCACGCAGGTGCTCCACCCCCCAACATGGGATACCCCCCGGGCACCATGCCACCCCAGGGCTACTACCAACCGCCGCCGCCTGGCTACTACCAGCCCATGCCACCCCCGGCGCAGATGCAGCCGGCCTACAACCCGGTTTACGTCCAGCAACCGCCGACAGCGCCCCCTGTCACCGTCGTGGTGGAGCAAGCACCGAGACCCGTAGCGCCAGCCCAGACTGTGGTCAGTGCCACCTCTTGGTTGTGGAATGTGTGATGATTACACGAGCAGGACAGTTTGTGCATGTTATGAGTGGAAACTTGGGAAGCCAGAAACGGCACAAAAAAAATCACTTTCTTTAGCAAAAAATAAAGAAAAATGTGTGGACGATAAAAACAGAACAATTGAATTAAGTCTAGGTGACTGAAAACAGACAGGCAAATCTCGCGTCAGTTTTGACGTAATACTCTTCGAATTATGAGCCAATGCTATGTGTGCTATGTAGTGTCAAAGACACTACATAGCATAACGAGGCGGACTCCAGCACCGGCTTCAAGGTCCCCTCTCACACTACAAAAACCGAACGTTTATCAGAAAAGGAAAAAACACCCCAACAATCGAAAGTCCACACATCTTCATAAAGGCATTTATCATTATTTCCATAGCGTTCGCTCCTTTCCAAACTCACGCATCGGAAAACTTATGCATTGAAAAGGATAAAAAAGAAAATAAACAGTTGTTAGTCTGCGCCCGTTCGTGTTCGTTGTGTTTCTCCTCATCTCAATATAAACTCATCCTTTTCCTTTCAATTTTAGTCACGCGTTTGTTCTGTAGAACTTCGCAGCGCAGCACGTCTGTGAATTGTACACTTCGTCGTGCCTATATAGTTATAGACCGAGACAGTCGGCGTTCGCCCATACCGGGTATGGGCACTGTGCGTGCGCAACCACCAGATTCGCGAGGAGAGAAGGCTCTGCGCATGCGCCGTGCCAACCAGCGCCACCGCGGCGCCGTGACGTCAGAGCCGTGGTACGGGATTCAACCGCATACCTTTCACGGAGGGGTTTCAGGAATAAAATTGACCATAAAGTCTGGGCACTTGAACCCAAATGGATCCAAGTGCTCACGCTTTCTGTTGTTTGTGGTTCTGCGAAATAGCGAAAGAAAGGTGATCCTTAAATAAAGGTGTCAGTTTCTTTCGTAACATGTTAAGTCTGTCCTTCCATCATCCCGTAACGAACGAATGTCTTTGTCACGCTAGCGTTTTTGCTCATCTTGCAGGCAACCCGTCGCCGTACCTGATAATATACAGGGTGTCCCCCAAAACAATTTACAGGATTTTTTTTTTTTTTTTTTTTAGCGCAAAAATAAACTAGGCATCGCCGAACGCTCATCCTCCGCCCGAAGGTAGCGCGAGAGGTCACAACCAGATGCTAAAGTTTCAGCCCGAACCGATATTTTATTCGAAAGTTACAAGTGATTTTCTGAAAATGTCAATGGGAAAATGGTGGCCGACGGAGCTCTCGAATACACGGTGTTCTATGGCGTCACAAACCGAAAACGGGCGAAAATGGGCCCCACTTTCTTGTTGAAATTTCCAGAAAATCGCATAACTTTTGAATAAAACATGGGTTCGGACCTCTCGCGCGACCTCTCGGCGGAAAATGGGCGTTCGGCCATGCATAGTTTATTTTTGCAATAAATAAAACATTGTATATATATATATTTTTTATCGTTTTGTATATAACTGACGTCCGTCCGAACACCGCTCCATCTCCATTTGTTCTTATCCCGAAGTTCCTAGCTTTGGCGAAAGTTCGGCTTAGCGACTGAAAATTCGGACCCTTGAGACGTTCTGTTCGCCACGTCGTCTTGCTGATAGGCTGTTGTTTTGTTCACTTATCGTTCGAACATTGGTCAGCACAACGCCAGTGGAAAAGATCGCGTCTAAGGAGGCACTATGAAGAAGCTGACCAAAACAACAATCGTAATTTTCGCTTTCTTTTTTTTTTCCCCGACTTTTTCGGTTTTTTTGTAAGGGTGTGTGTGCAAAGTTCCCCAAAAGTACGAAGATCGCGCATGTTGCGCAATATTGGGCAATCCACACTCTTTCGACAACATGTCAGACGAACTCGAAATATGCTGCTAAGATACATATATATTTTTATATAGCTGGAAACTGTAAGAACTACACAAGTCAGAACAATGTTTTCTGCGCAAGGAGTCTTCCTTGAGCAGAAAACAGTTCCTTACCGTTGTCTAACGGTAAGGAACTGCAGGTGACCATTTTCCTAAGAAATGTTTCTTAGGAAAATTATTTTTCACGCGCAGAAGCTTCATTCGGTGAATGTGAAAACAAACAAACACTCTTGTTGTGCTACCAAAGTTTTCGTCAATAATGTCTGCATACTGCATTTCAGTTTGAGTACGCGCGTAACCGAGCTACAAGAGCGAACTCCGTGCTTTCAGCGTCCCTCCAAGAACGCGCGCTCGATTCAGCCAGTTTGTCTACGCCACCGCTGCCGCACGTGCGACAACTTCGCTGGAGCTCTGCGCGTGTAGAGCACGAGATGGCACGATCCCTCTCGTGCACTGCCGTCTGCCTCCTGTGAACTAAAGTTGCGGCGGCGTCACGTTTGCGCGAAACCCAACGAGGTAGTTGGCCAAACCATAGCCTCCGGACGTTTAGTGAGGTTCGTGCTCGAAGCTTCCGCTTTACTCACACGTCTAGTCCCCCGTAAAATCATCCAAAAATTGGTGGGTAAAGAAAGTCTGGATTGAAGTATACGTAACCAACCTTTCCACTGTACCTTCTGCAGATCGTGGAAGAACACCGGCCAGTAAGCACCGGTTTGGGCGTCGGCGCCGGCGTGGCGATGGGCATGGTGGCCGGCGCCGCGCTGGCCTCTAGCCACAGCCACCACACGACACACCACCACCACCACGGGCTGCTGGGCCACCGCGCCCCCGTGAACGTGCACGTCCACCCCGGACACCACCACCCGACCACCTTGGCGGGCAGAATCATTCAGGCTCGGCGTCGACACTGAACACCATAGCAGTCGCCAGCGAGAATGCTTGAGAAGGTTGGGCAGGTCATCCAAACGATCGACAGTGCGATAGTCAGTTCGGAAAGATGCGAGTTTATTGGCAGCGGTTGGAAAAACAACCTAAGCAGAATGGCACACAGCGAGAACGGAGCACGAGGATCGGCTCATCTACAGGGTATCCCAAGAAAACAAGTTACGGGGTTGTACTTTTTTTTTTTTTTTCGCAAAAATAGATTATGTATTGCCCAATGCTAATTTTTGGCCCTAGTGTAGAGCTATAAGGTCCGAACCAGACGCCAAAATTTCACAACAGTGACCGCCATCTTAATTAAAATTTGTAAGTGATTTTCTGATATGAAGTTTTCAAAAGGAAAATGGCGGCCGACGGAGCATCAGGATATTACCATAACCGGGCCCCATTTTCCCATTGAAATTATTTTTCAAAAACCACCTAAAAAGTTTGAAACGAGATAAAGCTTATTTCTGAAACCCTGGCATCCGATTCGAACCGTTAGCGCTACATTTAGGCGATCTGATGCTTAATTTTACAGGAAAAAAAAAAATATTTTTTAGGAGGGGGGGGGGGGGGGGGGGGGGGTGCAAGGGTTTACGTTTTACAAGTGGCGGAGACGTGGAGTACGGAGAAGAGTGCAATGACAGTTGTGTCCCTACTACTTGCCTTTTTTGAGTAACCTATTTGCAGCTGGGTTTATCTTTTACCTCTTGAACGCGGAAAATGCAGAATCGCACTCTCGGCATGACCTGCGCAAGCAACACATCTTCGTTCCCAAAGGCAACTCTTTTTTTATATTATTAGTAGGGAGGTTTTAGGCATAGTAAGTTGCTGTTATACACGTGTATTTATCTGTTTGAACTGTCCAATAAAAGTTCTTTAAAATGTGCTTTGGTGATTGTATTTTCGTTAAATTTGAGTAGACTACTGGATTGCACAGCATACTCAGTTTCGCCTGATGATGAACGGCAGCGGAGGCTACGAGCCATCGCAGCCAATCCAGCGATGTGACGTGACTTCACGCGTCGCTGCTTTCTTGATCACGTGACACTCGCAATCATTGGATTGGCTTCGATAACTAGTAAGGTCCAGTGCGTTCCATCGTAATACCTTGTTGCACTGCGCCTCTCTATAGTAAGTTCACGACCTCCTCTATAATGGGGTCGTAAGTTACAGGACAAGAAGGTAGCGGCAAATGCCCCTCAAAGGGATTCATATATCCCTCCGCCACCATCGTTTACGTGACGTCGTGGCCAACGCGGGAGAGGGTTTTGCCTTCCTGCGAATATTTGCTTTATTTCTCGACTTTGTATTAGCGTTGTGGAAGCTACGGGAGGGAGATTGGAATTTTCCCCCTCAGATGAAAACAAAAACGACTTTGGGGGTTAGGTTCCCCCTCCGATAAATACAAAGGCCACTTTCAGGGGCTCGGTTCCCCCTCCGATGAATACAAAGGTCGCTTCCTTTAAAAGTGGGGGTCGAAGACAAGTTGGCATCACCCTGTAACCACTCATTGAAGTGGAATAAGGGGCGTTTCCAGGAAGCTATTCTTTTGAATGCGGACGGATTTGAAACGGACGCATCACGCTTATGGGAGGAGCTCCTCCTACCTCTTGACTTGTAAATAGCAACAAATGCGAGAATGCCCGAAAATAAGACGGACGAATTTAACATTTTAGTAAACCCTATCATAAGAAATAACCGAGTGCAAACCCTAACGCACCGGCTGAGCAAAAAAAAGAAAAAAAAATCATTATGCTGGCATAGCCAGAAGATTCGCGGATGAGCGTTTCTCAAATAGAAAGCCTTTTGTTTGTTTGTTTTTTGCTGTAAGGCAGGATTTGCACGAGCAAGTAGGGGATAAGTCGAGCACAAAGTTGGAATGCAACGATGACGCCACATTGTCTTTTTCGCCCAAGTTTAGTCGGCACGTTTTGCAAACTTTCGGCTCATATTTTTATTTGTCGAGTTTACAGCCCCCTTTACAGCCTTCGCCACATCTTGAAGTTTTGGCGATCGTCACCGGACGATCGGTGACAACGAAAAAAAGAGGGTGGGCCCATCTACGTCAGCAAAGTTGTTTAGAACTTGCAAATAAAGAGTACACACGAGTGCAATGCCGCAATGACACTTGTTGTGTAGTCGCTTCTCAACCAAGACCACCTACCATCGAGGAAATTTAGGAAGGCTGGGAGCAGGAGGAATCAGACGAAACGCCAGGAGAGGATATTTCCTCCCCTCCTCTCGTCTGCTTCCTTTTCCCCAGCTTTCCTTTCCCTCGAAAAACGTAAACTACGGCGGGGTGGTTACTTTTTTGGCTCCTGGTCTACTGCCCAGAGGCTAGAGCCCTGCACGAGTCGATTGTTCTCATTTTTCAGGGGTCGGCGCGCGTCCCCCTGTGGACATTACTGTTGGCCGTTTTGTCTCGTAGGTTTAACAAAGGCCTGTTTCTGCCTGCTCTTATTCCCTTGCAGGCTTTAAAAGTTGAATTTTGGGCCAGTGACAAGCCAAAACTTCAGTGGCCCCTCGGACGGATTGATACGCACAGCCAATATGCCGTCTGAACGAACAACTGAAGTGGCAGCTATGAAAAACAAAAAAATACCTTCTTTTTATTGCTTACACCGAACGCAATTGGAATAAAACAAATTAAAAACTTTTCCTGGGGCTATTCGGAGTGCTTGGCCACAGTGGCTTGGCCAGCATTGCCGCCGGTGCTCGGTGGTGAAGACCGTCTGCAGGTTCTCCATGCTTGACCTCGTAAACTGTGGCCTAGGACCAGTGAAGTAGCCGACGCAACTTCAGGACAATCACGATCTCGTGCTGCTGGCCTTGGCTGCAGTCTTAAGTGGTACATACAAAGCCACGCACTTGAGCCAGCAGCTTTGACGCCCAGTAGATGGGCCGCCTTGAGCGCGAGCTTCCAGCCTTTAAATCGTCGCTCGCGCAGCCAAGGCCTGGCACAGGGCAACAAGCACGAAAACCAAGTACACTTCAGGACCGGGAATACCTGTGTTTTCGACCCAACTCACTGTCCAAAGAAAGGCTGTTAATTTTTAACCTCAGGCAAAGTTGGGTTTAAACAGGGATGGTCAACATTTCAAATAGAAGTATTTAAAATACCTATTTTAAATACTTTTAGTATTTTGTATTTAATTGCATACTGAGGAATGTACCTACATGCAAACTGTATTGAAACATTGAAAATATGGTATTTCAAATACATATAGTTCAGATACTCATCAAATACAATTTCGGGCACTCTGAAAAAAAAAAAAAAAAAAAAAAAAAAAAAAAAAAACTCGACCGTCACAGGGTTAATCAATGGGACGAATACACACTTTTCTTTTGTCGAGTGATTTAATATTTTATACACATCACACAAACATGTTTGAAAGGCTTTGATGCATGAAATCAGCCTCTGAAATTAATCTAACTGAATACTTAATATGTCAGTCAGTCTATGAGAACAAAATGTATTTGTAAAAGTATTTGAAGATAATCAAATACTCTCTTTGCTAAAAAGTAATATTGAATTTGTAATAAAATATACATTTTTGTTGAAGTATTTTGCATTTCTATTCTAATACATTTCTGGAAGTATTTCGCCCATCCCCGGGTTGAGGTTACCCGGTGAAATTAAAAATACCGACTAAGAGGCACAAACCACTGCCAGATTAAGAGGGCATAACCGTACGCATTCATCCATCGATCCATTAAACGAGAACAGCACAAGTTTCCCTTGAAAGCATTGAGATAATGCTACTTCTGCCGGAATTTAATTATAATCCATCTCACAAATGTCTAAAATGCAGATGAATGCATAGGCATGTGACCCTAGCACAGCAGAATGTTTTGTTAGAACTTTCAAAAGCCACACACTCATGCCTGTACTCTGTCAGCACTGCAGATGTTTGCAAGACTAAGTCAATGATTGCAATTGTTAGAAATCTATACAATTTGTAAGGCATGTTTCCCCTGAAGTGGCATTTTGATTACACCTGCAAGTTACATATATACTTGTTCTTGAAGCATGCTTCAAAGCACCATCCTCAGGAAATTTGCAGAAACACAAAACATGAGACAAAAACAGAATTCCTTTTTTAATGTATTTTTACAATGATTGTGGTAAAACAGGGCGGAAGAATGATTAAGAATAAAAGCATTCAACTTAATGCTACGATCTATGGTCAGCCTAGAGGACTGGCATTATCTCTCTCTAAAGAATCGTATGGCTCGCTCACTACCAAAGGTGAACTTTTGGACTATGAGAATTCTTTAGGAAATATACAAAAATGTACAAAATGCTAACTATATCATTGCCATGGCACCATACCAAAATGCCACAATACTAGCTTACTAAAGGGTACTATAGAGGGGGTGCCGATTGTAAGAACTCTAGAATAAATAGCTAAATACTGTGAAGCTCAAACCTTGCTGCAAACTAGGCATCCAGCTAAGGACAGAGCAGATATAAAAATATGCCAGCTGAACTGCCTTCCAGCACCACATGAGCTCAGCATTCGTTAAAGACTGTACAGACGATTCTGAACAGGTCGTCACACTGCTATCCACTGACTAGCGACAGTACAGAGGCAAAACATTTTGAAGTTTGGAGAAAATTAAGACTAAAATTATATATAATTTTTTTTTTGCCTTTTAAACAGTGCAAATGAAAAAAAAAAAAACATACTAACCACTACTTTGATTGAGACACAAATAGATAATTCAACAATGTAAAGGCATTCTCAACATCTTCGTTCAAATACTAAAGATCTTTCAGTTGATTATACGAGTAACCACGCATTAGAGAAAACAAAAAAAAACTGCAGCTTAGTAACAGCTCACGTTAAATCAAGCTTTTAGAAATTAAACAGCGTGAAGCTGCATTAAAAAAGTTATCTTTAAAATGAAAACAAGCCCAAAGCTATGCCTGTGTCAAGTCTAACCCATACAATCCAGAAAAAAAAAGAGTATTGTTAATGCTGAGTTTCAATGAACCAACAAATTAAGTGAGAGATTATCCTTTCCAGCAAAGGCACTTTCAATGAACACACCCGTTTTTAACGCCACACTTGCGCTGTATACAACCCTGTCGGGCTCAAACAACAGACACAAGCACATCTAACATGCTCATCTCGTCAAGATTTCAACAAGCAATAGCCACTGAGTCCACAAATTATCTTGGCACGGAAGTCTATCAAGCCACAGCCCACCACGTCAATAACAAGTGCTGCCTAACGAATGAGGGCGCACTTGTGGGATTTAGGACAGCCCCTTAAAAGCCCGTAAAGACTACACCGAATCGTACACGCTATACAAATGTTACAAGGGCACGGACGGGCGCGGGTCACACATTGCTAGAGCCCGGCGATCCACTTCGGAAGTTGAACACTTCGAGGGACATCCTCTTCAATGAGTGTGATCTGGGCTCTGAAATGAACTGTGGAAACAACAGGTTCAGAAGGTATCAGACATACCCTATTATTGAGCAAATTCAGAGGATCCCGTTAGGTCAGTTTATCGATGCTGCACATTTACATTTCCCATGCAGGCATACGACAAGGAAAGGGACAAGCACTTCTAAAACACTGGTAGTCAAGCTTACATAAAAACGGCAAAAACAGAAAACTTAAAAAAAGAACAGAAATTTTTCATTGTTGGGAAACTTTTAACTTAACCACCATGATGAGAAACTGGTGTTACTAGTGTAAAAAAGAAACTAAAGCCTGTTGTCACTATGGATTGTCAAAAAACAAAACTAGTGGCACCTCTTTAATTTTGATGCAGGCTATAAACCTAAACCAAGACACAAAAGTCACTGTGGCTAGAAACTACAATCTCTTCACTATCGCCAAATTCATAATTACATCTTTGCCAGAAAAGTCTGTACACAACATCAATGACCCATTTTATGCCGTCATGCAATTGGTAGAGGGTGCGAGGCAAACCCAGAACAGTTCATGCAATCTCTCTCTACAGCAAAAAAAAAAAAAAAAAAAAAAGTCCCATGATGTGATAAAGTTGTCACTAGAAGATAAGGAACAAGATTGCTAGCAGGGTCTTACCTGGCCCACTGAAGGAGCACCACGATTGATAGCAGGCATGAGCGCATGCAACGCCGGGTTAGTTGGCGGGCAGCCATAGCAGTGTGCAAGCGGGTGCAATACAAGGAGCTATCAGGACACAGATAAAAGTGCAGTCTTGTTCATCTTTTCGAGATTCTACCGGGAAACACGGATAGGCAGACAACAGTAACTTTAAGAAAAGCTGCGATACAAGAAAGAAAAATAGGTAGTACGCCAAACTATATTTCACTGCATTACACAAAAAGAAGACTGATGACATGAACCTTTGGTTAGTTTCAAAACTAGTGCATGCAACACTAAAATTAAAACCAAGCATAAGGAAAACACAAAAGTATTTCAACTGAAACCTCTGGACAAAAGATAGCATAGTTTTGTGGAAACAAAGTATGTTTCCACAAGGTAGTGCCATTTTTTTTTCCCAAGTTTCATTAAGTACTTTGAAAGAAGATGAAATCATATAAAAGCATGCCAATCAAGCCTTTATTATGATACATGTACCTCCTTGTTCAAAGAAACATCAAACACAAACTAAGGTTAGGATTGTTTTTCCTTAAAAGACGGAAGCTTAGCGGTTAGAGCGGGCAGACCCGTTCAACGCAGCCTGCGGCCTACCTTTTCCTTTGTGATTTCAGACAGCTGGCACGCCAGGTCTATCAAGTTCTTTTTGAGGGCCAAGTGGTACTCGCACTGTTCCGGCGGAATCAGCTTCCCGTTCAGCTCCAGGGCTTTCTCACAGATGTGCAGAAATTGCCTGGATCAAAAACGTCAGATTCTATCTTCCAAGGAGGCAAATGGTCCCCACAGATGGGAACGAGCTACTTTACTTATAAATAGGGTTCTGCCCTTTCGGTGTCTATGTATTACAAAGAAAATAAAAACCGAAAACGCAAAGCCCTACTTATAAATTATAGGAGTTAAAACCAACCGAAAACTCCTAATTATAATTGGAAGAAAGTGAATCTTCGTAGATGTCTCAAACTTTGAAGTATCAAGGCCATTCTTCTTACCTGTATGTCTCCTTGAGTTCGGTGACTTCTTCCTCTGGGTAGGCGTGCGACTTGCTCTCTTCCAGAAAGGCATTTGCATAAGCTAGCGGTCCAGCATTAACCTTCAAACAAAATAAAAGAAACTAAATTCAGACTTTTTGTCTAGCAACCCAACTAGCACAGGCAAAGAGCAATATCACATCTCAATAGTGATACAATGCTTCGAGCTAAAGAAAGAGTTTCTGCACATTATTTGAATTCAGTTTGTGGACTGTTAAGAGCTGATAATTTGTCCAAATGCGGGATTTCGCTTTTGCTTTCTTGGCGCACCATTTCCTCTTATAACCAACTGCCCATGCAATGCATAAAGAATAAACATGCACATATTTACATACTTGAGAATTAATTTACCTCAGGACCGCCCCCGTCATCTCATCCCAACGAGCAGCATCAAACAACAAAAGCTTACCTAAAAAGACACATTACTCTCCTAATTGTTCCTTTTCTTTACATAAAACTTAGAATACATCTACTGCTTTGTACCCATATCAGCAGTGGCTACCGTGCCCGCCTGCTCTAACAATTGAAACAATGCAAACTGAAGTGAAGGCAATCAGGGTAACACATTGACGACAGAAAATGGGCATTCAGTTTTTTTTTTTTTTTTTTAATGCATTTCACCTGAACTCCGATGCTGCCCTGGAGCTTGAGTTGAAGTTTCTTGAGGTCGGTGGGCTTCCATTTGACCACCTCGTCCAGCTCGGCAACCCTGGTCTGCATCTCGTCAATGGCCACTTCAATGGGGTTCAGGTCTTTGGTCCGCCGCTCCTTCACTGGGATCCTCTTCTTCACGTAGGGAAAGCTGTAATCCGCTGCACGCGGGAGATGAAAATTGGCGATGGGTTAGCTTCTTTGTGCTAAACATTTCTACAAACACTAGTCGATATTTCCTTAGAAATGAAATGTGATATTAATATTTTTTTAGAAGCGTTGATCCTGGCGGCTGAGCCCTACTGAGCGTGCTTCTTACCCTGGGTACTCTTATAGAGAAGCAACACCCACAAAAGCACTGTGGAGAAGCAACACTCGTGAAAACAAGCTCCATGGGTGTTGGTGCACCGGTGTTCAATAAGAGGCGCACTCAACAGGGCAAAGGGGTGTCCAAACAGGATACTACAAAACGCACGACTCCGACAAACCGTGTGGTGCTCCGCTTCCAGCTGTTTTTCTTTGCCAGGGGGGAAACTTCCCCCGTCAAATCGCGAGGGGGAGATTTGACGGGGGGAAGTTTCCCCCGGCAGATTTGACGGGGAGAAGTTTCCCCCCAGCAAAAGAAAAAGTGGCCGGAAGCGGAGCACGGCACGATTTGTTGGAGTCGTGCGTTTTGTAGTATCCTGTTTGGACACCCCTTACCCCGCCCCTTTTAACACTAGGAAAAGTATGAATATTGCAATTACTCCCATGACCCCAAAAAGGTTATAGCAAGATATATAAATCTACTCGACTAAGTATAGCAGGGCATCTCTACAAGTTTAGTTTTTTTGCCAAATTTGTCATTTACTTGCCATCCCAAGGCACCAAACTTTTTTAAGTACTAGTTAAATTAAAATTAGCTTATAAATGAACAATTGGAAGCTTGGGAAAAATTAGCTTATAAATGAACAAGTGGAAGCTTGGGAACAACTTTAAGAGTTCAGTTGGGTTTTCGTGAAAGGCTTCAAAAAACTATTCTATATTCAATTAAAAAATATTCAGCCAAAACCACTATTCGCTTCAAACTAAAAAAGAATTTGAGTTTCTCAGTTAAATGCAAAGAGAAGTCTTCAGTCACTACTAAGTGCAAGGGTCAACAGCTTTACTCAAAAAGCTTTCATGATTTCATTGATTTTGTCCCTTTAATTGCCAGCGATGAGACATTTTGTTATAGGTTTGGTCAGCTGTATTGTTTTTGTTTTTTGTTATTTTGCAGTCCATTGTATAATATACTGTAATTTACTACCCCACAATCGTTAAAGCCCCTCAAATTACTGAATCAAATTGAGAAATAAACAGTGGACTGAAGCCACAATTGTGTTTTTGGCTAATATGGCCTTTAATGGCCAACACTTCAGAACAACATATGGCCCTGAAAGCAGAGCACAGATTTCCTTCTTGAGAAAGACTTCCAAAATGTCCACAAGAAACAACCTCGCAAATGACAATGGCACTCCCAGTTTTGCCTATAAACACAGTGATACGACAATGATGTCATGAACCTCTGCACCAATATAAAGACTGCAATATCCCTTTCCAAAAACGCTCCTTTAAAATTAAAAAAAAAAAGGTCACTTCATTAAATATACAAAGAAAAAAGTCATCATAACCCTAGAGAATTCAAAAACTGTCCCTGATTTTCAATATCGAGAGTTGCATGAATTGGGCTGTCGATACCACAAAAATCATCATTCAGCAATTGCTGTAGGCAGGCATGCTACCATTAGTGCCAACGATGCACCACTTGTCACGGTGCATCTCCACCTGGTCTCCGCGTTGAAGTGCCAGCGGTGGCAAGGGGCGCACACTCACTGGTGAGGATGGTGCGTCGCTTGCACTGCTCGTCGGGCGAGCCCCTGGCCTTGGTTCCGTCCAGGGTGAAGGGGGTCTCAAACATGAACTCGCTGATGTTGTTGTGGCGCTCAAACTCCGTCTGCCGCTGCACAAACTCCATCTCCGTGAAGTAGGGCACCACGTGCGTCACCTGGACGTAGGCGTACTTGGGGTCCAGGTCGTCCGGGTTCACCTGGTGAGAATCCACGGATCATGTGCGAGAACAGACTTTGTAGTCAAGGTGCAACAATGTGGTATGTAGCTACGTAGTTCACGTATGCAACAAATCTTATATTCTGCTTGGAATCACAAACGTTGTACAACACCCGTGTGTAACTGTACCATAAGGATCTCAACACAGCTGTACAAAGCCGGCATTGTAATACCATACTATACATCTATGTAACACACGTGTACTGGTATTACTGTGCATTAGGGTACAAGGACTAGCGGAGAGTTTTGGAAGTCGTTATTTCACTAAGGTTATTAGTGGGGTTGAACATAGAAGTGTACAACATGAATTGACATGGTCAGGTTTTGTGATAACGTCAATGGTGAGTTAGCACAAGTATGAATGCTTTGTGGCAAACATACAGCAGGCTCGCAATAATTCAAACTCTGACATTTCAAACTCCTGGCTTATTCAAACAAATTTCAAAATTTTGGTTGGCCTGCGAAGTTTTTAATGTAGCCACTAATTTCGAACAGCGTTTTTGTGTAATCCATACTTTTTGCTCTTGCGGCCCCCTTGAGCGCACTTCTTTCTTATCGAGCACCGGTGCTTGCAAAAAGGCAACACCTGCGAAGCTCACTTTTACGGGTGCTGCTTCTCCGCAGTGCAGCGGTGCTCGGTGGGAAGTGCGCTATAGTCCCCAATAGACAACCTTTTTCCTGGATGAACAAACTTTATTTTGTTTAGAGGTGTCAAGTGCTGTCTAAACAGTCCCCAATAGACAACCTTTTTCCTGGATGAACAAACTTTATTTTGTTTAGGGGTGTCAAGTGCTGTCTAAACAGTCCCCAATAGACAACCTTTTTCCTGGATGAACAAACTTTATTTTGTTTAGAGGTGTCAAGTGCTGTCTAAACAGTCCACAATAGACAACATTTTTGAGGGATGAATAAACTTAACACATACATGTGTGGCACCTGCTTATGATTAGTGTAGAGGAAATCATCAAACATCTGCTTCGTAGGTGAAGCGACCGATAAAACAAATTATAATTTTATCTCACATTATATTTAGATGAGTATCTGATAATTCAAACAAAATTCATGTCTTCCTGGAGTTTGAATTAATGAGTCTACTGTACTGAAAATCCGGGCTTCAGCATGTAATGTGAAGCCCGGATTATTTCGGAAGATTGGTTCTAAAGCTTCCATCTAGCTACAAAACATTAAATACATTTATTATTGTGAAGGCTATGAATTAGCCTGAATGCAAAGCATAATTTAAAAGCAGTAAAAAAGTAAGCCTCAAAACAAATGACTGCTTGAAGGTCTTATTGTGATCTTTATGCATTGTTTCCACTTCCCAAACTGGGTTACTGTTGGAAAAAGGAGACAAGGTTGAGGTACCTGGTTTGAGTCCATGATGATCTTGACCGATTCCTTGCCAAACTTCTCGCAGAACATGCGGTGCAGGCGCTCAGAGATCTCTGGCAGTGACGTCACTTTGGGCTCTTTGTAGATGTACTCCTTCCCAGAATCCTCGCCAAAGTATGCCTGACAGAGAAGACAAAAAGAGACACAACCAAGGTTCTCATGATGAAACTTCAAGCTCCATACACAGTGCCAAAAACTGGAAGAAAAAAAGAAGATGGAGCTTGCAACTGCACGACAGAAATATTTTAAAACCATAATGTCATAGGCAGAAACCAGATTTTGCGATTAGGGTAGAAACCCTCTGTAGTGAAGTGCGTGTATCTCTTTTTTTAGAAAAATCTTCACTATATTATTACACCACAAATGTTCCTAGCAGTATTATAAGCATACTTCGGTTTTACCTCACTATATCCACACGTTTCCTATATCAGACTTTATATTCTGCCGTACCACTACAGGGCAGTAGGTTTAACTGGTGTTTAACATTAAACTTAAAGCTTAAAGTAGTGTAAATACCAAAAACACGGAACTTATGACCCATTCCTAGATGCCTGAATTGACGGTAATTCAAAAGAAGTTGAGATCCACCCACCTGTCCGAAGAAGGCGACGCGGTAGTACTTGCCGAGCAAGCGCTTGCCCGTCCGGTTCACCTCCAGGATCTTGTTGTAAGCCTGGTGCAGGGTCTTGTAGCACTTGGCCAGGGCCTCGTAGTTGCGCCGACGCTCGTAGATGGGCACAATCAGCCGGTACATCTCCGCCATTGCCTCGTACCGTTCCGCCTGCGGTCGACAAAAACGTGCAACAAAGTGTTGCGCAATGAACTCGGGGTGCCTCAACCCCAAAAATTGTCCTTGCAAGAACCTCTTAAGAAGAAACCTGATTGAGGTATATTATATTATATTATATTTGTTTTAAATCCAATCATAGATTCGAAATCACCTTTACACTAAGTGGATCTAAATGAAATAGAAAAGGAGGCCGCATCTCCAGGTGGTGAATGATGTTGATTGGGGCGAAGCTCTGGTGGTGCTGATGATACTGATTTTTTTTTTTTTTATTGCTCATAGGTACTCTGAGTTCCAGGTTGCGTTTCCACTTCATTATTACTGCTTTATGGTCGGTGAAATGCAGAGCCAGTAGTTCTTGTAGTGGATCAGCTTAGATCCGCTAGAAGCTGTGGGAACGCATCTCCACCGCTTAAGTCAACAGTCCATGTCAGAAAGAGAATGTGTGGTATGGATCATGGTTATATACGCAGTTGAGCATTTGACCGCAGCGCCCTCTCGTCTATAAACGTTGAGCCAATGCATGCAAAGTTGAACGCAATTATATACACATTTGACCGCAGCGCCCTCTCCTGTATAGACATTGAGTGGCTACATGCAACGTTGGAGTGTAGCGTAGTGGTTAAGACGTCTACCTTGTAAGCAAGCGGTCCTGAGTTCAAACCCCAGTGTGGGCACGTTTTTTTTTAAAAGTGGGCCGATTCCGGAAGCAGTGCAATCAATGTGAGCACGGATGCCGGACGGACAAGGCTAGACCCTAAGGAGCTTCGCCCCTAAAAATTTATTGGTCCGGCGAGTGAGTAGCATCCACGACCCTGTCAGCTTCTGGAGATGAACGGAGCGTAGTACCGGGCTAATAGGAAGAATCTTAAAACGAAACAAGGGAGCCTTGCCTGGTGGAGGGTGTCTGCACACTGCTCCAGCCGTTCCACGAGGGTGTCCTCGGTGTACTGGAAGTCGTGGGTGCCCGTGTCGTCCTTCAGGTTGGACTCGTCCCTCACCACGTTCGGGGAGCTGTTCTTGAACGCCTTGCAGCCCTCCACAAACACACCTTCGAAAAAACAGAGATTCAACCAAACCTCTTCATACACTAAATGTGCCAGACACCCCCAGGCCAAAGGACAATGCTTACCTTTGTGCTTGAGGTACTCGGCTTCAAGAGCAGCAACATGGATGTAGCACTGTGCCGCCTGTGTGACAAGGGCATTATACGTGCAAATGTAAACGATGGTCTATACACCAGCTGTTTCTTACAGTTCGCTGTAGTAGGAGATGTCATAAAACTAACACTGAGGTCATGTAGAAAGTGACAGTGGTGACACAAATATGGCAGTAATTTACTGCACAAGCTGGAAATGAGCCTGTAAGGACCAGACTGAGCACCAACTTTCAGTTGCACATTCATTCCTTCCACCTTTCCAGTTACGATGGTACGTAGACATGCAGAAATGGACACAGTGTTCTCCTAAGCTTCCAGCTCCTTGCCAAGAGATGGTGATCTTCAAGATTGAGATTTTGGCAGCAATTTATGTGCATCGTATATTAGGCAGAGGTTAACTGCTGACATAAAGACCCTGGATAGGTGGCACAAGCCGCCACCCGATCAAAAGGGTTCAGCCGGTTGCATCCATCCACCCATCCAGCCCACAGTATTTGCTACAAATGGGCTGCATTCCCAATCTCAGTCAAGGAGATCCGTGTTACTCACTAATCAAGCGACACCCGACACGAGCTGATTTTAGAATGTCAAATTATGAAGCCTTTTAGGGCTGGTTCCCCCACTTGCAACTGCTTACAACCGAGTGCCTTAAAACCTTTTGAGATCTCTTACACACTGGCTCCACTATCAGGTAGCCCTGGAACCATTTTACATATATTTCACATCTTTTCAGCGCGTAACTTTTTCTTTCTTGGATCGAAAAACTTTTCGACAGTGTTAGAGATGACCATTCCTCATAGATAGTACATACATTTACTCTCGCAAATACCACAAAACTTTCGCTCTAGTGAAATGAAGTTCCAGGGTCACCTCACAGATGGTGCCAGCGTGTCAGCATGTTCTCTTGTCGTAAGAGATCGCCAGAACTCGGCCCTAAGCAAACAAACGCAAAAGTCTGAACGAGCCTTCAAGAGGCCCCTACCTCAGTGAAGTCCCTGTTCTTGAGGTGGTAGGTGGCCATGCTCTCGAGCCAGGTCTTGCGCAGGGCCGGCGTGGCCGAGTAGCTGTTGGCCAGGCTGTGCTGAAGATCCACCAGCATCTCGGGGTCGTTCTCGTGCTCCCGCATCTGCGTGGTGGCCATCAGCACCGTACGGATCTTCTTGGTCAGGTCCTTCACCTCCTTCGGGAACTCTGCGAGGCAAGGAGCCACCAAGAAAACAATCTGTGTTTCCGCTTGAAATATTATAGATCCTTTTCAAAATTCAGTTTGGCTGCTTCGATCGCTATCATCATCTCGGTGTATGGCATCTGGGCCCAACTGAATGGCAGCCTTCTTGAGGTGGATGAAGGAAGAAGTTGAACAGACTACCAAGTGAAGGATATACACTAAAATCTCGTTGATATGATCTTGTATATTACAATATTCAGAATAATACTATTCTTTTCATTCTCAGTCATCGTCTCATAGGAGCAATTTATTTTAATGTGCAAATTACAAGTAATGTGCGAATAGTGGATTTTTACTTCGAAGCGAATTCAAAGAAAATAGTGATTTTGGTCGAATATCTTTTTTATTGAATATTGAATAGTTTCTCAAAGTCTTACACTACCAAGCACCATGCTTAAAGGACAAGTCCATTCAATTCCAAAAATTCTGGTATTATGAGCGATTATCACGTCAAAGCTACTAATAAACAGTTCTAAGTCATTTGTTTTCTGAAAAGCTAAGTAGTTTTTTTGCATACCTCGTTTAAAGAGAAATCAGAAAGCGGAACTGAATCCTTGCCCGCAGCAGGCAACTTTGGTCCTGCCCGTCGACTACTGGACATCACATGGTACGGAGACATCGGCTACGTCATCAACACAAGAGGCAGACAGCAAAATTCGCCCTCGCGCTCTGCGCCTCGAAAAGTAAGAAACAAACAAAACAATTCTTCCAGTTGTTGACGTTCCACGCAGTGCTGGCTGTGTCTAAGCAGCAACATTGACTGCACTGCTCTTTGTTATCGCCCACTAGATTGGGAGGATTTTAATGATTGCGGGGCCGTTTCAACTTCATTGGCCAGTTTAATAAACATGAAGGCGGAATGGCGACATAATATTTTACGTGTAGGCTTTTCAGATTATACGACATAGGACTGTGTTGTTGTCTCAACTTTGAAATTTGTTTGGAGTTGCCCTTTAAACAAGAATTCAACTGAACTTGTGAAGATTGCTTTCAACCTTTCACTTGCCCACTTCTAGGCTCAGTTATTTTGATATAACTGCATTATATGAACTGTGTCATGTAAACGACAGATTAGTCACAGTTATCCTAATCGAGGGAATTCACAAACCTGCTTGCTACATGCGAGTATTCTTCTATTTTAAATTTGATAACAACAAAAGAAAACAAGCCTGAATGATGAATGCGGGCTGTCAAGACATCGCTGCCTAACATACTCCTGCGTAATTGCGGCAGGCTAGCCCCGTTGAGTGCGTTCCACGTTGAGCACATGCGCACTGCGGGGAAACAATACTCGCAGAGCCCGTGAGCTCTGCGTGTATTGCTATTCCAGCAGCGCATAGGAGCTCGGCAAGAAGCGCACACTCAATGAGACTAACACGCTGCAATCAACACTTCGAAAAGTATGTATATTGGAAGTCACCTCAAAGCAAATACCAAATAGTGTATTATTCTAAACTACTATTCGAAAATTTGAATATTTGCACAACACTAAAATATGATTATATATTTTCCCCGAAAATTAGATAATATGACTGCAGAAGTGGGTTTTGATGGGTATTTAAAAACCTAGAGCCTTTTGATGGCAGAAATTTATTCCATGCATGGGTCGCTGCTTTGTACTGGTCGGTTGTTATGTTCACATAATAGAAACTGAAACAAATAAAAAAAGACTTATGAGGTTATCAAAGAAGCAATTTTCGTCTGCCACTGAATTGTGAATGACGGTGCCCAATGATATACTTTCATGACCGGCAACAGTTTTTCGAAGGTGAAACTGCTTTTTACCCACCAGATGACACTAAATTTTGAAAACTGTCTATTTAGGAGGCAAGCTCAGCAACCTCTATTTAGGAGGCAAGCTCAGCAACCAATAGTTGTGCCCACACTGCTAAGTCTGCCACCCACAGCGAGGAGCAAAAATTGCCAGCCATTAATGTGGGTCCTCCATGTTAAACAAAAACGCTGCGAGTGGAAGAGGAATGGTATGCCAAGTCATGCTTTCTGAGGAAAAAATACAAATTGAATGGACACAAAATATTTTTTTTCTAACTACGAGATCTGAAGCACTGTGAAAGGATGCATAAAACTAGATTAGGTAGTGGGTGCCATTTTTAAGGCTACTGAATCCTCTACAATCTAGATTTATTTTGTCACTCTCTTAACAAATGAGCTACAAAAACAAGGGCACTCAAACAACGTATCTTTCAGCTACTTATTCGTCAAATTCACCTGCTTCATGAAAGAAGGAAGGTCACCCCACCAAAAGCTGTTAATTTATTATCCTCATATCCTGAAACCACCAAGCTGCAAACACCGAAACAATTCCATATAACAATTCCTGCCCAAGAACCCGAAGCAAACATTCCTGCACCAGAACGAGCGCTGGCAATTATTCTGCTCAATCAGGGGCGCACCGAGGTAGCAACGAAATGAACAAACCTGATCTCTGCATCGCCTTGTCACCAGACGCATAGTTGTTGATGATCGACAAACTCTCTTGGAACCTCGCCGTGTTCAAACCGATCACTTCGCCGAGCAATCTCGACACGGAAACTATCAACTGTGGAGAGACAAAGGCAGAACGGCAGTGAGCACGGTCGCACCAGCGAGCTCCCACTAGAAGTCACGAAGTCCGCGATGTGTGCACCCACCTGTAGGTGCACTCTTGTCAGTGCTTTCCGTCCGGTGAACTCAAAGTTGCTCCGCATCAACAGGTAGAGCAGAGCGCATGCCTCGCTCCGAACAGTTGATAGTTTCGAGTTGCAGCAACGAAGAAGCTGCGCACCAAGATTCATTGTGCAATGGTTAATTTATGTGCACGGAAAGGAAACATATTGATTATAAGATACCCGCGGTGGAAGGTTTTTTTGGGGGCTAATTTTTATTGAAGCAAATACTTTAAGAAGGGAATACCAGAGCTTTTTATGAGCAGGTTGATTTTGAAATTGCACCCCCGAGAAATTAAAGGGGCACTGAAGTCATCTTTAAAAAAAAAAAAGCCCTTTTTAACCCTTAATTGCTTAAAAGGTGTTAATTCCCGCATATACTAAGTCCTATATTACAGAACCGCCTACTCATCTCAGGGCAGAAAGAAAAACATGTGAACTCTTTTTTTTCGCGGACTAGATTGTGTGGACCAATGAAAGCCCTACAATACGCGCAGATTCCGAATGATTTTATTATAAGTAATTTCGAACGGAGTCTGATAGGTACACTTTCGAATAAGACCCCTCTTTTTCTCCGCGAGCGAAGCCATCGCTTGCAACTCGCCGACAAGCGCCCTTCGTCGACCACTTCACTCGGAAGAAAATTCTTCCCAAAAAGGGCATGTAGCGATCTTTGAACTCGCTTTTAACAAGTAAATAAGTTATGCACGATTGCGATTTCAGGTTTGCTGGGATGCTTAAAGCGCCTAGAACGAGTTGTCACCACAAAAGGACAATCTCAGAATCGACTTCAGTACCCCTTTAAGGTCTGCAATCTAGTAAGGCCTCAGCCGTCATTTTTTCTTGAACTTGCCTTAATTAATTGCACAAGACAAGTCTTTACTGTAGCCTGTCATTCTTACTTGATACCTTATTGCATGTACACTATGAGCAGAAAATTAGCACTAAACTAACTAAACAAGCCTTCTTGCAATGCTTAGTCTGCCAGAGATGGTAGCTGAAAGTTGCATGACAATCCAAACATTCGTATCATGGTCAACATATTCCAACAAGATAAAAAAAAGAAAAAAAAAGGTATGCTGAGTTTGATAAAACAAACAAAAAATTCTCGATTTAGCTGGATCACACAGACAAAGTCGGTATACTAATGTACAGAATGTGCGCCCAAGGCATTCTTTGGGATCTGTGGTGGAGATCGCAGTCTTTTTTCCTTTGGCTATTCGCCACTCCAGCGAACTATAGGGGCGCGCTGGTCAGGCAAAATGGCGGACGAAAGGAGGTCATTTTTGTAGTTCAACACGTGGACCACCAGAAATTTCTTGCACTGCAGTGTAAAATCGGTGTTACATATGAAAGCAATTTTTCGACAGTAGAAACCTTCTTCTAGTCAGTGCGTAGGAACGACATGGCGGAAGCATAAAAATAATTACTCGAAATTATGTTTCTTTCTATGCTGCCTACAAGAACCAGGCAGTGATAGCGGACGACAAAGTCAAAAGCACCTCTCTTCCGAGTTTCTCCGCATTGCCGCTACGCGGCGTCGGTTTTGCTGGAGTCGCCAATACCATGGTATTTTATTCCAAACCCTGTTCTTTTTTTATGCGATGGTTGGCACATCTTAGCTTTTGTGTTTCTTCCGATCGCCGTAACGCACCCGCGTCCAGCCATCGGTGTTTGCATTTGAACAGTTAGTAGAGATTGCCGTGGTAGAGACACAGTCATCTAGCTTTGCGTTTATCCACTAATTTGGGCGGTGGAAGAATGTCGAGCTCGCAATCGTGGAGTCATGTGTTCAATTCGCGTTAGGACGCATTTAGAATTTTGATCTTTCTTCTCAATTTACCACTCTTTTGTACACATTGTCCTCTGAAGTATGTATGTGTCACGTGTTTTGCAACGGCTTCTGTGGCGTTTCATCTCACTTATCTTGGGGATCCCAGTCATTAAACGCATTCCGCGTTAAAACCTACCTCAAAACACAGCTTGCCACAAAGGAAGGCGTTTCCTTGAAACAGGGCCACGGGAAACTGGAAACGTCAACAACGCTACTGTCATCACCCTCGGTTGCAGAGCTTACGATCGCAGCGAGCGTATGCACCAACCTTGTTGATGAATGCCCGCAGGGCGGCGAAGAGGTGGCGCAGGAGGTTCTCGGACTGGCCCACCTCGAGGAAGGAGAGGTAGATGTCAAAGAGGCGGCGCATGACGGGGTTGTCGCCGTCGTTGAAGAGCAGCGCGTCCTTGAAGCGACCGCAGTACAGGCCGAGCACGTCCAGCGCGATGAGGCCCACCTCCGTGGCCATGTTGGCCTCCAGCAAGGCACGGTAGAAGCTGTCTCCGTCCACCCCATCCACGCCATTCTCTGCAGCGGCCCCAAAACAGACAGATGCGGCACGTTCCGCCATCGCTCTATGGCAGTGGCTCGGGACCGTGGACCCTTTCGAGTCCCTGAACGTCTTCTTAGGGTCCCCAAAGCCCTCGACTGCCAGCCAAGCCGAGCAATAAAACTTTTGTTTATTGATGCTGGCTGTCACACAAAGCTAAATAGACCAAACCATGTGTGCCAAGTGAGCAGGGTTGGTTGCTCTTCGTTTCAGAGATCCAAACTTAGTTCGCACACATTTAATTTTCTTCATCTACACCCTTCTATAGTGGATGGAGCCCCCATCACTTCTGCCGACCCAAAAGGAGTGCCCCAAAAATCAGGGGTCGAGATACACTGCTCTATACTAGCTTGTTACAGTGGACCACAACAAATGCTATGTACCATCAGAGCCAATCACGTGACCTTTAGATTGGGTGGAGCGACGCACAAAACGTGAAGTCAGGTGGCACGTGTGGAGCGCTGGATTGGCGCTAACATGACTTGTAGCGTCCATTACGGTACATCATAAGGGGAAACGAAATTTATGGCACAGGGGTTGTCAAACTTCTCAAACTCGGGGAACACCTCTCCCTCTTGACTGACAGCTAAGTCACCTCCTGGTCTCAGAATTGAGGCACTAATGCAGTGCAGAAGCTTTACAGAGCTTGTGAAAAGTGATGCAGGTATAGTGATATGTCGCTTCAACAAACTACTCAGATGCGCAAACTTTTGTAGAATTCTCCAGAAAAATACCATTGTTTCCAGTGCATTCAGTTGACATGCAATGGGAGCTTCATATCAATAAAAAGCAAAAGAATTTGCACCGTTTCTTTCCTAACCTCTGGAAAGAATAAGTGCCTCACCCATGGCAGCGTTTTCGCTGTAGGTGCTGTTGCAGCGCTGCGTGAAGGTCGGCGGAGCAGTCCTTGCAGGCAGGGTCATGGCTTTGGCCTGTGAGCTTGCAGCCTGCTGGTTGCTACAACGTCCCAGACAGTTTAATCCGTTATACATATATATTACATATCGCATATATTTTTCCAGAATCAAACGAGAAAAAATACTGCTGGTTTCTTTTCACTAACATGAAATGCCTTTGAGAGAAACATCAGCAAAAGACAAACAGTCCGCTTTTTTTCTCTGTCCTGTCTACCGGAGGGAAACAATACAGTTAAAAAGGTTCAAAACTTACTTGTGATCGGTGAGATTTGGTCATAACTGATCACATCAAGCAACTTTTTGTCTTCTAAAAAGCTAGCACACTCATTTTTGCTACATTCATTTCCTCAGCTATGCCTACCTTACAGGTCATACACAGAGTTCTTCGTCTTTGTCTCTTCCTCCGTTCTAATTTCTGTCCTTCATCCCAAATGACGACTTTAAACGCATGCAAGGATTACACTCTTCCGAATTTGGCAGGAAAAGTTAACTGAAAGAAAGAAACCTAATCTTCGGCCAACCAATGCATGCCGACGAAAAGCGAGAGCACAAGCGCTAGTGGGTAACTTTCTTACCGTCCTCTCAAAATGTGCTTCTTCCCCATGTACCTGAACTGATGCAAACACAACCTAAAAAAGAAAAAAAAGAAAACGATTAGACCAAGTAGTTTTACCTTTACGCCTAGGGGATGATACAATGTGACCATTCACTTACTCCAAGAGATGAAAGAAGTCTAGTAAGTCGCACTCTCTGCATTGCTGCCACCATCCGATCAGCAGATCTGCGCAACGATTCTTGGTCGGTTACTTGTGGCAATGAGAACAAGAACACAGACAAGGGGGAGAGTGGAAACAAACCTTCGTTCAATTGCTTGATGATGTAGAGGAAACAAATTAAGAGGTCCTTGATTTCTGCAGGCTCAAACTTGTCGTACCGAACAACTCCGGTGTGGCTTGCAAATGGCAGAGACTGAGACCTGGAATGACAATGGTATGAAAGATGGCAGTCAAAGCAGTGGTATATGTCAATAGTACTACTTAACTGCATTCCAAGACCTGGTCTGAGAGTAGTGCAAATTAGTAAGCTGCATTTGTCACAATATCAGGCATTTGTGGGTCAATAAAAAGGAAGATGCTAGGACCGCACAAATATCCAAATTTTCAAATAGCAATTTCTAATAATGCACTATTTGGTATTCGCTTTGAGATGAACTGCAATATTTATATTTTTTAAAGGGTTGATTGCGGCGGATTAGTCCCGTTTGAGCATGCTTCTTACCGAGCACCGGTGCACTGTAGAGAAGCAACACGCGCGAAGCTCGCTCTTGCAAGTGTTGCACGCGTGTGCCAAGTATACCGTATTTATTCGAATATAAGGCGGTCACGATTATAAGGCGAGGGGGCAGTTGAAGGACCAAAGAAAAAGAAAAAAGTTTGCACACTAATATAAGGCGAAAGAAACGAAAGAAGGCAATTAAATTCCTTACCTTTCAGCGAAGCAGACACAAGTATTTGAACTATCTGCACACAAAGATATTTATTCGGAGCGAGACGAAAGACAAACTTAGAAGCTGTTGTCTTCAGAAGTGGTAGCATCCGAATCATCCTTATCACTTTCGCACTCAAAGAGGTCAGCGTCTTCGGTGCCGTCAAGGGCATTGGAAATGCAGCACTTGCGGAACGATGCTGCAACCATAGCTTCGGGGATCGCTGCCCATGCGTCGACCACCCACTGGGCGAGCATAGACGGGGACGCCCGCTTTAGACGTCCCGACGGCGTGAGGGCCACAGTGTCAGACGCCATCCATTCATTGTACAGCCGTCTGACGTGTGCCTTAAAGGGCTTGTTAAGACAAACGTCAAGCGGCTGTAGTTGGCTTGTCATGCCCCCCGGGATGACGACCAGCTCCGTGCGTTCGTCCACCAGCTTCTTCTTCACACCCTCCGTGAGATGTCCGCGGAACGCGTCGAGGACCAGCATTGACCTCCGGGCGAGCAGTGCCCCTGGTCTTCGGCACCACACCGACTTAATCCAGTTCAGAAAAAGCTCTTCCGTCATCCACCCCTTCTCCTGGCAACGAATGTGGACGTTCTGCGGGAAGACCTCGTTCTTCGGAAAGGTCTTTCTCTTCAGGATGATGAAGGGGGGCAACTTCCGCCCATCGGCGGTGCAGGCTAACATAACGGTGATCCTAGCCTTCTCGTTGCCTGTAGTGCGCAGGCTCACTTGGCGATCACCTTTTTGGTGAATGGTCTGGGGCGACGGCATGTCAAAAAAAATCGGGGTTTCGTCGGCGTTGCCCATCTGCCCGAGTAGAAAGTCGTGGTCGCGTCGCAGGCCGATAACATATCTCTGAAAAGAGATTAGTTTCTCTTCGTAGTCCTCGGGCAACTTCTGCATCACGGAGGTCCGCCTTCGCAAGGAAAATCCGGCCCTCTTCATATATTTCTGCACCCAGCCCCGGCTAGCTTTGAACTTGAGAGCGGGGATGCCACGCTCTCTCGCGATTTCGCGCGCCTTCATCTGCACGATGTCGGAAGTAACGGCCAAACCGCGGCCTCTCCTCTCTTTGATGAACTGCGTCAGCACTTCTTCCACTTCGGGGAACGCTCCCTTTCGCGGGCCACGGAAAGCCTTTCTCGTCGCTGCGCAGGCGAACAGCGCAGTCTTCTGTTTGCGCCAACGACGCACGTTGTTCTCCGGAACACCAAACTTCCGACCCGCCGCGCAGTTTCCAGAAACCTCCGCCTCTGATACAACCTTCCTCTTGAAGGCTGCATCATAGTGGCAACGGTGACTCGCCATTGCGCTGGTAGCGTAAATAAGCGAGCACTGAAAAAATCCTGCCGCAGAGACTCGGCCACTCCAACAAAAAAATGCAAAATGGCGTCCCAACTTGTTTACAAACTTTGCGGCTACTACTGGCTTGGAAGCGGCTACTGCTGGCTCAGCTCGTTGATATGGTTGAAGGCGTCTGCAGCCATCGCGTCTCCTGCATCGCAGCTGCCTAAACTCGGTAGTTACTATCTGTAACTTGCGTTTGTGTAACATTTTGTATGTTTTATTCTTAAATCTCTGCGTTAGATTTGTAACAGTATTGTCGGGCTCTTTTGGAAGCTTGGAAATGGTTGAAAGGCGGAAACCGAAACTGTTACACCAAAATTGCCGTATTGCTGTACTGAGCTTCGAATATAAGGCGGGGTACGACTTTGAGACTAAGGATTTCGGAAAAAAACCTCGCCTTATATTCGAATAAATACGGTATTTAGAAAAAAACAAAAAACTGAGAATTTCGATATCTACATTGCAGCAAAATTTTCAAAACTAAACTGCTTATTATGAAAGAGTATATGTTAGGCACAGATGCCCTGACCAACTGCATATCACTTGCGAATGTCTTATTTTATTTTTTTTTATTCGAGATTGAACAAAGGATATTTGCATAAAGCAAGATTTATAAATTCCTTCGATTAGGTATAGCTGGGCACCTCTCTTGGTTTAATTTTATGTCATATGTGCTGTTTCCTTGCCATTCCAATGTGGGCATTAGACTTTCTGAGGCTACAGTTCATATAGTTAGATTAAAATTAGCTTAGTTTACAAATGGGCAAGTGGAAGCTTGGGAACAATCTTCAAGAGTTCAGCAGAGTTTTCATTAAAGCATGGTGCTATTGGGAAAAGCTTGGAGAAACTTTTTGATACTGCATTTAAAATATTTGACCAAAACTACAAATCACTTTAAACTCAAAATCCACTATTTGTACCATATATAATTAAAATAATAAAACACAGCTGTATATGCAATAAGTAGTAATGTCGAAAATGGTTATCAACAGCTACACAAATAAAAAGAAATCAATAATGAGCTGGTTAGATGACCATTAATTAAAGAATGGGTAGGAAATGGTAAATGGTAGAGAAAAAATTATGCCCAGGTCTCTTAACAAGAAACCAATGCACCAGCTGGTTACATGACCACTTATCAAGTAATGCGTATTCTATGACTGTTGATAGAAGGGTGCATGAAACGGCAAATGCTGGGGAAAATATGACACATAGATGCTGCAAACAAGCATGCACAGAGGTGCAAAATCCAAAGAGCTTGCGACCACACATGCTTCGTGAGAGTTCATGGTTTCGAACACTGCCCAGAGTTTGTCACAAGCAAGATGTTTCCAGCTCATCAAATTTTGTGATAGATCACTTCCTTAAGTCTTAGCTCAGCACCGCATAAGAAGAAAAGGAAGCCCACCTAACGTGACCCTTGCTCATGAGGCTGCCATCCCGCGTAAAGCACTTGTCGACGCCCGCATCGCCATTCCTCATGGCGGGCTCGACGTCCTTCGCAGAAGAGCTCGAGGGGGTGGACGACTCGCTCTCCAGGGACGTGCACGAGCCGTTGGCAAAGGTCACTCCCATGTGGGGAACCGGAACTGCAAGAAGTGACAAGCTCTCTGAATCAACGTGCCAAACGCTACGGTCCACCGAGAAAGTCTAGATGCAACATTCAGCACAGTGAGCCATCCGTTCATGCCTCTCTCTCGGTACGCACTGCCAAGTGATAAGTAGCTGGGTGTTAGCGTAAGGATGGAAGACTGAATTCAGAAGACTACAGCAACCGTACTCTGTTTCATCTAAGTGCCAGCGAAGCCGAAGCTACAAGCGCGAGCATCTAGCTCTGAACAACGTTTGCACCTCACGAATGTGCATGCTCAGTAGGCACATCCAAAATGAACAAGCTCGATCTTGTCGCTTTTGCTAAGCTTGCACTTACGGAGTATAGTCATCGGGTAAGGACATTATGTCCATAACCCTTAATAGGTTGTCAACTGTTTTCAAGCCCAAACCTTCATGCGGCATTGTGGGGGGAGAAATATTTAGGCTCGCGAAGTGAATTTGGATGCCCATCTGCCCTTGTGTACTATATATCATGCTTTGGAAGTCACACGGTGTCAGCTTGGAAATGCTGCAAGAGTGCAGAAGCCCACTCAGCTCAAAACATTTCCCAAGGTCATGCACTCAAATCTGAGCCTTCTATGGAAAGTTCCAGTGCCAATGACAATTGCTGGGCATAGCCCGTCAAAGAGCTGGAGAAAAGTGTTCAAGGACACACGCAAAGGAAAAAAAATGTCATAAAACATATTCACAAAAAAAAAAAATTTTAGAGCTATATTTACGGTGCAAAATGAATTTGTAGTTGATGCCCACGGGAGCCACCGCTGGTCACGTGGTAGGCCTGTGCGCCGCCATGCAGTGCCACCACCGCCGCAATAGTCATGCCACCGCCGCACGCCAAGCGTGATGCACCACCGGTTCAACGCGTTTCTCCACGCCGCCGCCACCACCGTCAATTTCTGACCAGTGCACAGGTCTATCACGTCTGCTTGCGCTTTTTCAGGAACTTCTTTTGGGCTCTCAAAGTTACTTATTAATCTCCGTTTTTTGTTGCACTTTAAAACGAAAATGAATAAATAACTTTTAAGACCATAAAAAGGTTCCAAAAAAGCGGAAGCACTATGTGATAAATAGCGGACACTTTTCCGTGGCACCTGCGGGCGCCAAATACAAAGTCGTTTTGCGCCGTAAATATAGCTCTAAAAATTTTTTTTTTGTAAATTTATTTTATGATATTGTTTTCCATCCAGGCTGTTAAAAAAAAAAAGAAAAAGATTTTTTTCTTTGCATGTGTCTTTTAAGGGGCAGTTACCGTATTTACTCGCATAATGAATACACATTTTTTCCGAAAAATTTACACATTTTTTGGGAGGTGCGTTCATTATGCGGGGTAACATTTTTGCAGTTACACACTTCGTGCAAATGTCATACTAGGTGCCAATCCGACATGGCATTGTACTGTGGCACGTCTCCACTGATGGAGGTGCACCCACGGCTGGTCGGGGGGGGGGGGGGCACGCCACAGTAACCATGCTTAATAAATTGCAAACCTTTATAGGGCGCTTTCGGTATGCCTTTTGCCGAAGAAAAAGTGCCCTACGAAGCTCACTCAGCGCGGAGAGCAACGAGACTGTTATTAGGCCTAACCACTTTCACAATTTCACTATCCGAAAGCGCACCACAGACGATGGCATGTTTGTTGACATAAATGCATCCGATAGGCGAAGAATGTCCAGGGCTGGGCGATTTCTCGACCCCCAAGCTTTGTCAAGTGTGCGCGTTGCTCGGTTTCACGGTCGACCACTTCCATAACTACGCACTTGCAGCCATTACGAGAACGGCTTGGCTTGGCTTGGCTTGACTTGGCCTGACCACTTGGTGGCAAAAAACAAATTGGCTTAGTGGACTTGGTGATTAGCTAAGTTGGACACAATTCGAAGTCCAAATATTGGTACCCGTTGTGGGGGTGCATTCATTATGCGAGTGCATTCATTATGCGAGTAAATACGGCAGTAAATGATAGGTAAACGTTCAAAGAACCTCTCCTTTGGATACGTGTATCTCCTTGTACAATGAAAGTTTCTGCTTGTAGTTCTAATAAAGTTACAAAAACAGTCAATGTCATTTTAAAAGTAGGCAAGCTGGTGTATGCAACTTGTAACAAAAGTACCTGAAACTAGGAGAGGTATGAACAGATGAAATCCAATTAAATGGAGAGCACCCTAAAAAACACCTTATCTTCAGCACATAAACACTTCTCGTGGCTCACTTTTTATGAAATTTTGAGTTCATGCTCTATTGCAGCCTCAGTGACACTTCAACAAAGTAAAAGAGTGCTTATTTATAAATTCAGTCCTGCTGCATGGCCTCCATTTTCAAACCTACAGCACAATTTATGCTATAATTTAACGCATCGCCAAGTAATTTTGATCTAGCTCATAGAAGCAAGAACTAGTAAGTAAACATGCAATATTCAGCTCTAAATCAAGCTTCATGCACTAGGCACATTTCTAGCCTGTGCTAAGAACAATGTGAGCTCATGCCTTCAGGACATGGGTTTCAGCAGTGAGATTGCACATCCACATTTTTATGATTATTTTTTTCGTCCATATCACAGCACTCACTAAACTCACAACAGGGCGCAACAGCAGCAACAATGCATTAGCACTATGGGTAACTAGCCAACAACTAAAAGTTATGCAATTAAAAAAAAAAAAGAAAAAAGGTTGGAAAGCCAAAGCTAAAAATATCTGATAGAGAACACGGAATACAAAAAATCTAAAGGGCACACCTTTGGAAAATGAAAACGATTTGAAGAGAAAGTTTCCACTGTGATCAAGTTGTCTAATCTGATACCATACAACTACGAAATTTTTTTCGTATGAGACACAAAATGTATTTGAGTCTCAGTGAAGCAGATAAAAAGCCAAAATAAAATACCTAAAGACTTTATGGACCACCAAAATAGATACCAAAGACTTTATGGACCACTAAAAGAGGGTGACATTGGGTTGTCGACTTCTGCATTTGTGTGACACTTAGTGTCACACAAATGCAGAAGTCGACAACCGAATGTCACCCTCTCTTAGCGGTCCATAAATGTTGATGTTACTACTAGGTAGTACTATCAATGCCTGATTGAAAATCCAAACCATTCTGTTCACAATGAAAAAACTATTGTGGCTATAGAAAGAATGAAAGGCAATAAAGGATAACTGACCACAACCATGCTTTAAGTAACAACTGTCACACTCACCAAATTTAAGTAAATTTAAGATTAATTACCCAAAAGCTAATTACAAATACCCAGAGAATAAACATCTAAAAATGTCTTCCATGGTGTTATAAAAATTATAAACATAACAGGGGCTGTTTAGGTGGAATGAACAAGTGGTAAAATAATCTGAAGTATTCCTTGCCATGTGAACAATTTTTAAATTCTTTTTATTTGTTTCCTTCAGTAAAATTCAGTTGCAAGTTACGCCTCGTCCTGTGCACTTTTTTTCCTGTCCCCATGTTTTTTGGCGTATTTACCACTACGCATAAGTACCAACTAGACCAACTCGTAATGTTAATATAATTTTTAAATTGTCAGGCCACCGTTTTAAAATTCCCATGAAAGCTTGCCAAAATTTTATAGTTCTTTGATAGCCATTTCAAAATTTCCCTGTAGATTTTCCAGACACCTTTATAATTTCGTAATGAACCTGAACCTTAATTTTCTAAAATTATTCAAGTACAGCAAAAGTTTTCCAACTGTTTATTGCCTGCAGTAAAATAAGGAGATCTGTTTATAAATTGGTCACTAGAAATACTATTCATAATCAAGCCTTGAATAACAAGTTGTGCATCACTAAGCTCCATTGACAAAACCAAAAATATCTTCTACAGCCATTCACATCAAGGATAAAAACCCTCTTAAAAGTTTCAATCATACCTTCTCAAAAAACAAAAAAAAAAGAGGTAGGCCTGAGGGAGGTAGGACAAAAGACAAGAAAAAAAGCCAAGCCACCGCCAAAAAGCTTGCTGCCACGAACGAAGCAAACCGACCTACAGAAGCAGCAGCAGTAGCCGTGACAACGTTGCCAGAGCTAGAAGCTCTTCGAGAGGAACCGCTACTTACTACTTGAAGGGTGCGATAGGCGCCATTTTAGCCAAGCTGTCCTCTTCGTTAGCGAGAGCGGAGGCGACGCTAAAAAGTGCCCCAATGTCAGAGAGAGGAAAAACGGACCGGTCCAACATCAAAGGCCAAGACAGAAGATTGGCTGAAGATGTGCGAAAGGCAACACCATCTGGTGATCTGCCCACACCCTAGCAGAGTAATCCTCTCCATTGCGATGCAGGCCACACATTTGTGCGAACTGCATCGTAAGCAGTCACAAGAGGTTCCAACACACTTGGTTACACTCAAACACACAGGTGTGAACCAGCCTCAAATCAGTCAGCATTTGGCACGTTCACCACCAGATGGCGCACATCCACACATCTCCTTTCCAAGGGGACAGGGAAGGAATTGGTTAGTAGATAGGATGAACAAGTGGTCCAACTTGAAGGGTAGAAAGAGAGGTCCACGGTAGCCAAAAGGAGAAAATTCGCATGCAACGTTCACACCGCAAAAGAAACACAAAACAGAGCTGCACAACTTTTCTCTTTGAAGTACACATGGAGAAAAGTACACTAACATGGTTGTTTAAGTTGTGCATAGACAAAACTACAAAATGTGTAAAAAAAACAAAAAAAATATAATTAGACAAGAGCACAACAGGCAATGAAAGCCTACTGGAAACAGAAAGTCTATTTCTTCCTTTTCAGGTTCATAAAGTGCACGGAAATAGTAAATAGATGTAAAAGAAGAACATATTTCAATGTTTTGTTTCATTCATCGGCAATATGATATGGTAACATGGTTATCCACACTACTGGGTGTATCAAGGAGTGGCCAGGCTCTTTAAATCGACCGCAAAATTCGGTTTCTTAACTTATCGCGCTACGACTTTGTGCAGCGTTGCCCACAGATGGTGCATTCTTTTTGTAAAATTTGCAGAGTGAATTTACCTGAGAAAAAGTAAAGAAAGAAAAAGGCTTAGCTCTTATGGAAATGCGGCAAAGCCAAAGGTTGTCAAACAATACGACGCCGTTTCGCACGGGAGACAAGCGATGGCGCAAGCGGTCGCGATGCCAACTGCGCCAACGAACGAGCATACGGCGCCGAGAGCCGGCGTCTTGAGCAGACAATCTTTTCAACTCAAAAGTGGCGTGAGCTTTTCTGATATCAGTTGCCAATGCATTATTTTAACATCCTTACTGATAAAACATATTGAATGGACACATAATGGATTAGAAAAATGGTTTGTCGGGATATTTTGACTGTTTTATTCGGGGTACCAATGTTCTCTGCTTTTCAGTTCCTTGTTGTTACCATGCTTGTTTTTGTTTTTGTGACTGTCGTGGCGACAGTTGCAGAACGCGCTCCGCTTTTGAGTCAAAAAGATTGTCTGTTCAAGACGCCGGCTCTCGGAGCCATATGCTCGTTCGTTGGCGCAGTCGGCATCGCGACCGCTTGCGCCATCGCTTGTCTCCCGTGCAAAACAGCGTCGTATTGTTTGACAACCTTTGGCTTTGCCGCATTTCCATAGGAGCTAAGCCTTTTTCTTTCTTTACTTTTTCCTCAAGTAAGTTCGCTCTTTGCAAATTTTACAAAAAAAAAAATGCACAATTTGTGGGCAACGCTGCACAAAGTCGTAGCACGATAAGTTAAGAAACCGAATTTTGCGGTCAATTTAAAGAACGTAGCCACACTTGATACACCCACTATATCACTTCAAAAGTCTCCCCCTTAGCACAGTGGTAGATACAGTCTTGGACTCCAAATCTTGAGGTCCCAAATTCAACTCTTGTTGGGGGACTTTTGAAATTATATTCTTTCTTATCAATTTATTCCTATTTCTCTCACATATGTGCTCTTTTGTCTGAATTTTCCCTCGAAATCCGTGCCACACAGTTCGTCGCAGTTTTTCGTGGTATTCTCAGTCACGCTTTTCACGAGAATCTTGGTCCTTAACCCTTCAAGGGCTGGGTTTCTCTCCCCCACGCGGAACGCAAATTTTGGTCTCAGTTATACTAGTAAGATCTGTGAAGAATGTTTATTTATAAAACACACACAATCCATGGAAAAAAAGTTAATCAATGTCTGCGTGCTTCCAACTTATGACATACTTCTCGTATTGTCCTTTTTGAGACACGGTACTATGCAGTGGCACTTTAACCTCACAACCTGAGGTCACTCCTTTGCCTGTGTTTATTAGGAACTAAAGCTTTTTTGTTTTCACAGAAATCAAATAAAGTGTTCATTGGTAATTTCTAGAACTCAGTGTTTGCCATGAAGAACTAGGTTGAACGACATAGATTCACCACTATAGCAACGAACTAGCAAACCAAAACGAGTTGCCTAAAAGAAAAAAGACATGCTACCAAAAAGTGAAACTACAAGATAGTGATAAAACATAGTTTTCATCACTTGTTAATACGTGCTGCTAAAACAAAAAAAAAATAAAAAATAATAAAGACAGTTTAGTTTCAAGATAGTGATAAAACATAGTTTTATCACTTACTAATACGTGCTGCTAAAACAAAAATAAAAGAAAAAAAATAAAGACAGTTTAGTTTGAAGGGGCAGGGAGCAAACCGAAATCGAAACAACATAGGAACGCACCCAGGTATGCTCGATTGTGGCACTTCAAGGGTTAAACACATTCTGCATTAGAACACCCGCCAAGCGAAAATTAATTTTTATTATTTATGATATTAAATTAGTAATTTTTACAGTTTATGGTGCTTATAACCTTTTCATTATAAATCTGGTGCTAAATTTGATATAGCTTTTTTTTTTTAAGTTCTCCATGCAAAGTAGATACAGAAAAAAACATTTTCTTGCTAACGCGTGAAACATAGCAACACACTTAAAAAAGCCTACTAAAATAAACCAATTCGCTCCTTTTAAACCACTGAGTGCAACAAACAACAAAAATAATGTGTGCGATACTTCCTTCATTTTACAATTTATAAAAATAGCAAAACTTCCATTTCAAAGGGGTTAACAAACATTCTTTAAATTTTTTCTGAACATAAAAAAAATATATATATATATTCTAGCCAAACTTAGATAGTTGCACTCTATGCATTATAAAGCATATGCATGCCAAATTTGGTTGTGATAGGACAATATTAAGAACAGAAATTCCTGTGCACAAACTGTGAAGGTGCTCTAAAATTACATAAAAAGAAAAATGCGTTCGAATGTTACCATAGATGTGCAATTATACCCTTTCGCGGTGCAAAAAATGATAAATTGTTAATAAATTTCCATAAGAAATTGAAACCACATAAGACTGCAATGGAGGGGAGATGGCTAGGCCTGCATGTCAGCGTAAATGTGACGACGGGCAACGTCACAACTTGAAGAACCACGCAGAGAAAAGTGGCTCAAATTCATGCTGTTCTAGGTTGCCTGGAAGTCTTCAAATGCATATTTGACTAATTTTGCGATCATAACTGGCACTAATTATTTGTGTACATAAATATAAAGAGTTTCAAAAGTAATAAAACACCATAAAAGCCCAAATCACATTCTTTGCCAAATATTGCCGTTTTTCGACCTGCATCTCTTTTTGAAAAGGGGAGTCGGAAAGAGTTTGAAAAGGAATGGCCAAGCTCACCTTGCCCCGCAATGATGGAGAGGTAGTTGGAGTCTCTGTTGTGCCTCGTGGAACCCGGCAAGGAAGAGGGACCGTCCACCATGATGCTGTTGCGATACGAGACGCCGCTGGGCGGCGTGCCAGGCTCGTCCGGCATGTGGTTCAGGCTGTCCGCCTTGCTCGTCTTGCGCGACGGAGAGGTGGCGCAGGACGCCCCCGCAGCGTGGCACGCCGGGGCCGCCTGCTGGTCGGACGTGCTGAACCGGTTGATGTTGCTCAGCAGCACGGAGATCAGTGGCAGGTAGAGCGAGGCAATGCGCGCTTGTTGGGCCTGTCGAGACATTTAAAACTTGGCTCAACATAGTTTCAAGCTTCTGCTAAAGTACTCCTCTGGAATGCTGTGAAATCGAGTTAAACGTGCAAAAACTGAGAGAAGAGGAACTACTGAGGTATTTGTAATGACATACCATCTTTTCGTGCCTAATTTTATGTGTTTGGAAAAGTGGAGGACGACCTAGGAGGGCAACATCGAATTGGTGTGCACTGATCTGAGGGCAGCCAACTCCACTAATGCGAAGGCCAATATCTTCCTTTACTTTCTGTTCCGAGTTGTTAAAGGGGAAGGATGCGTATGAACCAAAAGTAAACAATTTGAGGTGCAAGGTTCCAAGAAACACCCTGTTCTTTCATCTGTCTCAGGTACCTGGCCTTCAAAATGTGTGACAATTTTCCCTCCAGAACTGGCATGTCCAAAACCCAGAAACCAACGAGAAGTCTGAAACTTGGCAAAGCGTACGCCCTCGCAGTCCTAAAACTCTTCAAAAACGATGGGTTTCTTGAGGTCGTCGCAAGGTTTAGCCACAGGGTTTTTGGCACAAACTGACTTGCTAGCAGAAGTGACCATACGTTCAAAGAAAATATACTCGCAAACAATTTTCTGTACCTGTGCAGTCAACGGTACGAGGGCACGTGCTCGAACACTGAATAAAGTTGCGCATGAGCACTCCTCCTATCGTCGAAAATGACACAGAAAGTTGAGTATGAGTATATGAGTATAACATGAGTATATCCATGAGTATATGAGTATACATGAGTATATCCACGAGTATAACAGTAAACCTTGAAAAATACTAAACCATTCAATGATATGATCTTCTTGGTGAACCCAATTTCAGATGGTATAAAGTAAGCAAGCAGGCTTATAGACAAGTTGTTCGATTTGTTAACGGCTCCTGGGATAGCACATAAAGAAATAGCCTTGTTCGCTTGCTATACAGTGAAACCCGTTTTGAATGAACCCACGTACAGCGAATTATTGTCGATATCGAACTCACGAAAAGTTTAAATAAAAATGCATGTAAAAAGTATGCTTTATAACGAACAACATATTGCTATATCAAACTTTTTTCGCCGGGAAGGCTTCCAAAAGCGCGCAATCTAGCCTGTCCCTTCCCACAGAAAAGCAGTAGGAAAAAAATAAAATTCCAAAAGCTTAAGGGGGGACACTACCCAGAAAAAACAATTACTGCAAAAAAACTGTCATTTTGAAAGATGTCATATTTACATTCACCAGCATCTAGAGGGTATTCCCAAAAAGTTTCATTCGATTTTACTGCATAGTTAATTTTTTATAAATTATTTTCGGTCCACAAATGCTGAAGAAAAGGTAGAGGTTGGAGCACTTTGAATGCACTTTCATCCATTCCACTTTTTGGCATAAATTTCACTTCAGGAAAACTATTGTTCTGTTACTACATAACTTGGATTCATTTTATGAGTTTTTCTGGGGTGAAATTTTAAGGGGAAGATAACTATGAGCTTGTATTTTTTATTTTTGTCATCTTTCATGCTCAAAAACAAAAAATTTGGACAAAGGATGCAAATCAAGAAAACTGTATTTGTGCTTACGTGGCTTTTTTGTCATGAAAGATGGTATAGCATAGAAATATAGCTCCATAGTTATCTGTTCTGAACTGTCCTAATGCAATATAACACATGAAAACGGCAAATTTATAAGTAATTTCAAAACGATAGTTTTCCTACGCAGGCACGCCCAGTTTCATCTTTGAGTGGTTGCAGTTTTTTTTTGTACTTCACCCAGGTTAACAAAATTTGGTAGAAATGTTCTCAACATCAACAGAAACAAGCCCTGTAAATATAATTTAAATCAGACAAGTGGTTCAAAAATTTACTTTTTTGAGTAGCGTCCCCCCTTAAGTTGCGAACAAAAATTAGAGAAGAGAAGCGACTCAAAAGGGGAGAAAGCTAAAAAATACCCTGCACGCGTACAAAAAAAAAAAAAATTCTAGCGCGAGGTTACAAGGCGGGAGTCAAGAGATGAGAAAGAAAGAGAAGCTCTTGCCTTACAACGAACTCATCGTGGGAGTTCGTTGTGGACGTTTTTTGCTATATCGAACTACTTGCTATATCGAACTAATCATAGCGCTTCCTGCAGTTCGTTATAAACAGGTTTGACTGTATAAGTTTGCCGTTCACATAACAAAGGGCAATCTTCTGCACTATCTCTCGGTCAAAAGACCGTTACAAAAGCCCTGCAAGAAAAGAAGCAAAATCACTCACTGGGCCTTGGTAACGGTCGTCGAAGGCGTGCTTGGCCAGGAGGTTGCAGACAACGCCGATGGCCCTCTGGCGGACCTTCTGGACTTCACTCAGTGCCGCCCGCAGTTCCAGCAGCAGTGCTCCAACCAGGAAGTGGCTCCGGCAGAACTCCTCCGACAGACGATACTCCATCTCGTAGTCTGGGTTGGTCACGTGACGGGAGGCACAAGAGGCGGCATTAGTAAGCACCACCTTTGGCTGTCGCGTTCGACGACATGTCAGAACGGGAATGACTGTGAATGCATTCTGGAAACTTGGCAAAGAAGGCATGAGCAGAGGATGAAAGGAGTTAATTCAGCAGTACCGTAAAATCCTGAGCAGATGTCCACTTAAAAGATGGAGATAATTGTGCAAAACTGGGGGATGGGTGCTCCTTAGGTCAACAATATGCAAAGATATGTCCTTTGTGCAATTTTAGAATGTTACAAAATTGAGGGATGGGCACTTATTGTGGAATGGACGGATGCTTAGCATTTTGCGGTAAAGTGAATCAGTATCTCTCATGACTTGGCAGTAAAGCGACTGACTATCCTCTATGTCACTGGGGTAAGAAGCAACTTCGGCAAGCCTACACAGTAAAAAGAAGCCAGCAGGATGTTTCACAAACCTACTCCTATCTAAACACTTATCTAAAATTAAAATAAAATTTGCAATATCCTATTTCCTCTACTTCACAGTTCCTTTTAGTTATTTGTACTAAATGATGATCAGCAGACATATAGAATAGTTAGATACATAAAGTTACATAGTCACTAATGTTAACGAAGGTGAAATCAATGCCTCAATAATAGATGCTCAGATGCGAACCTTCATACATATCATTTGACCCCAGCACAAAGCCGGTAGGTAAGGCTCCACGTGAAATGCTAACTCTGAATCTCAGACAATAGCTGAAAACGACAAAACATCACGTAATTAAAGACTTGAGTGTGTTGGTGATCTACATTGACTTAAAACGAAAGAAACACACAAGAGGACGAAAGCTGCGTCGTCTGTTTCGTCCTCTTGTGTGTTTCTTTCGTTTTAAGTCAATGCAGATCACGTAATAATGGTGACAATGATTCACGGCATTTTCACAAAGTTAGCATGCTATCCACACCAATCTCTACATTTCCCCAAGCACCGCTTGGGAACTGCAAGCATGGCAGATGCAAGCCGTAAGATTCTAAACATCAAAAGTAAACAAAAAAAAAAAAGATAAAGAAATGGTGATGTGCACACTTCAACCAAGATCCTCCTTCAGAAAATCATAAACACCACACCAGGACAAACGAGACCAGAAAGCAGGTAAAGGAAAAAAGCAAAAACTCCAATTAAAAAGTGTACTACCAGAAGCCACAGCATAGCAAGCACTGCTGGTACTGCACAAAAGCAAAAACCAAATGTCAAAATCTACTGTTCGGCTACACGGCAACCAAAGTTAATTGCTAGTCACCTAATAATGAAGCACAAGAGCACACGGGGAAATATGCTCAGCTTGGGAAATCGCACCAAAAACCCCAAAGAGAGATTGGAATGCCCCACAAAAGCCGTTAAAGAAAAAAACTGCACCAAAAGGACAGTGTAAGCACTATGCTGCCTGTCCTCAGTATTTTAAAAATATCATCGCTCAAAAATTGTTTTGTTATTTGTGCCGGATTCTTTCCCCACCTAACAAGTTTAATTATTTGTTTTGATACAAAACAAATATGTAAAAAAAAAAACAAAAAAAAACTGCCTAATGGTAAAATTTAAACAAAACTCTGAAGAAAGAACATGAGTTTACCTCCTACCATCTTCAAATAAATGCAATGAATGTAAGTAGCCAATACCACTGCCTGACAACCATCTCACAAGATAATAAAAATGCTTTCACCTGCTCACAAGTATTTCGAATGTTAAAAAAGGATGTTCTACTTGATGAACACGACTCTCCTCATTGAACTACATAACAGACAAGTACCTAGTCATTTCCAACTTATGTGAACATGGAAGAAACTAAGAACTTTCTATTTAAGGGTCCTACAAAAAAAAAAAGACAGCGGGAAAGAAAAAAGAAAATGTTCACAGGGGTCATCATGGCTGGTGCAAAAACCCAGGAAGGGGAAAAAAAAAAAGGTGGTTCGACTCTACAACTATGCAAGCAGCAGCTGCTACCACAGCCCGTTCCCATGTGAGCTCCGCACACCTCGCACACAACCAACACCAGAGGGCGCAAGCGACTAAGAGGCTCGAGCAGGAGTTGAGGTTCCGAGGTCAGGAGGTGAGGCAGGGCAGGATGGGGGTGCCGGCATTTCTTTTTTTTTTTCTTTCTTTTCTTTTTCCCATGATCCATTAGTGTTTTTTTTTTTTTTTCTTAAATTCTCCAACTTAAAAGTTGGAACTTACCGCCCGACGCAACCTCCTCGCTTTCGTCTGCTCCCCCATCAGATGCAACAAAGACACAAGACAGGGACGGCCATTACTCAGTTGTCTTTTTTTTCCCTTGGAGACTTCAAGACTTTTAGAACAAAACAAAATGTGCTTCATACACAGTGCAGGTTCAACATACTATTCCTTAAAACAACATTGTAGTACAGATTATGGTTGAACAACTCTTATGTAAAGTACTTTAAACTACAGCAACATTCTAAAACCTCCTCCAGCAGACATCAGAACAAACAGGCAGTTCTTCGTGCCACTGCATATTTTGTGAGGATCGAAATGTCTCATTCCTTGAATCTCACTTTCTCGTTTTTTGTTGTGTGACAGGTTATAATTTGATTCCTTTTATATTCACTTAACTCATCCTTTAAAACTTCTACCTCATTTCACCTTTAGCCTCAATACTATAACCTATGTTCAGACTAAACACCACAGCACGCTACTCATTACAAATATCCTGTATCTATTTTTAAAAAAGCACATTGCTCTTGCTAAGTTAGAAACATATCACTAAAAGCCTGTTTTCTGTTTCTCAACTTTATAAACACACGCAATAAATCCTCATAGAGCCCCCAAAACAATACCACATTCAGTGGCTAGTCACTCTTTTCTGCAGTGCAAATAGGTAGTGGCTCGTTCTAGGTCACAACTACTGTCTAAAATATATTCCTAGTACATAATGCCAACGCTAACGAAGTTTCCACTGCCTTGCAGCCCGAGTTTCTGAGCAGCAATGTTAGTTACAAGGGTTTGAAAGATCTCTGTAGTACAGTTGATCTAATAAAAAAATGCAGATCAATTGCCAGAAAATAGTCAAAGGCAGAGTGCCACAGAACAGGCTAAGATGTTACAACAGCTGTTACTCGAGCAGTTAGATTTTCCAGTGGCGACGCTTAATTAATACAATGTACGCTGAATGTTCCAACAGGTGTCATAACCTTGGAATCAAAGTCATTGCAACGCTTGCTAAGCAAACTAGGAACAACGCTAATGCTAAGTGCAGTTCGTGCTCTGCAGGGAAGTACGCATATGGACATTTGTTCGTGTGCACTGGACACACAAGTGAAGTTTAGCAGACTTTTGTGAGCACTGTGCAGGGAGCTGTGCTGTGTTAGGAAGCCACAGGTGGTTGGGTATTTTCGGGTAAGCAGTGCATAGACCATACTCCGTTCACCCTTGAGCCAAGACTATGGTGTGCGCCAAACCTAAACGTGCTCTCTGCGTGTGGGCATGGGCAAGAGCGCAAAAACGTGGCAAAAGAGGCGTATGACTGGTTCAACGAGGACGTAACTTCCGCCATAGTCTCAGCTTAGGAGTGAGCAGGGTATAGCACAGCGAGAATCGGTAAAAGGAACGGTGTGGTAAAACTCACTTTAAAAGTGAAAGGGTGCTCATTATAGCTACCTTGTTCTGAGAGGAATCAAATTACAGTAGTTGAATTAGTGTGGTCATGATTAAGAAAAGACACAGCTCTACGAGGCAAAAAATACGCCGAACATTTTTTTGAATGTGCATATTTGAAGATTGGCATTAGCACTTATCCTCCTGCCCCGAAGTATTTCCACAAAATAAGTATCTTTCATCTTAAAATATTGTCCTGAGATAATAAAATAGGTCTGTGCATGTTTTTTTGCTATTCTTTCAGAATGAACTATTCACACACTTTGCTATTTTATGGAAGCCACATCTTCACTTGCAGCTTTACAATCTTCATAATCTTTTTTCTCTCTGGTAGGTGTATATGCAAAGTATTCAATAAGGGGAATAAATACACTAAACTTTCACTCGAGCGAATGTCGGTTTAATAAATATTTCAGAATAACAAACTCTAAAAAAAAAAAAACGCCGGTTTTCTATGCATTCTATGCGAAAATGTTTCAGTTAAACGAAAAACGAATTTCGGAATAGCGAATATTTCAGTTCATTGAACTTGATCAGTGGACCCAGGATTATTTTTCCAATCAATTCAACTAAGTTTTGAGCTCTGCAGTGCTGGCGTAGCCGATGCCCGCCGCCGCCCCGCCGCCGCCTCTGCAGCGGCGGCGTATCGTCGCTGGCATTTACATCACCACCGAGGCAAAGCGGCGGTGCAGTAGACGAAAACGAACCACACGGTGTGTCTGTTTTTTCCACTATCTCTATGACAATTGCTAGATCGAGCATCCCCGCTTGGTCGCTGCAGCGCGAGTGCGGCTACCGGACGGCCATCTTGCATGCAGAAAAATCGCGTTTTTGGAGTGTTGCGGAGGCTGGCGGCAGCGTGCTGAAGACAAGTTTTCTGCTTGTTCGTGGTCATACGCCGAAAAAGTTCTTTAAAACCCTGTGTAAGCCATAAGACTTGCTGTCGAGAACACGTGGAAATTTTTACAGAAGTGCAGTGCCGCAGGAAAAAGGCACTGCACCAGTCTTGCAGCGTGATCAAAGCTACCCTCACATGCCGAGTGCTGCGTCTCTGTGCCTGTCAAGGTGCACTAAGGACATTTCTGAGATCGTCTGTGCTTGGTAATACTTATCTTACGAGCTCTAAGCATCCTAAAAATCGAAAAATTATGCTCGTACAACATCTATTTCTCTGCTAGAAATGTTATTAAAATTTGTGCCATGCCCCTTTCTGAGCTCCAGATTTTCCACTCAGAAAGAGGCATGGCACGAATTTCGATAACATTTTTAGTAGAGAAATAGACGTTGCACGGGCATAGTTTTTAGATTTCTGGGATGCTTAAATCTTGTAGAATGAGTTATCACCAAGAACAGACAATGTCAGAAATGTCTTTAGCGCACCTTTAAGAGTGCCGGTGCAAATGAAAATTACAGATCTTTTCTTTTTTAATGAGAAAGGCAGCATTTTGTATATATTGATGTACATGACTCCATATATTGAATTTCACACTTCTGACTCAATGTATACTGTTCCCTATGCTGTTCCATGTTCTAGTGAATATATTCAGTTTAGTGAACTTTCTGTTAAGTGAACCATTTCCTTGGGTCCCTTGAAGTTTGCTCAAGTGAGAGTTTACTGTAGGTTAAATATGGCACCAGGCTTCTTTGTAGATACTTTTATACTTTCTGAAATAAATAATTTTGACATTAGAAAAGTCAAAAGTGTAGAAAAAAACTATTAATCATTGTAAAGCTTTCATTCAAACCTTATTGGATTCCACATACCCTCCACTTTATTGAAATATGCTTAATTTCTCATTTAAGTATTTCAATTTGTTTTAATCTTTCCCATAATTTTTGTCAAATGAAGCTTTCAATATTAACAAAACTAATCACGGCACAATAAACCGAGCACATATTTGTAGTCGGATTGTAAAGGCAGATAAGCTATGTAAATTTCACTTGAATTAGATCGCAGGTAATATAAAAAGCTCTAGAAGCAGTGTTGCCCTTAACATAGGAATGTGCAAATACAAAATCATGTTACAGGCTATTCTCAAGAGAAGGAAATGCACGAGTGGTAAAAAGTCGGTCACTTTAGGTGAATAAAAATTATTTTCTGGGTGCACCCCAAAGAAATAGAGCTCTCAAGCATACATAGTATCATGTTGCAATTAGTTCAATTTAAGTAGAGACTATAATTATTAATGAATACCAAAACATTTTATTTCTCTAAAGGTCACAACTAAGGCTTCAATTTAAGGAGGTAAAGCAGGATTTATATGGCACCACTAAAATACACCACTCATATCTCCAAAATTTTATTAAAACTCTACACGGGGTGTTTCAGAAAAGTGGAGAAATTCGATATTGCAAAAACTATGCATCGCACCAAAGAAAGGTTTGTGTCATTTTGGTCCTAGGCCAGGGGCCTATTTAGGAAAAATATTAAAGATTTGGATACTTAAGTTGTTAATTATTTTCGCATAAATAATTTTTTAAATATTGAGTTTAAGGGCATGGTTTCATTTGGAAACTTGCTGAGCATGACTGAAAAACACTGAATAAAAAAATTGGAGTGCAAAAGACGGAACGTGCTGCATTTTACAGCTTTCTGAAAACAGTACAACTTCAACGGGTTTTTTTAGTTTCGGTTTGCAATCAGAGCACTTCTCAGTATCGACGATATCGTGCCCCGTGGAGAAATAATGCAACCAATATCTGGTTCGCTGTCCTCGCGCAACGCAGCAGAGGCAGTTGCACTATTTCTCCACAAGGTGCAATGCCGTCGGTGCCGAGAAGCGACCCCTCCGATTGCAAACCGAAACTTTAACACCTGTCCAAGTTGTGCGGTTTTTTAGAAAGCTGCAAGATGCAGCGCGTGCCTTTTATCGCACTCCAATTTTTTTATTTAGTGTTTTTTGACGATGCTCAGCAAGTTTCCAAATAAAACCATGCCCTTAAACTCAACATTTAAAAAATAATTACGCGAAAATAATTAACAACTTAAGTATCCCGAACTTTAATAATTTTCCTAAATAGGCCCCTGGCCTAAGACCAAAATGACACAAGCCTTTTTTTGTGTGATGCATAGTTTTCGCCATATCGGATTTGTCCACCTTTTGTGAAACACCCTGTATAGCATTCTATTTAGTCAAAGATATGAAGCATAACTTATATTATGATCACAAATTTTGCTAAATTTCAGGTTAATATTTAATCATCTGTTTTATCTTTAAAAACATTGAACTTCTTTTCTTTGTAATGCCTCACTCTAAGTCTTGTAAAAAAAATATGGGACTAATAAATATTAGTCATAAAAGAAAACTTATTATAGACCATTGCAGCTCAACAAGGTAGGACAAGGGAAAGGAAGGCCAGGGAGGAGAAAGCAGACGGAACGCTAGAGAGGAGAGGCGGAAACTTTCTCTTCTCTTTAGCGTTTCGTCTGCTTCCTCCTCCCCGGCCTTCCTCTCCCTCACCCTACCTTCTTGAGTTACAACAGACTATATGTAGAAATTAAGTTCAAATTAAACTTATGTCAAACATTATGGATAGTTACATGCCCCGACTTCTAGCCGGCAACAATCAACTTGTGAAACAGAGCTTGTGTTCAAGTCACGAGAAAAGAGGAGTCCCCCCCCCCATAGAAAGTAAAACCAAGCTAATTTAGCACCCACACATGATTCTTTTCCCCCTTTCACCCCTAATAAACCTTCCAGATAAAACCCCTCATAACATAATTTTGGCTGCATCATGATGGACGCCAACAGTAATGGCTCAAAGGAAAGACAACTAGCTTTTGTACAAGAGTGACCGCAAAATCGTTGGCAAGAAAAGCACCAAGATCAGCGACAGACACGCAGTAGAGAAGAACAGAGAACTTTGCCTTACTCACAGTGGACTCTGCCAACAAACAAGTCGCTGCAAGGACAGACACGGGTACGCACACAAACACAAAGAGAAGGCTGCATCGAGACACATCCGCAGACCCCACCTTTGGTGTTCTTTGAGTGGCCTCGGCTGTAAGTGCCCTTCAGTGAGGGCAAGTTGAGGGCAATGAAGTGCTCGTGGGAGCAGATAATCTCCAGGAACTCAAACTTGTAACAGTGCAGCTCCTGCAAGGACGGAGGACCAGTTTAAACATTCAGTCAAGTAATCGGAACAAGGCATAATAAACTGTCCAATAGGCATGTTAACACATTTTCCGCATGAAGAAATGCGATAAAAAACAAGACCAGCACCCACCATTTCATCTCCAGATTTGAACTTCTCAAGGTAGGAGTTGATCAGCTTGAACACGAATCCTCTGTCCATTAGTGAGAAACACCGCTGTAAGTTCAGAAGGATGTCAAGTTAAAACAAGGAAATCACATGCCCACATAAAAAAAAAAGTAGTTTAGCTTATTCAGTGGGCAACGACACCTGCACAGAATTAAATCGGAATGAAAAGAAGAGGCTTCATACATCACTCATAACACACTGCAGCTCACTATATGAGAAACAACTGCTAGCATTATGAACCGCGTTTGTTACTTCGGGGGTTTGTCAAAAATTATCATTTGTAAATAGTGAATCTCGGTATCTATAAACCGGGCTGTCAGATGTGCACGTCGGCCTGAAATGTGTACTGTGTGACACAGTGCAAACATGACATCAGCATTCTTCTGGATTTAGCTCAAACACAGTATTGACGAGCATCAAACTTTACCACTTAAGTTGGCACGCCAAATAAGCACTTTACTAACACAAAGCAGTTCTAAAGGAAATCCTTCAATTTTATGGATTTGAGCAGAAGTATAGAGCATCAATATCCAGTCACGCTGGAGCATAGATCAGACCTTGAGGAAGTGTGCCAGTCCTTGGTTCGCCTGTCTGGTCTCGTTGCGCAGATCTTTGAACTTGTGCAAAATGTGGGGCATGACCGCGTTCACCAGGGTACGCACACGGTTGTGGTACTCCTGGGAGAACCGCTCATGACGCTGCATCTGGAAAACCCCGAGATGCACTTGTTGGAGCGATGATGGTAATCCATTTCTCTCAGAAACAAAGAAATAAAATTATGTTCTTTTTGTTAAGTAACCTTGATAACCACATTGACCCATCCTACTTTAGCGGCAGCATCTCTGTTACCGTTTCACATTTTCAGTATGCATTTAACAGTCCGAAAAATATTTCCATTTTTAAGTTTTTGCGTAACATGTGGTCGCATGAGAATACAAAGCGCATATTCTGCATCAGAAAGAATCATAGGCTGAAGAGTTTTACAATAATGTTATGTTGTTTATCTAAAAGAAAATGGATGGATATCCCTACTGATTTTACAGAACTAACTTTTCCAGCTCACTTTTATCGTACTCACACATGCCTCATGTCACGAAACACAATTTTATGAAAATTTTGCAACATTATGTTTTCTCGTTTATCTACTATTCCAAATCTCCACTGTAGAAAATAGAGCTTTCATTCTTCAAAAAAAAAAACAAAAAAAAACATCAAAACTGACAAACAAAAACATAACTTGAACACGCAAGTAGGACCTGACAGGTAAGCAATTTTCTAAAGAAAAATTACCGCTTTATTTTTGATGTCCTAGCTCAAAGATTTAGAAGCACAGCTACACCCCGATGTGACTATAAGTGACACAACTAAGTAGAATTGGCCCATCCCACATACCAACACACAAAGAGTGCCCCTAAGAGTACAGTATCATTTGAAAAGTCTGGCAGCCCTCCTGAGCACAATAAAGGGAGGGTTGATCGACCAATACATACCTTGATGCGGTCTGTGTTCATGAGGTGCTGCGCCATGGACTTAGCCAGGATCTGGAAGAAGAACCACGACTGGTGCAGGAACTTGTGCACCACCAGGAAGTCCGCATTGTCTGGGCCGAGCAGAGCCGCCAGCGACTTGGCCAGCTCTTCGTGCACCGTCGTCTGCTGAGAGCCCTCGGGGGGCTCCGTCACAAACATGAACTGCAACATCAATCAATCAACCGACCAATCAATTTTATTTGACAAAAACAAATGCACATACAAATCTCTGAACAAGCATACAAACTCATAGCCAGCCTTCGAGACAGTGTTGATGGTGCCACTCATTTTAGCGCTTCACCTCACAGAGTTAGTACTTCACTAAAGAGAACTTTCACATTACTAATACGATTTGGTCAGGTTACTTAATGAAACTGTGGCCTACATAGGGCTCCACTATTTAAAGCCCACCCAGCGGAGGCAAGCCCTCCCACACTGGCTGGGCAGAAACGCCGCAGACTTCCTCTGTTCGATTCCCTCAATTCAGCAGTGGCTGATACCATTTCTGCTGATCACAACCGACCTCCACTTTGCCGACATCAGAGTCAGTTACGCGACACTGCTGTGCGCTGCTAATAAAATTGTGTCGAAGCTTTACTTCACTTTCGTCTTCTACCTCATTCACAAGTCATTCTCAGCATTTGTCCCAACTTGCCGCAGCAACCGCACTCTAAAGGCACACACATTTGAGTGCGACCATGTGCGTCTGCTCCTGTGATTGTTACTAGTAATAGAACACGCTCGTTCCACTTATTGGGTCATCCTGAAACACTTCTGTTTTGCTTATCGTTACTAATATTCTACTGCACCATTCTTTCCTCATGAGCTTAAAAAGCTTTCTGACAATGCTATAGGCAATAATTTCTCATTGATAGTACACATATTTGATCTCTCAAATATTGCAAAACCTTTGCTCTAGTGAAATGCAGTCATATGGACACCCCATAGGTCGTTCCAGCATTTTCTATTTCCGCACAAGGTTGCAAGAGCTCGGTCGTAAGCAAACGCAAGTGTGTGAACGGGCCTTTCGATGTCTGTCAGAAGACGGCGACAAGAGCTAGACAGCGTAGTAAAGGCACCGTCGAGTCTTCCGAAAGGCCCATCATCGGCAGGCAGGACTCGCCTGGACGTAGCTGTGCAGGACGTCTTCTTTGCCGGCCTCGTGCACGCACGTCACGAGGTGGATGAGCACCCGCACGGTGTTGAGGGCCACCTCCTCGCTGCCCGTGCTCACGATCAGCCTCAGCAGCTGGTTCAGCACCGTCGGGAGGAAGTGCACCATGGCATTGCCTTCCACCGCGTGCAGGGCCTGACGACACAAGGGCAACCAGAAACATTCATCGAGCTCAGCTGCTAGTGCTAGAGGTGTCTGCTACTGGAGTCACCTGCTACAGACGGTTTATGTCAAACATCTCCCAAAAGGCGCATGTACGGTAGAGCCTCTTTATAGACGGTTTGTGTCAAACACCTCCCAAAGGGTGCATGTACGGTAGAGCCTCTTTACAGACGGTTTGTGTCAAACATCTCCCAAAGGGTGCATGTACGGTAGAGCCTTTTTACAGTAAAAGAACGATAAATACACACAAACACGCGGAAGTGACATTGCGCTGTTGCGGTGGCACTGTTGTCGGCATGGTGCATGCACAGACGCATGCGAAATCTGGTCTGCGCATGTACAGTGCCCACGTCTGGTGTGAACAGATGCTGACTTGTTTCTAAACAGTGCTGTCGGTCTATAGCAAAGGTATGGATATAGCAAAGATAAGGTTGAACCATGCTGGTACCACTACTAGTAAGTAGACATGTGCAAATAGTGGTTTTGGCCAAATATTTTCTGATCGAATAATGAAAGCTCTCCAAGCATCTCGCTACCACACACCATGCCTAAACAAAAATACAAGGTTGTTCCCAACATTGCAGGTGTCGACTTCTATGCTAAGTTAATTTTAATACAACTACTATTCATGAACTGTGGCACACGAACGACAAATTTGTCACAGCTATACTAATCGAGAGGAGTAATAAATCTGCTTGCTATATGCAAACATTCTTTCTTCCATTTCAACTCGGAATTTTAAAAAAAAGCACGAACGATGAATGCAGGTTGTCAAGACATCGCTGCATATACTATCGTATAATCGAGGAGGGTTTGCTCCACCGAGTGTGCTTCTCACCGAGCATCTGTGCACTGCAGGGAAGCAATACCCACAAATCCCGCAAGCACTGTGGTGTAGCTTTGCTGCAGTGCACAGGCGCTCGCTCAAAGCGCACTCAACGAGGATAATTCGCCGCAACCAACACTTCAAAAAGTTTGAATATTGCAGTTCATCTCAAAGCGAATATTGAATAGCATATTATTTAAAACTACTATTCGAAAATTCGAATATTTGCACAACACTACTAGTAAGGCATTTGAAGTACTGATACAGTAAAGATAATGATGTAATAAAAAAAAACTTTAACCGGAAAACTTGCACAGACGTCACATCAGCAGCCATTGCGGTGGTCTTGCTGTGGAGCGCATACCTTTTGCAGCATATGTTTTGCACCACCGAATTTGTTTTTCTCAGCGAGGGCAAGTAGGAATGACCTAGAGCATGGTGTGATGATATCATGTGGAAGTCATGTAGAGAGGTTCTACAGAATTGCCTGCCAATGCAACTCAAACAATGCTACAATACTGACTGAATGCAAAGACTTAAATGGCAAACCAATAGGCAGAAATACCTATTACAACTGTGCAACGAGGCCCATAAAGTCCCAGCCCAAATGTAAATAATGCATAAAAGACACAAGGGCTTTTGTGACCATGTTCTGGAGGAGACATGGGTCTTTGAAGCAAAAAAATCCATAAAAAACTTGTCTTTTTTTTTTTGGAAAATGGTGATCTTGAAATTTACAGCTATTTTTCTTTCTATCTGCCAAGTTTCTTATTTTGAAGATTAATATTTGAGGCATAATATCACTTCATAATATCTATATGGACTGAAATTGCACTGAAGCTGATGCTAAAACAAACAATTTCTCAAAACACAAAGTTTAGACCCCTTACAAATTTTCAGAAGGGATATCTCATCATCTAAAGCAGATAGAGATAACTCTTTTAGCACCATGTAGCTAAATGTGCAAATCATGCAATGTTGGAAGATTTTTCAATCTAGGTGTAAGAAAATTTTTTACTGAAATAATGTTTTCCTGCATGGCAGCCACACATTGAGCACTGAATTCAATGTGTTGTAAAGTCACTAATAATGGTTCAATCTAAAAAGTGCTTCCAACATTGCTTTCTTCATAATTTGTAGTACCTGACCATATCTTAAAACATTAATTAAAAAAAAAAAATCTGATTTGTCTCGTTTTTGGAAACAGTCTGGTTAATTATAATTATCCTGCGAAAAAACCTACTAATTAAAAAGAAATGATTGTTCTTTATTGTTTTGGAAACAGTCTGGTTAATTTAGGGTGTCTAGCAAATTATTATGTTGAAATTCCCTGAATGTTCCAGGTTTTCCCTGACAATTTCTGGTGAAATTCAATGACCACTGTAGAGGTGGTTAAATATACAAGACCATTACAACACAAGCACGGTGAGGATCATTTTGAATGGGCTTAATCCAACTTGCATATTCTGAAATTTTAGGGTTCGTCCAGTCCGGGATTAAGCGAACACTTTCTTGCCACCAACATCGTCAGTGAAGAGGCCACTTCCGGAAATGGAATGAAAACACGACGCTGAACCACACACATTGAATGGCAGCATGGTCGCCAGATGCACACTTTCGGATACTTTCGGATTAAGGCTTGGATTGGATTAGTGTCTGTTGCTTTCCCATTTGTTACAAAATCTAGTAGCCTAACTGGATCAAGCCCTCAATCCAAGGCTTGGACTGGATTTGACAGCTGTTCCCTTTGCATCGGGTGAGCAGAGCCCGCGCTCCGCTCTAAGCAGACTTTATTGCCTATTTTTCTGCCCCCAAGTCCTCAAGTCTTTGCTTAGAGCACTCAATGGCGTTTCCGGCTCATTTTCCCTGACTGGGCTCGCTTTTTGATAATATCCCTGACAATTTCCCGATTTTTCCCAGTAATTAAAAATTCCTTGACCATTCCCGGTTTTCCTGGTCGCTAGACACCCTGTTAATTATAATTATCCTGCGAAGTAACTTACTAATTAAAAAGAGTAACAGATATTCGAAATCAGCTCAAAAGTCGGAAGAAGCTAATGCTGTTTCATCGGGCTTGGCAAAAAAAAAAAAAAAAATAAGAAAAAAATCCCCAAGACCAGTGTTCCCCCTTAATGTGCGCAAAAGAACAACAAATGCTTTGCCATGAAAATCGGTACAGTTAGTCAATACCTTGCTTATATCTGAGAGCGGCTAAACGACAGCAAAATACCAACCTTGACCAGCTTAGAGATCTCCCGTCCTGGTTCAGAGCCAACTGAGGCAATTGCCTGTTCCTGCATGGCAAAACCACACAATCTGCCTTCTCAAGAATGCACTGCAAGCTTGTAAATTAACAGCTTGCAGTTTTTATGCCCTATGGCACATTAGTCCAAAAGCTCAATTCAAATATGCGTGATCTTCACTATGAAATGGATCCATCTGCTCCACTCTAAAAATATATCTGTAGTAAGCCATCCTATTCCTCAATATAAAAGAGACTCATGCTACATTGCAACCTGAAACACGAAAATGAGAAATGCAATGCTGTAGAAAAAGAGTAATTATTGAAGTTTTCATATCGATACACTAAAAGTAACAAGAATCATTACTCCTGATTGCTTGGCGTGTGACAGAGATGTTGACTATGACGTAACAATCATTAATTTCATGCAAATATTTTATGAGGTAATTTCCTAATGAAAGGCTTGAGTTATGTAATGAGTCTTGTCCAAAAATTCCTCTCAGCAATTTGAGGGCTTTTTGAGGGTTTGCTAACTGATACTAATCTCTTGAATGACGTATAACTGATAGACTCTTAACACTCATTTAATATTGATACACATCGTTTCACAGCTTTGTTTAATTATACAGATCATCTAAGCCAAATGACTGGAGTATAGATTGTTTTTAGAAATGGTCAATCCTCAAAGCGACACTTGTGTCACTCACAAAAAAATCCTATTAAACCTCTCCAAAAAACAAACAAAAAAATCCTATTAAACCTCTCCAATAAACAAACAAAAAATGCTAGAAAATGCAAGCAAAAAAAAGGTGACTGACATGCACCATTGTCATCATGCTTAGCCGTTAAATACAGAAGACAGATTGTTGGTTAGTAGCCATGCAGGAACAGCCGAGCAAAACAGGTAGATCTCAGTCAAATGTGAGAACACAACTCAATAAACAAGTTCAAAGACAACATATTAAGTTAAAAGCTTCTTGTTATTAAAACAAAACAAAAAATTTTTCTTTTTTCAAGAGCCTTGTGTTTGAGCAGCCCAACAAGTCTGTGCCAGGCAACTTCAGACTGTAGCGAATTTCTGCAAAGCTTCTCAAGCATCAAAAATCACACGTCAGGCATGGTTAAAGCAGAACGAATGCATTGCTCAGGCAGTTACAACCCAATCGGCACAGGCTATAGAACAAGCAATTTCATGCTAACTTTAAAAAAACAAAATTAAAAAAAAAAAATTAGTGCCACATTTTAGCAACAGATAGTACATGATCATAACATACAAAAACTCTTGTTTCGTGTGCAAGCCCCGTCCCGCCCTGTCTCCCGTTTCCCATCCCCTCCCCCCTGTAGTGTGGATGATGGAATCCTGCTATAAACAAACCATTATGCTTGAACATACGAATACTATGCAGGATTTAAAATACAGCAAGGTACAATTCACATCCAAGTCTACCTTGAGGAGAGTACTTGTCTCGGTGTCCGGACCCAGGATCTTAGTCTCGAGCAGCTTCTGACAGTGTACGAAGAAGTTCTGCAGGTGTTGGTCCTAAGGCAAAACAAAAGAAAGCCAAGTTTGCAGGGTCCATTTTTTTTTTCTTAATTGAGGAAGACTTAAAATGACAGCTCTTAAGAATATAACAAACTACACTAATCAGAAAATAAATGCTTGCCAAGCAAACTCCCCCATTATGGAATTCCTAATATAAAAAAGTCTGCCAGTGCTTCGAACGAGAAGCAAGAAAACTAAGCAATTAAGACCGAAAGTTTAATGCCAAAAGACACAGGAACAAAAAGAGATGTATAACAGAGCTGAAAGTATGGCTTGCCCTGTGCTGCCGCTCACTTTTTGTTCAAGTGTTTTCGGTGTGAAACCTCAGTAAGAAAAGCAAAATGACCTTTGAAAAGCCAAACTTGAGCTAGAGATAGTTTCGCTGTAATTGCATCAAATGAACATTAAGAAAGCCTCGAAAATACTCGTGGTTGGTTACAAGTTAAGAATGCAGAAGAAGCTGCACCTCCAGCATGTACTTGAGGAACTCCACTGGGCTTTGGCTGCACATGCGCCAGTGTTGCGAAGAAAGAAAGGCAGCGCTGGGGGGCAGAGCATCGGCTGCCATCTTACCCAGTCACCGAATACAGTGCCAGTTTATTCACAATATAGTAGCACCGTTGAATCATACGAAAAATAGATAGATATACTCAGTGTAAGAATCAGAAGAGGTACCTTGGTATGTACGGTGGAGACCAATTTGAAGCCGACCTTGAACAGCTCCCTGCCTCCCTCAACCATCCGGACGTCAGGTCCACAGAACTGGAAGAGAAGAGAGACTCTCTCAAAAAAGTCTTGGTCTCTCCCCCCTCTCTGCCCTCAAGCACTTTCCGACACTGTTATGGTACCACTGCAAACCCACCACCTAACTATGATTAAAACAGAAAAGAATGAGAGTGATCCATGTCAGTGTAAGATGTCACTATAGGAGATCCACATACAGTAGTGAAGCATGAGCTGTTATTGTGCAGTCCACATGGTTTTCATGAAAGCATTCAATCAAGCAAACCTAGTTACTCTAAACTTCCATAAGAATTCCCACCCAAGATGAAGGGATGAATGGTGAAAAACATGGGGATCAACAGCAAAACTTTATAAAAAGTTAATTTGCGTTCCACGGTGCGGGACTTCTCTATAAACTCGTCACGGGAAAAGATACCGCAGACTGCGGATGCAGCAGATTTGTTTCACGGTACAGACGGAAACCCGCCGCAAACTCGCATTTCACGGGAACGGATACGTATACTAAGGCAAGGCTCCTACTCACCCCTTTCCCAAGTCCAAGGGGCTTGAACGAAAGATATCCAGCAGGTAGATTGGATGCAACGGGCAAGATGCCCTCTTCAATGTTCAGCCTGGAACAAGAAACAGCATAAGACGACAGTGGCAGCGTACTCGCTACCCTAGCAAGCCTCCAGAGATTGCAACCCTGTAGCACCTACTAACCAACCCATCGCAGCATTCATGCTGAGCCAACTATAGGCACTGTAAACCCATTAATTCACACACATTCACTTCAAGCATGACTACAGGCCTGCACATATTTGGAGATGAGTTTCTTTACAAAAAAGTGAATTTCTTCAAAGCTTCCCAAAAAAATGCTAGCCGTTATTTTGAAATCCGCCAGGCCCCTTCTCCCCAGCTTCCCTACCAGTTTGAGACAAAGTGAGCAAGATCAAAGTAGAGATGATCTCACTTCAGCCCCTAAACCATTCAAAGTACTCTACTGAGCAGACACAATTTCCACAAGAATTTCCCAGATGCCAGGTTTGTTCTTGCAGCAATGGAAGTCCACATAAAAGAAATAGCAATATGGGCACACTCACCTGCCCTTGTTGAGCAGCGGGAGCCAGGAGTAACCGACCACAGTCTCAACAGGGCCGTCCTTTCGCTTGGTGGCCTTGACCATGTCGCAGCTCACATGGTAGAAGGTGAACAGCAGGTGGTGCTTATCGTGAAGGTCCAGGGGAAGCCCTATCTTCACCTGCATTGCGTTGGGGCAGGTATGTACAGGTATGTGCACACATTCACCTTGAATAAACATGGGCTAGCCCGACTAATGCATTATCTAAAGGAGACAGGCATCAACGTGCCTCTACATCAACTGCTTTAGCATAGGCATCTTTTAGCTTTTATGTGATTTTTGTGAGATTCGGAATGGACGCATCACCAAGGTAAGGAGGTAACATTTAAGTAAAAATCAAAACCTAGAATTCAGAGGTGTTGTATACAGTGGTGGAACTGACAAGTGGTGATTTGGAGCAGCTCTTTTAGCAGGGAAAGTGGATTTTGGAGCAGAGATTCCCCCTTTTGGAGCAGACCAATTTTGAGCTTTCATGTCAGAAAATTTTATGATCGCTTTTGAAGTTAGCCTGTGGAAAAAACTACAGTTGTTGGGGTGTTGGGAGACTATTTTTTAAAGTGTCATACCTACAGGGGACCTAGCTGCTACAGGTATTTATTTATTTGTTCAACAATCACACGCAGTTAATTTTGCAGATGCCTCAATTAACCTATTCGGAGTATTGATGACGTCTTTGGTCTGTGTTTGACACAAAAAATGTGTTTGACTACTTTGTAGGGTTTGTATCACAGTGACGTAATTACTATTGCAAGTTTGACGTCAGGTGGACACTTTTGTGTTGAATGTGCCGCACATTGCCCTCGCTCGTATTTTACCTGCTACTGTTCATACAGCAGCTAAGCGGAGCACATAGCTACTCTAACCAATCACAACAAGTAGCACTAGCTTTTCATTGCAATCGATGTGAGCACCATTCGCATACCTGCCAACCTGTGGACTTTCAAATTCGTAAAAGTTGTGCGGCTGCGGCGGGGGGTTTACGCGAAGCGATGTTCTGCTTAATGTCAGCCTGGCCAGCGTGCGAAACACTTACATCACACATGCACGTGCTACACAATCCAAACTTCTCTCGCTTTTTGGGCGGCACGAAGCACGGAACTTTTGGCGTGTAGGGCTTCAGGAACACCTGAAAGTACCTCTTTTGAGGTTTTGAATTCGGCATTGCGCCGCGAAGCCAGTGACCAGGAGAATGAAACAGTTACACGTGCAACAAACACAGACGCCGTACTTCTTGTCTCAAAACTGGCCGAAACAATGAGGCCCAACAACATCTGAACACGCCGAACAAACATGCACCTGTGCACCGCCAAACACACGAACAAAGGCTTTGAGCTTTGGATTGGTTTTCGATCCATGGCCACCGGATAGACGGATAGTAAAAACCACGACGCTGCTGTGGACGGTACCTATCACCCTCTTGTGGCGGTGCAAGATACGGCCAACAACGGAATTACAAAAACGAAAAAAAATAAAAAAAACATATATATTTTTTGTAAGATTTGAAGCAAGATTCGTAAAATCGTAAAATTAGTCTAGTCCCAATTCATACATTTTACGAAAATTTCGGAAGAGTTGGCAGGTATGCATTCGCACAAAAACCAACAACTCTTCTTAAGGCATGCACAAATAATACGGTAGATTTTGGGTTCGAAGCAAATTGAAAGTGAATATCGGTTTTGGCCGAATATTTCTTAATTGAATATTGAATAGTTGCTGCACCTTTCTCCGCGGCTTTCACCACTGTTACACCCTGCTTAATTGAAAATTCAGCTGTACTTGCAAACGCTGTTACCAAGCTTCTAATGGCCCACCATATTTATAGATTGCCCAGCTATATTTATAGGTTGTGGCTTCAAAAAGTTTAATACCTACATGGAGATGGCAAGCAAATGACAGATTTGACATACAATTAAACCTATAAATGAGCTCAGCAATACCTAATCAAGGGGGTTTAGAAATCTTCTTGCTATATAAAAGTATTTTCTTTGATTCATAATTTTAAAAAAAATCAGAACTAATGAACACAGGTTGTCAGAACATCGCTGCCTAACATATACCTATGCATAGTAGCCACAGTTAAATTTTAAAGAATTTACTGCAATGTAAATATCAACAATTACAATTCCTTTTTTTTTTTTTTAATACACGAGGCATGCATTATACCATTTTGAAGGTGTGTGTTTTGCCTAAGCACACGGCTGCGCTGCCACGAAGCGAGTCGCCGGATCGCAGTGTCAGCTCCTCGAGTATTGCTTCTCCACAGTGCACCAGTGCTTGAGGAGAAGCCCACTCAAGAGGGCTCACCCGCCGCAATCGCCACTTCGAAAGTATGAATATTGAAGTTAATATTAAAGTGAATATCAAATAATGCATTATTTAAAAATTTGAATATTTGCACAGCCCTACTCTTTACATAAACTTAGGCATCCTAAAAAAAACAATAAATGTACTTTCTTAATTTTCAGTGGCATCGCCAACAATTCCATGTGCCAGACACTTCCAGTTTCCTCTTCGGAAACAGCTCCCTTTTGGCGCAGACATGGCATAAACTGTGCGCAAATACAGCCTTTGGAGCAGCACGTAGCAAATTATTTGTTCCGGTGCAGTTTGGCACAAATGGCACAGCAGTTCGGCCACCGCATACAGTCTCAAATATGTTATGCTTAGAAACTACCATTTTTATACCAATCTCTTTGGCACTGCATCTGTCTAGTATTGAGGCATTAACCATCTCATAAATGCTCAGGCATTCACAAGGCTGTTGATGCCTCACGAATCCCTAAGCATTCGTGAAGCACTGTTTTGATTCAAAGTGTGAATATCAGGATGACTCTAGTAGCAAAACAGAGTGTAGGTCTCCTTACCTCTTCATAGAAGTCAGGAGTGACACAGTGATGGGTGACAGCAGTGAAGGACTGGGTCACATAAAGTGACTCCCCTGGGCGGCCATAGATGCACTGCAGTTCAGGTATCAGATTTTGAGTATTTTATTGTTTTACATGCACAATCTGAATGAACTCCTCAAAAGCCTAAAAAAATTAAAAGTTGAGCTGCCAGAAATACAAACAATGAACAAACTAGCAAAATAGAAATGCCTGCAAGATGCGAAGAGGGATTTACTGACACTTATGCAAAGCTAGATTTTTTCAACTTGACTGGGTCGACATTAAGACAATAAAAAAGCATAATTTTCATAAAATACCTATCATAACAATATGTGCCATCACAAAAAAAAAAAGAAGTGTAGAAGAAATTTTTAAGGAACATCCTTCACACCCAGCTTACTTTAAATTTATTTTGCTGCTCTGTCCTTATGCAGGGTGTATGATCTCTCCTCAAGCTATGGAATCACATGTAAAAATAAATGCCCTTTTCTTAATGCTTACTTAGATTCAAATCACTCCTGCAATCAAATGAGGCCAAAAGAATTACTTGGGAAGCTGGAACAATAGTACTAATACATATCTGCATACATATTTAACATTTTCGAAATGGTGCAAACTTTCCATGAAGCTATAAAAGTTGGGACTTACCCTGAGAGGCTTTGTGCCATCTTCATCTCTGTCACGTAGCTCCACACAACAGGAAATGTTCCGAGCCTAAAGGAAACCAAGCATTCCCTTTGCCTCAATATTTTTTTTCATGAATGCCTTTCACTGAGTTAATAACAATTTCAGACTAAGCAACACCATTCATTAGTGACAAAAGACAATGAGAAAGATGGCCAGAAAGTGGGAAGGAAAGAAGGACAAATTTCTCACCTGTCCTTTTTTTTTTTTTTTTCACTTCACTTTATACATTTGTAATGATGAGACATGTCCCAAATAAAAAGTTCTAGTAAATTTTTTTTTTTTGTTTCCACAACAGGTAATACACATGATTCTGAATTTGGGACACTGAATGGAATCGATTTGAAACAGTGCTCTCTAAAATAGCCTAAAATTATTTCGAAAAGAAAAATTCCTGAAGTTTCGGAGCAGCATGGAGACTCAGAGCAATACTTGCGCCACCACTGCAAGACTTACAAAAATTTTCCTTCTCAAATTCTGTGTTTTACCTAGCTCTGATCACCTTCACGTTTTGTTTCAACTTAGATTAAATTTAAAATTATCTGTTAAATACTTCTCATGCTAGTTAAAGTCAGGAGACTACCCAATCAACATTTTGGTACAAAATCACATATATTTTTAATAAAGCCAAAAAACCAAACTGCTCGAAAACAAAACACGAGCACGCAAGCTTGTTCTCAGAAGTCATACGGCTACACCCAACCAAACTTTTTTTTCTCCGCATCTCCAGTGTGTGAAGCAGACGACGAATTTGCGTACATCGTTTGTAGCGTGATTGTTTCGCACTCATATCTCTTCCGCCCAATGTTCTGTACTTGAAGGCCGATTGGCCGGTACCACGAAGGAACGACGTTACATAGCAACGTGCCAACGTTTGTCGCAATGTTGGTCCATTGCGTCATCCAGCCCGTAATACGCTGCCATATTGAGAATGACGTGTACATGTACTTCCTGTAGTGTATGCAATTTTTTTTTTTTTTTTTCAATAAACATAATTTTTATTTTTTTGGCAGCCACAAAAATGGGGTTTGTATTCTTTTCTATTTTTAATATTGAATGCGTGCCTTAGATGATCCACGACTTTGAATATATTTGGTACCCATAGTTTAAACGCCACGTGACCACGGAAAAGAAAGTGAGCGCGACTGAAACCGACCGATTCTCGACCAGCTGTTTTTGGGAGCTGCAAATTGTGTTCTGGGTAGTTGGGCTCCTATATGTCGTGTTCAAATAAAAAAACCTCAGCGAGCATAAATATCCTGTCCCTTTAAAGGCAAACAGACTCAAACTCCCAACTCTACTTTGTTTCACCTTTCGATAGACAGACGCTGCGAGCCAACGGAACCAATCCAACGTGACCTTTGGTAAGGGCAGAGCGACGTACAAGGCGCCTGGTCACGCGACAGAGTTGCTGCTCTGGATTGGCCGAGATGGCCCGTAGCATCTGCGGGGGTTCATCGTGAGGTGAAACGGAGCACAGCAACACCACGTATTGAGCTTCGAGTTCAATAAATGTTGTTGCTAGTTGAAAGTTTGGCTATGTTCGTCCTTTCTTGAAACCTTCCTTAATGCATGATCACTCTAGTTCTTGAAAAGGCAACTTTATGCAACATTCTTAGGGCTTAAAAATAAAAAAACTAAACATCTTTAAAAAGAAAAATTGTACAGCTTTTTCACTGTGAAGATGGAGGACCAGCAAAGCTGTTAATTTTACGACGTCTAGGACGATGCCTACAGGACGACGTCTAGGACGACCTCAAAGACGAGTTCTAGGACGACCTTGAAAACGACGCCTAGAGGACAACCTCAAGGACGACCTCAAGGACGACCTCTCGGATGACGCCTACGACAACCTCGAGGACGACCTCAAGGACGATGCCTAGAGACGATAACAAGGGACGACCTCACTATCTAACAATACCAAGGAAGGCTGACTCACGCTGGTTGCCCCCCTTTTCATATTTATTTATTCATACTTGGCACGACCAATGGGGAGTTTTCTGTCAATATTCGCGGACACATTTTTTTTCCCAGATCCTAGTGCACAGCAGCTTCGCTGTAAAAATGTTCCATTTACAAGTCAAAGGTGAGAGTCACCTTGGCGAAGGTCTTCTGGCTGTCATACTTCAGGCTCCTTGGGTAGACGTACAAGTGGTTGAGGTAGGAGCAGAACGGGTGGCTGTCGGCCGCCACCTCCGTGGGGAACTGCTGGATCTCCAGGGTGGGATCCCTCTTCGGGGGGATTGGGAACGGCTCCACGGGCACCAGGGACGGCGTCAGAGAGTCTGTCGGGGTGGGCAGAATCAAAAAGGAGGCAAAAACGCAAAAAACAGCACAATTTCTCGTGCCGATCGGCGTTTCGCCCGAACAAAAATAACAAAGAACGACGAGCGAGCAGAAGTTTTAAAAAGACAAAGTCTGAGATTTTAGCTCATCCTACGCACTTCTAAAGCTTAAGTGTCAACACCTTCGACAGAACTTTGTCTGGTTGTGTCTATGGCAAAGTATGTGGAAACGAATGGCTGACGATCGGTGGCCGTGCACATTAGCGCACCACAGCTCTGTGCGTGCGGAGCAAAGCACAAATATTGCACTGTAAAATGAAATTACATTGCGGGAATAACTCCTGGGTTCTAACCCACTCCTGCCCCTTTCGATTGGGTTGAGAATGGCATAGGCTTGCGATTGTGTCAACACTATTGCATCATGAACACTGAAGACCTCAGGTTAGCAATTACACTGCATCGCCTAAATTGATTGTCTGCGGCGTGAACCAGTCTCAGCATATCTCAAGGCTAGACTGGTTGCTAATTTACCTTTTATTATTTTGGAGACTTTCCAACCTGTTCCCAATTGTTCTGTTTATTTTAAAGAGGTAGATTACAAGAGCAGTGCACTGGACAAGGTTAGTAATATTACATTAGCGATCACTGCAACAATGTTAAGCCACCAAGACCACAAGGCCAATACTTTTTTTTAATAAGAAAGAAACATATGATGCAAAACAGATTGCATAATCAGAGCATATAGCAGGCACCACAGAACAGAACCTCATCTTGTTATGCTACGTTACCCTCTCTCTCCCCAAGCCCCAGGCAAAACAAACGCGACACGTAAGTAACTAAAAACAAACGCAGGCCCATTAATGCGATTTCCCGCTAATCTGCCAACTAATCTGGAGCGATCAGGAGGCGGTACGGAAAAGCCGGCCTTCAGACAGAAAGGAATCAACGACCTTCCTGCCGGCCCGAAGCCGCCACAACAAACAGGTTTTGGAAGGGGACCGGTGCACTCACTTTCAATTTGATCCTCAGGCTTTAGAGATTTGAGGGTGACTTTAATCTGGCCTGGTATCACAGTGAAGTGCTTTGCTTTCTCTGGCCTGCAAACACAGAAAAGACAATGACAGGTAATTTGGGTGGAGAGGGTCAGCTGAGAGAAAGCACAAAAAGCTAGGGCGTTGGGGTCTTTAAAGAAATTAGGGCAGGTCTACAAACAGCTGTTATGCAAAGTGATCTACATTCTTTTTTTGTTCAGTTTCCTTCCATATGTTGCTGGATGGCAAACTACATTTAAGTAGGTAATCATTTGATGAAAAGTGCAATCAAAGATGTAATGTTCTCAGGCAATGAAAACTAATTGCAACCACCCAAGTCACTTTGATTACAATAAAACATGTTACATGCATAACATGTTTCATATCAAAATGTACACACACAAAAAAAAGCCAGACATGTCAGCAAATGCCTTCTCTTTGTCATCTACTAACAAACATGACACGAGTTTAAAAAATGTGACTAACAAACAACCTCCCCTGTCAGCTGCAAATATTAACTCTATAAACATTAATGCTAAGGCCCTTCCCTTCCTAGAGTATGGGATCAGATATTTCTCCACAAGCATTGTTGTCTAAGAGCGATAGTGAAAGCACAGGGCACGACCACTTAATTCAGCTAAAAGCCTCCACCAGGGCCAAATATGGTGAACTAATCTGGGGCAGAAAACTTCCAGTATCTGTGCCACAACGGTAAAAAAAAAGTGAACCAAACACAGTTGGTAAGCATACATACCTCCTAAGGTCAAAAAGGAACTTTAGGATGTCCTCCTCCGAGAGTTTAGCACTGTCGTGCCGGTAGATATGTCCAAAGTCTAAAGACTTGTCCAGCTCGCAGGAGAAGCGGGTGAAGATTGCTCTGAAAAGAAAAGAAAACAAGATCCTCCTTTCGGCACACTTTGCTTTTCCTGGAAAAATGGCCTTCAGCTACCCTACCTCTTTCTCAACTTTTTACCAAATAATATTTAAGTAATTTAGGGCAGGTATTTTATTTCACTTACTGTTAACTCAAGGCACCCAAAGTTAGCATATGTGAAGGGGTAACTACGATCCTCACAAATAACAATAATAATGACAGGTCCAACTATTTTACCATTTTGAATTTAGAATCTAGCTATTTTTGTAGCCTACAACAAGTTGAATGAGTTTTCACCATATAAAACCAGTTTGGTTCTCTACTGGTTCCAGCCCGGAATCTTTAAGTGGGAATTTTATCTCCTGAAACACAGTCACGGCCTAGTTTCGCGTTTTAACTGCTCGCTACCTATCACCCTGCAGCCACTGGTGTCACCTGTAACATATGGGACCACGTCCCAGGTAGCTCCACTACACCTCTGTCACATCCAGGAGCAAGTGAAATATATGCAACAAGCGCAAAAAACGAGTCCTCAGCCCAGAACATTCTAGCGAGGTTCAAAGATGCAAGATTCCACACGAAGGGAACTAACCAGCCCCCAACCGTGTTTAAACACCCCTTAAAAATACTAAAAAAAAAAAGAATTAAAAAGAAAGTATGGCACCAACGCGTACTCTTGTTGTAAGAGGTTTTAAGGCACACAGTCGTAACCACTCGCAAGTGTGTGAGTCGGCCTAGGCGGCGTCCGTCCGAAGCAAAAATGGCGCTGCGACTCACTTGGCGGCCCAGGCAAAGGGCATCCGGTAGTGGCCCAGCCTCTGGCAGCAGGTGCGCACCAACTTCTGGGCCTTGGTGCCCTGCTTGGCGTCGCCCAAGCTGCCGTGGCGCAAGTACGGCTCCGATGCTTGGGCAATGTTGCCCTGGAGCACCTTCTCGATGCGCACCACCAGGAACAGCTCGGGCTCCGGCCTCTGGACTGTGAACACCGCCTGGAATTGTGTCCCCGGCCGTTCACCACAACGTGCTCAAGCGCAGGCACTGCTCTACAGCGGGTGGGTAACAAACTCAACCCCCTTCAAATAAATCACGAAAATCAGTTACATATGTTTCGACACTCTAAGGCTGTGTTCAAAATCTTGCCTAAATAAATCCGAGTTACTCCGGCAGGTCGTGTCACGTGACAACACAGATTGAAAAGCGCTGGACGCAGGTAAGTTTTAGAATGCTCAGGTACAAAATCCTTACCCTGGAGTAAGATCGAGTAAATTTTGGAACACGGCCTAAAAGACCCTTTTCAAAACCCCTTTAAGCAACATTTCTTGGCCATGAAGCGTGTGACTGGATCCCACTCCTCGCCAAACACTGACAAAGCCATCGTTTTTTGTATGTGCTGAGTCAAGCTTGGGTTAAGTGCCGATGCTGCTCTCATGTCTAATACGTATTCACTGTAGGGTTGTGCTAATATTCGGATTTTCGAATAGTAGTATGGAATAATACACTACTCCATAGTTTCTTCGACATGAACTGCGATATTCAAACTTTACGAAGGGTTGATCGCGGTGGGTTAGCCCCATTGAGTGTGCTTCTCACTGAGCACCAGTGCACTGTGGGGAAGCAACACCCACGGAGATCACGGGCTCTGCAGGTATTGCTTCCCCACAGCGCACAGATACTCTGTGAGCACACTCAAAGGGGCTAACCCGCCGCAATCAACACTTTAAAAAGTATGAATATTGCGGTTCATCTCAAAGCGAATATCAAATAGCTTATTATTCGAAACTATCCGAAAATTTGAATATTTGCACAACCCTACAGTGCACTCATTGGGGTCAAATGGCCATGATTATGCAAGAGTGTAATGTTAGCAGCAATGTTTTGACAACCTGTATTCATCATTTGTGCCCTTATTATTTTTTTTTTCAAAGTTTGAATTTGAACGAAGAATATTCGCATATAGCAAGCAGATTTAGAAATCCCCTCAATTAGGATAAAAGCAACAAATTTGTCGTTTATGCCACAGTTTATAAACGGTTATGTTAAAATTAACTGAGCTTAGAAGTGAACAAGTAGAAGCTCAGGAACAACCTTCATGAATTCAGCACAGCTTTCGTTTAAGCATGGGGCACTAGTGAAAGGCTTCAAAAAACTACTCAATATTCGATTAGAAAATATTCGGCCATAACCAGTATTCGCATTGAATTCGTATCGAACTCAAAATCCACTATTTGCCATGACTAAATATTCAGAGTATGTGTCCAAACATTGGCGGACTCGAATAATACGTGCAGCAGCTACTACATGGCATGCACTTTTGGAAAGGGTCTATTCAGCACAAAGGTGCAGCTGGGTGGTGCATTTGTTTTTTGAAAATTTGAAAGAGCAAACTTGCCTCGGTTAAAGGTTACAAGTAAAAAACCGATTTCCTTATGAACAAAGATGGAGTCGGTGAACTACAGGTGCTAAATCTAGGTTCCCAGGAACCCAGTGTGAGAGCCGATGAAACAAGGGATGAGGTACTTTGAATTGGTTATGTATGCTACACAGCTAAAGTATGTTTTGGGACAAATGAAAGCAAACCACACAATTTCGAGCTTGTTTTGCAGTAGCAACGCAATACCTTATACCAGGTGTTCTCACACCTTTCGATGTTGAGGAACCCCTGCTGATCTCGGCATTTATAGGGTGTCCCAAACAGACCTTCTGCTGCAAAACGAGGCGGAAAAATCGGCGCCCGCAAGTAGAAAGCTTGAAATTTCACCGAATGTGCACTGAGCAGGTCAGTCTTATCGTGTGAAATTTCAAAGCTCGCCGAAGTCAAGGTATGGCACGTTCACAAATGAACGAGTTAGCGACGCTTCTTACTTGTGACGCCATCTCCTGATAGGCATAGCGAGCAGACGACGCACTCAATTTGCTTGCTGTCCCTATCAGGAGATGATGCCACTAGTAAATGGCATCGCTAAGTGAATCGTCAGCGAGCCTTGACTTTGCCAAGATTTTTGCTCTAATTTTTTATGGAAAATGAAGTGCACCTTGAAATTTCACACGGCAAAACTGACCAGCTCAGCGCACATTTGGTGAAAGTCTGGGCTTTCTATGCGCGGGCACCGATTTTTCCAGCTCTTTTTACGGCGGAAGGTCTGCTCCGGACACCCTACCGTAAAATACAGGGCAAGTGCCCACTCAAACTTTGGAGATAATCGCAAGAAAATGGGAAATGGTCGCTTGTTTGGTCATCAATTTTACACATAAATGTACTGTGCGTGTTTTCTCAGATCTTACGAATTTGGTAATGGGCGCTTAATGTGGAATGGGCGGATCCGCGGTATTCTACGGTATACTTAAAGGGGCGGTGCAATGATTTTAACACTGAACGAATGTGCAGCTTGTATTTTTTATATTCTTTACTTCGGCATAAGTAAGAGAAAAAGTGCCACCATACCCCAAAATACCTCTATTTCGCTGCGTAATCGCAAAATAAAAAATGTTTTTTTTCCCAACCTGCGGCCGTCATTCGGAGTGGTTTTTGTAAGTGATAGTGTTAGGCAATTGTAAGCTTGATTTGAGGTTAAGTTTAAAAAATCTTTTTGCTTAGGCATGCAGAAACGCTTCAAAAGCCTAATATTGCCGCTAAAAGGGTATGAATTATTTGTGGCGCCATCTACCGCAAGTCGACAAAACCTGCCGTCGCCGTCATCCGTCGACGCCTGAGGCGCCTACGGCGGCTACACGAGCAACCCGAACGTTTTGTCTTTCCCTCGCTCGACGGAGTGCGTTGGTCGTGGTCCGTAGTATCGTGGTGTCGTTATTGTTCCTGGTGTCTCGACCTCGACTTCGACTTCGACTGCCCGCCGCGTCGCAAGCATCTTGCGCTCGACGTCGCTCAGGCCGTCCGCCCATGCCGCCATGTTGGTTGGGAATCGGCGGGAGAGCGGGAGTAGCGGGAGAGCGGCGAGGGCCTGGCGAGCCGGCGATCGCTGGGGAAACGGAAGCCAGAAGAACCCAACCGGAAACCAACGCCACTCCGAATGACGTCACAGGCGAAGCTGGTGCCGCTTCAATGTTGAGTTGAGGGGTGCAAGAGATACCAATTTCTTTTATTTTTTTTAATGAAAACTAGGGCAAGCAGGAAAGAATAGTTTTCGGTCCTTCATTTTATATGTGGCCGGGATCAATTCCCGCAATTAATTAGCCAAAGTCCGTAAATTGTTGTACCGCCCCTTTAACAAAGAAGTGCAGAAGCTTAAAGACCCTGTGCACCCGAAAGCACATGCAAGAGAGTGCTTGGCACATAGTTACCCATCAAGGGGTGGCTCAGATCTGCTAAACTAGTGCATTAGCTGGAAAAAACAATTTACACAGGTGCAGGGGCGATCGATCGACTCGTGCAAAAGCCCCAACCAAAGCTCCCTTCCTTAACACAGACACCCTGCCAACCCATACCTGTTTAGGAAATGCGAGCCACTCCTCTCCCAGCTCGCTGATGCCGGGTAGTATGGGCTCGGCTGGGGGCGACGGCTGGGCTGCAGTGCCGTTGCTGGAGCCGCTGTTGCTCTTTCGTCGCATCGTCTTTGGCAGCATGTTTCTCAGGTACGCATTGTTCACGTCAAACCGGAAGTCCTCGGACACTTTGCGCATGCGACGCACGTCGTACACGGACATGGTGGTGATGTAGGGCTCCACCTGTGTGACGCAAGGTACTCAAATTTATGTCACTTGAAAAAACACTGTAAAGCAACACTTCATACACAAAAATTACAGATAGTTGTATACACGGTGCTGCCAGCACTGTAGAGAAATATTCATCTAATAAACATATGTGACAGCTCCTTGGGCATGAATTAGAGAAGCACCCAGATGATTTCCTTTATTTTTCAGTGCTGGCTATTTGCGACCACACAAAGATTCTAGCGTAGCTGAAGGTTATTAACTGAATGAAATCGCATTTTATTATAACTGTGAATGTTCTAAATAAAGGGTGACAGATTCACTTCAGCTGTTTCCCACATAATCTATTTCCAAACCTAAGCAGAACCTTTTGAACAAATAAACTGGCCGGTTAAATTTAAAGCCAAACGTCACTTTCATTCTCTTTCTAGCAACGTGTAATGGCCAAACCAAACATGAGTGGCAATCCACTGAAAAGCAGTAAACTTCAAATAAAGGCCATTCAGAAGGCCTACCTGCACTCGGCAATTTCAGTTTTGCAAAATAGATGCTGTCTTTAAACTATTGTAATATCCTATAAGGATGCCCTCCCCTGGGAGATTGGCCACCCTTTTTTGCGACTAATATCTAGCAAAAATTTCAAAACATTGCCCCCCCCCACCCCCCGATTCCCGTTGGACATTGCATGATGTCAGACGGGAATAGGGGGGCAGCGGCGGGGGGGGGGGGGGGATGCGATGTCACGCGATGTTTAACGGGAATCGCATCAACCGCACAATCTGCGGTACCGATATGTCTGTCAAGCGAGTTCCTAGCCGGTTCCCGTGTTTTCGTTCGCGATATCGGGTCCCGCAACATGTGAGTTGTTCCCTAGTGCTATTGCATCGTGAAAAGCGATTCTGCTGCGTCCGCAATCTGCGGTATTCGTTCCCGTGACATGCAAGTTTGTAGCCGATTGTGGCATTTTTGTTTACAATCTGCGCGCGCAATATCGGTTCCAATGGCAGGCAAGTTTGTAGCAGGTTCCCACACGTTTGTTGCAAAATAAGACTTGAATCAGCTGTGTCCGCGATCTGTGGTATCTGTTCCCGTGAGATGCAAGTTTTCAACGGGTTCCAGTGAGTCCTTCACATTGTGAAACGCGAATCTGTTGCGTCCGCAACCTGCAGTATCCTTTCCTGTGAAACAAGAGTTTGTAATGAATCCCCGCGTGTTTATCACATCGTAAAACACTAATTTGCCGTGTCTGCGATGTGCGGTATTAGTTCCCATGCCACATGACTTGTAGCGGGTGCCCTGGTGTTCACCATTCATTTTTTATAAAGTTTTAGTTTTACTGTCGCATCCCCAAAGACAACCCACCCCATGTTTTTCACCATTTATCTTTTTATTTCGGGTGGTCATTCTTACGGGATTTTAAAGTTATAACAACAAAAGCAGTACTGTTCATAGTATACTAGCATACTTCACTCCCTAGAAATCTTACTTAAAAGTACAGTATGATATATAAAAACTGGTTTAGAATATGCCTCGTTCTGCGAGAACCATACTGTTTTACTACTGTGGATGTTTTAGAATGTCAGCCGATTAGAAATACTGCTCAAGAATTTCAGACTTTGCTCCTACCTGGCATAGAGAACCCTTCTCGCAGTCCAGGGGAGCTTGTAACTTGAACCTGACTTCTTCACACCTCACAAACAGCCGTGTGTTGAATTCCTCCTTGTAAGGCTCCACGCTCCTCTCGTAGTTGGTGACCTGATTACAACTGCTCGACTTCTGCAAGTGAGCACCCAGGGTAAGGGGTATGAAGCACTTCAACCCAAGACCTTGATATCAATGGGCATAGTAGAACTAAGACGTAACGTGAATGTACCAACTAACACCAACTACAAAAGAAAATAAAAAACTTCTAGTAGGAGTATACTTTATAACAGAAGTTACAGTGGCTTGAAAGGAACCTCCTGCAAATGTCAGTGCAGCAGATGACGTTTTGCTTAGAAACTTAGCTTCCTTGGGGCAAAGAATAAACCTAGTCACTCGGCAATAATGTTGCTTGCCACTCTGAGACTTTCAGAAAGTTGTTTTCAAGAACTTCCAACAGCTTCAACCACCTTTGTGCTTTGTTTCGAGTTAAAGTGAATACCGTAAACGACTCCATTTTCGCAAGGACCTAATTTTTGCACATTTCATGACTTTAATAGGTAATATCGCAAAACGTTTGCACGAATAAATCACCCCATGCTACTAAATTCAGTCGCCAACCGATTTTTCGGACTTCGCAGGGACCGAAGAAACGTCCTAATGAGAAAGCAGTCCGAAAAATCAGAAGATTAAAAGCCTGCCTTTATTGTGTCTAGGTGGGCTTAAAAATGCCGTCAATAGTGCCTTGACCCAGGTTACGCCTGCACACCTTGCTTCAGGATACGCCTGCGCGTCTTGCTTCAGGTTACGCCTCCGCTTGCATTATGCCACTTTCTTTTAGCTTGTGAATCACAGCCTCCTTTTCCAGCGTTATTTGAAACTTTTACGACCTATAGGGGGCACACTGGTGCCTACCAAAATGGCTGTCATCTGGATGATCGTCGTAGAACAACGGTATGAGGTTGGGTCTGCGACGCCTCAGTAATTCTAGTTTTGCTATATACGAGCAGTATTAGAGCCGTACGTTCTTTTTTCACGTCAGGAAGGTGTAGGCAAGCCCTTTTATTATGAGGCCAATCATCAAGGAGCTAAGGAGCGCGATTCTCAAACCACGGTACCACCATCGCTGAAAGTTGCGAATGGTCGAGTACTTTCCACGCTTCTTAGCAACAGTTCGTGGCAGCGGAAGAACAGATGGGACTATGACGTCCAAACCAGCGTAGACCAAAAACATGATTCACCGAGACGAGATGAGATACGCAATTCCACGGCTTCAGCAGAGCAGAATGTCGAATGAACAAAGCGAAAACAGTGTATGAATCTATGCAGGGAGGAATGAAACAGTGATTCAACGAGCGCTTCCTTGACGGCTTACCTGCAAGTCTGGATAGATTGAGAATAGATTCTGCCTGTTCTGTTTCCGTGCCTGGGCTATCGAGTAGTCGGTTTCTCTGGCGTACTGGAAACAAATATTGGCGTTTCACAATTTCCCTGGTATGTACATGTACTACAACCGTGACAGGAACTTAGGACGCTCACCTTTACAAGGTCAGGGTTCTTGCTGTGTTCCAGACTTTTGAGAGTCCCGTATCCATAGGGAGATGGAGGCAATGGAATGATGTTCTCTGCAAACAAATATTGGTGTGAACCCAAGAATTCACAAAACTCAGGCAAGATGCATAGAGCAGTCACAAGCCTAACCTGGAAGGAACCTAACCGCACAAGTCCAACCCTTCTACAGTAGTGTATGCTGATGCAAAACAAACTTACTATGTAAACACATTGAGAGTAACGGATTCATTTACTGTGTTGCTGTATCCCACCACAGATGTTAAGAGCAGAAAAAAAAAATGCAGTTCATTTGTTCATTTTAGCAGTGCCTTTAACACTGAGATAACTAAAAAGTTAATATAAAGTCTACAATGAGTATTGTTGTTGCATTTTACTTCAGGGCATTTTAGGTGCATTAAAAGAAGGACTAACTCAAAACAGGCCCGATACTCCGTTTGCAGCCGATAGTGAAACCAGCTCACCCGCATTCTTCCTTTAGTTTTCGAGACACCCATTCCAAACACCCAAACGACTCGCTAAATTTTAAAAAGCTTTACAGACTCATAGCTACTGAAATATTTGGTGGCAGTGTAGTAACTCTTCCTGACCAATGCACTTGTGTTCGACGGCAGAGTTTGTACCGTATTTTTCGGTTTGTAAGCCGCACCCCCCACAAGCGTCCGTTCTCACAAAAAAGTCAGCAGACAAGTCGCACTTATATTCATCAACGGTCAGTACGGCAAAACTGCATTGATAAGCCCGCGTATGTGCGTTGTAATTGTGATACATGGGGAAGCGAGAACCAGTTTTGGCTTTCTCACAAATTAAACAAATGAGAAATATAACCCTTATGGCAAATTTGTGCAGTTTAAGTTTCTGCTTAGAGAAAATAAGTTATACAAAGGCTGGTTCACACACTTGCGACTGTTTACGACCGGAGTGGTTCAAAACCAGTTTTAGGTCTCTCGTAACCGCTTACGATTGACTGCAGTGGTGCACAGCCGGTCGTAAGCAGACAGAAAAGGCTTAAAAACCAGCCGCGTCGCAGTCGGTCCTAGTCAAACGCAAGTGTATGAACCAGCCTTAAAGGAGAGCTGAAGCTCTTTTCAAGGAATCTGAGTTAGAAGCGGACGTCTATAGCTTTTTGTCCCGTGAATTTGGTTACCCCACTTATCTCGGGCAGAAGTAAGCGTAAACCCCATTTATTTAAAAAAATATGCGCAGCGATTGCCGCCGGGCATGCGGCGATCCTCTCTGCCGCCTGCTATCCATCCAGAGTGTCGTGATGTCATTGTTGGCAACCCCCAGCCTGCTTAGTGGGGAGCAAGGGTCCTCTGATACCGCCGACGACGTCCCTTTTGCTACTTTTGCTCTCCGCTCTCGCGCTTTCCTGCCCTCGGCATGCCGCAACGGGCAAGTCTACGTCGAAATTTGAATTGGCTATCACGACGCTCCTACTAATAACATCGAAAGAAAACTTAAGGCATAATTTTTAAAATGCCGCGATTACAACTTTACAGTTTGTTTGAATTCAAGTGCCTCTTCAGCTTCCCTTTAAGATGCGCCGACAACAGTTACGAGAAAAAAAGTCGCAACCTCTACAACTGTCATTGCCTCCTCGGGAGAGCTTCTGGAAGGAGGAGGTTACCTTCTGGGGAGACGAGCGGCTTCTTGCTGCTCTCCAGGGCGTTCCTGTAGTTGGTGGTGATGGCCACCAGCATGGCCATCCATCCGTCCATCTCCACCTCGCTCTCCGCCGCCAGCACGCACGACTTGTGGCCGTCTTGCATCCGCAGCTCAAAGCTCAGCTTGCTCCGCTTGGAGTTCTACGCAAGGAAAAAAAAGAAAGCGAGTGAAAAGAACTGCAGGTACGGGAACTCCCAGATGTCTTCCTATTATTATTCCAAGGTTCCAAGGTTAACTGCTCACTTTAAGCATCAGATTGTCTGAAATGTATAAACTGAACTGAGTGCTACATGCAGAAAAAGAAAAGCTTTATATCAATCTTGGTTATGTACCAAATTAGCCACTTTGTGGTTAGGTATTATACGAAAGGGCACATAAAACATTGCATAGAAAGAGCATATTCTAAAACTTTGTTCACAAAAACATGGAAAATACATTTCTTAGGACAGATGGAGATGGACCAAAGTGCACTTGCTAGTGTCTGGCAAGCGCACTTTGGTAAAACCAACTTAGTTTGATTGCACGATGTTAGAAGAAAAAAAATCTCGAAGCAGATTTTTAATACAAAAAGGTTGATGTTTTAAGACAAGAACCCAATTCAAGCTCATCCCATGACTATGTTGTGGTGGCACATACTGAATTCTCCATTTATGTTTAAGATCTGAAGCAAAACAATTTGTTGGCCTAGTTGGTTAAACATCACGAAAATAGAAAGCGCGTGAGACAAGGACAAGTGGAAGACTGCACAGGACGAGCGCTTACTCTCAACTGACGTTTTAATTCGGGAGAAGACAAAGATGAAGACATAAAAAACCCTAATGTTAAAAGCGACAAATATTTCATTATTTTATCTTTCATTCTCAGTCTCTTCAAATCATTTGGCTCCTTTCAAAAAAGTGTTTGTCGCTTTTAAAGTTAGGTTTTCTTTACGTCTTCACCTTTGGCCTCTCCTGGTGCCAGTAGAGAGTAAGCACTCGACCTGTGGTCTTCCACTTGTCCTTGTCTTTCGCGCTTTCTATTTTCGTTATGTTTAAGATCTCTGTAAAACAAACTTTTCAAGTCTCAAGAACAACAGAGATGCAAAAATGAGATGTCTGACACAGCTGCAAGAAAAAGCGAGCTTAGATATTATGCTGAACTCACCCGCACGACCTTGCTGCAGAAGTCCATGCAAATGGTCCCTTTTGAGTCTGACCTCTTGTCGTCCTTGAAAAATTCTAAAATGTGAGTACCGTCCACCTCTCGCCTCAGTGTCAAGTAGCGCCTCTTGAACGACTGGAAGGAGATGCGACAACCCGTCGTTACTTCGTTGACAAATTGTCGCAACACAGACTGCCTTTCACTAGATTCTGCTCTCTCTCTACAAGGCTGTGTGAAGACCAGCAGATAGCCCAACATTGCTTTATACAAATTTTCCCAGCATCAGTCGAGAGAAAAATATAAATATAATAGCAGCATCCAAAAAAAAAAAAGATCAGTGAAAATAGTGTGATTATCAAAACATCTCAAAATAAGAACAGAAAAAAGAACAGATGCATACAAATGCTAAACCATTGCATCCAGCGAATATAGTATTTTCCTGCCTAATTTGTACTCTTCCGAGAATTGCGAGGAATTATTGCGATTACAGTCAGATCGCCTGTGAGTACAATAAGAAAATACTAAAAGATCAAGTCAAAAAACAAAACTGAATCCCTCTTAAATACCAGGCAGATGTATATAAGTTTTTTCAGTCACTAATACACAGCAGTACCTTTGTGGCCAAACTGATGAAGCTGTCTGTCCCAGACTCGGGCCCCTTGAGAATGTACCCTTCCTTGATGATTTCGGAGTCACCCTTAGTGTTGTTGTCCTGAAAAAGTAAGTAATAAAATAAAAGCGATTGAGCCTTCCAAGATGTCTCCAACCAGAAGGGAAAAAGTGAAGAAAAAGAAAATGAATCGGACATGAAAGAAGGCCAAGGAAGCGAGATGTCTGTTTGTCAGGCACGGTGACGTACCGAATCTTTAACTTCCGTTTCTGTATCCACCTCATAGACCTGATCCTGCAGGTCAGTGGGTCTTGGTAACCTGCACATCCAAAAATGCATGTCTCAAGTCATCAAGACGACGTAAGTCGGCCAAAAACACAATCAAGGCTAGTGGGAGTGAACCTATTTGGATATTAGGCACAACATATCCTCGGAAGCACGTGTTACAGATAGACTGGCAGTAAAAATGTAGATAGCTTTCACTGTTAATTTTGGTCTAAAATGAACATATGCTTTCCAGCATTTATTTATTTCTTAAAGAGTGGCACATTCAATGGTTTCCCAAACACAAAAATCCTACTCGGCAACAATCAGTCAAGATTAGTCACTTAATGGCGTAAGAGCAAACTTAAATCATTAGGTAGAAAGAGTCTTCCTTTACAAAATGAGGCACACTTTCACTCCCCACACTGCTTTGGATCGTACTTCCTTTCAAGCAGTTGTAAAAATTGTTGATTTTTACAACTGTATCGAAAAGCATTGCTGTTTGGATCAAATAGGTGCAGTAGACGAGCAAACGATAGCAAATACAATGTGTGGTCTGCAAAAACAAAAAAGAAAAGTTAATTAAGGGGGAATGATTATTTGAATTATTTATGTCTTCCAGTGTATAAGTCGCAGCTTTTTTTAAATTTCCATCGGTGCATTTTATAGGCCTTTCCAGCGGCAGTCTCGAGCAAAGCGATTTACAGCGCTCGCCCGTGGTTTTCAGAGTGTACGTCGGTTTTGCCCGACTGCGCCGGGCTGTGGGTTTTCTCGTTAGTGGGCTGTGGCAGCCTGCATAGGCGCAATTCCAGATGTTAATGGTGAACAAATTACTGTTTTATTGTTTATTTTGTGTGTTCTGGCAAACAGAATTTCTTGAAGCTTTTAAGAAAGCATTGTACAATTTTTTCGGAAAAAAAAAAACAAAAAACAAATAAAAGCTATTTTTGGTGAGACCATGCACGACAGAAGAAATTCATATGCAACTGCAATGCTCCTTTTATTTGATAAATATTTCTCACGATGCCATACACTCAGCCATGTCAATCTACAAATATCTTAACTGTCAAAAATACATGACCAAACAATATGGCCAAAGGCACGGGTACTCACCGCTTACAACATAAAATTGAATAGCTCTCATTAATAGAACAACATATTGTATGTACCCCACGATGCCGTGTCGTCCGAGCAGGGCTTATTTGAGAAAAACCTCAAATGACACAGCATATCCAATTCACAGTGTCGATGGCAGTCACTTCACGAGGATCGGAGAGAATCCGGACTTCTTTTAGGGAACGCTTTAAGAACAGCTTGCTTTTAGCACAACACTGACGCAAAAGAACAGACAAGTCCATTCTGGCCCCTAACTGCATTCGATCAGCTATTTTTTGCAAAGACGACAAAGGGTTCCTGGAGATTATCTCAGCAAAGAAAATCCTCAAAGAACATCAAGCAGCCCGCGACTGTCGACGTTCGCTTTTTTCGTTCATTTCCCGTGAAGGCCACAAACTTGGTTCCCCAAGAGGAAGGTAACACAAAAAGGGTAAGGATCCTGAATAGTCAAATAAAATAAAAACTTTCAAGGCCAGCAAACTCTGGATACAACACAGGTGGACTGCTGTGCCTTTCCACAGTCCAGGCGGGTGGTAGCAATTTCTGGCTGATACGAGTTGTAACAGTTGCAAAATGGCGGCAGCCAGAGAGCTCTCTTTGGAAAGGTCTTTACAACGGTGTGACTTATATGCATTTCTTTTCTTTAAGTATGAATGTTACCTGAGCAAATTTGCCACAGGGGTTATACTTTTCAATCAATTCGTTCACAAGAATGTTCACACTGGCTCCCACTTGGCCATATACCGGGATCACAATAGACATATGCAGGCTTATCAATGTAGTTTCATTGTGCCGAACGTACAAATATATAAGTGCGACTTCTACAGAAGTGTGATTTATGTGCCATCATTTTTGTGAAAATGCCCATTTATAGGGGGGCGCAACTCAAAAACCAGAAAATATGGCACTACCGTAAAATACCGGGGAAGTGCATATCACACTTTCACTGAAAACTGGATTAATCTAGATATGGGTGCTTGTCTGGACAAATCAGGTGCTTAACGTATAACTTGCAGAATTACCAAGTTTGGAACATGTCAATAGTGGGCACTTGAACAAAGTGGGCGCTTCGGCAGTACCTTACGGTAAGCAAAAAGAGAATAATGCGTCACATAGAATGCATCGATGACTCACCTAAGCAACTCCTTATAGGTTCCGGAGTAGGCACTGAACCTGTACACGACTGTGTGCCAGTCGGCAGTGTAGGTCTTGATGCACTGGCGCACAAACAATGGCAGGGAGTCAAAGCACATGTTGGACGGTATTGTTGGCACTGTGGTTCGGTTGGCACGAGGAATGACCTCTTGCTGCAGTTTCAGAAGAGAACGGGGACAAAAATTCATTGGCATAAGCGAAATGAGAGAATGAAATTACTTAGGTGCCAAACAAAATACAATAACTGACGTCCTTAAACAAAAGAAGATAGGTGACTACAGGTTCATTCATGTCTGTATGTGTTACCACGTTCGTTCTGCAGCTCACTTATTGAGACATGCTTCTTCAACCTCAGACTAAACAAATACAGAGAGCAGAGTGTTCGTTGCTGAAGTGCTGAAAAACTGCTAAAGCAATTTTTTGTTCTTGTTTTGCAAGGAACAGAAAACATAGAACTAGTTAGTGTTTTTGAAGTCCTGAGTTGTGGTTAACACAACCTGTATTCGTTAACATTTATGTATCAAATTTTGCTGCAAGCACATCCCAGTTTGGATTGAATGCCTTTCTAATCTAGTCTAATTATAAGTAAAAAATACCTTCCTATTGTTTGCCAGATATCAGACAGAAAAGTTAGTTTCTGTTATTGCCCAAAACCAGCAGTGGACCTCAAACAGAGCAACATGCACAACTTGTTATTGGAACTAGCCCTACCAGCTCCAACATGTCAATTTCATGTGCCTAAAATTTAAAATAAAAAATTATAAAGCTTGATTATGCTGACAAGGACAGATAAGCACAGAATATGCGATAGGCCTTTCAGGGAAGAAGAGAAGGGCATATAAACGGCACCGCCAACCAAAGATTGGATCTCGTTGTTGACACACGCCATGAGGCTCAGCATGACAGGAAAGGCTGCGAAGCGCGCAACCGTGCCCTTGTGCTCCGCGCAAATGACATGGCCTTTGCATGCTCTGAGGGACTGAACTCCTCTTATATGGTTCCCTATGGGCACAAGACTTTTCGGTGTCAGTTTTTCGTTAAAACAAACTGTTACAGTCAAACGTTACAGAACTCCATAAAAATCGGCTGATAAAACACATTTTGTACTAAAACAGAAAATAACCACTGGCACATTACTGAGCGCTCATGTCGCTGACACTGTCGCGCAATCTACCGATCCCTAAAGTCTAATTAGACTAAGTAACAAAACTAAACAACAACAAAGTATGCAAGCCTCAATCTTGTCACAAAAAAAACAGTTAGCTCGAAAGACAAAGGACAAGTAGAAGACTGGACAGAACAAGCATTAAAGTCCAGCCTTCTACTTGTCCTTTTCCTTTCAGGCTAACTGTTTCTGTGATGTTTAACCAACCAGCACATCAACTTACGACCGCTCTCAAAACCGATTCCTTTAATTACACAGCCCACCGACAGCGTTCGACCAGCCGGCCCACGAATGGCGGGGACAATGCCACTTGCATCACGAGGAAGTGAAGAAGAGCAGCACGACCTCATTGATCAGAGAGCAAGATACAAGCTCTCCAAACGCTTCTGTCCCAGAGCCATAAGGAAGCTGGGGCAAGGTTGATCTGATTATTGTCACACGGCAGCTCCTCTTGCGAGCAAGGTAAGCACGTACACCCGTAAGAGTTTACTGGACCGCTCCGGACCTCTCCGAGCCATTGTGCAACGGCACCAAGAGAAACGGAGCTGAGTTATCGAGCGGCAATATTGAGCCGCGCTTCAGTGTGTGCAAGGCGTTCTCGTCGTTTCAAGGTGCACGGAGATTGTGCGAGACCCTGCCCCAATTGCCGACAGCCGTGTCCGTTTACAGAAATTGTGCCAATCCTATTTAATCGTGCCTTCAGAGTGCAAATGCGCAAGCTCCTTGAAATGTTTTCGAAGTTTGCTGGAGGTTTCGCTCGAATAAATGAAAAGTATCTGGCATCCTCCACGCATGTAAAAACCCGAGAAACCAGCGAGCTGGCTGTACTACAATAAATAAAAAAATGTCTGAAAAGCAATTTATTATTTCAGTAAAATAAGTTTCGAATAAGGCACATGAATTTATAAAGCATAATATGTCTCTCCAAGCCTTCTATAAGCTCAGGTTTCACAGAGGAACATTAACGCTGGTTATTTAACCAGTACACTAATAGTTACTAACACTTCCCTTCCGCATATCATTGAGTCTCAATCACCAACACAAAATGGGCATACCTTCGTATAGAACTTTTTATGGTTCATTGGTGACCCCAAGCCATGGTATCATAGAACCACATTTCGGTGTTTGTGGTATTCACATTTGATAACCTTGTTTTTAAAAAAATGGCTTAAAAAAAAACATTGACGACTGGCACACACAAAAAGAATTGTTAAATAGCAGAATAAAGTAACTCTCCTTGCCAACATAAGGTAGCTTATAAAAAAAAAAAAAATATTAACATTCTATACAGAAGAAGCAACACGAAACCAGTGTAACATCTAGCACAACCATTCCATCTGAGCAACATATTTCAATGTGTGCAAAAGTTTGATATCCGCTCACCGAGATGTCATCCATGGGGAAGAACAACATTTCCCGCTGAGGGTCATTTTGGAGGATTGTTTTGTTCTTGGAGACAAAGAGTTCATAGTCCAGCGGTTCTACAAGGTGGTGCCGCACCTGGAAAGAGAGAGAAAAAAGCTTGTGTCAGCACAATAGAACTTAAAGCACTGCTCCTCCCTATGATTTAGAGCTTGCATCAAGTACCATTCAATAGAAAAGCCATAACAACTGAGAAGAAACCCTAAGCACAAGCAGGCTCGTGACAGTTAAGCATACTGACAATACTTGAGGCTGTGAGCTGCTCCAGAGACAGAATCAACCTTCAGGAACACCCTGCTTGACTCCCTCAACTTGGACATGACTCAAATACATCCAGCTAAATAATGCTGATATTGATTTCCTAGATTCGCTTGAAACATTTAAAAAGATCATTACATAAAAGCTGGCAGTAGGAATGTGGACAAGTGCTCTCTTCCTCACATGATCACTCAATTGCCATGTCCTTGTGACTTCCTGGAGATGTGTTCAGTGACATAAGTGGCTACTGGCTGCAGTTTCTTTTCCTTAGTTTGCTACCTCTGCAGCTGTATCACCCCCTTTATAAGATCTTCTGTTCAACCCCTTACCATCCTAGACTGAACTATCTATCCCCAAGAGGTTGTCCAGCATTTGTTGTTTTCCAAAAATAAATTTTATCAACAGCATTAAATGCAACAAAACCTGGGACCGTCCATTCATGAAAGAAAACAACAGTTGAGGAGGACAGAGATTCTTTAATAGCATTAATGCTTTTCATTAAGCTTGGCTGGCACAATAAATATTTGATTCTGAAGCTGAAACCAGCTTGGTCTTGGTGCCCAAGACAAAGCTAACTTGAGCTTGAGTATCTGATGAATAATTTTAGGAAGCCTCTTGGTCATAAAAGATGCGCATGAACCCACAAAATATGTTGCACCTGCCTAGGAAGAACTGCCTCGCTTAGTGTACTGTAAAGTTGTTAAATCATAGACATTACAAACAGAAACAAAGCTGTTTACACTCAGACATACCATGATCCAACTGTGAAAAGAACATCAAAAATCACAGAAACTGTCCCGATGGGAAAACGCTGTAACTGCACCAGTGTGAACCCAAAACTACAGGATGCTATCATAACTTAATGAGAGAAGACCAACAGGCTCTCATAACACATGACAGAAAGAATGTTCAGAACTTCTACAACTCATTTATTATTAATGTTCCAAAATGTTTAAAATAAGTTATGAATTTTTTTTTTTTTTGTAAGTGGCACAATGAGTTGACCTACGACTCTAACGCCCAATTAGGAGATGTTCGCATACATATAAAGACCGATCCCACCGTAAAGGCACGAAGTAAATACAAAATTGAAAACAAAAAGAAAAAGTAAAAAGCTCATTGGAGAGTAAGGAGAGGCACAGCCAGTGGAGCAAGTCTTCGTTCCATTTATAACCTGTTTCCTCAAGCAGTCAAAGCAAACAGACACAAAAGCCGCTATTCGCAATTTTAAAAGCCGTAAAGAAATGGCCGACAGTAAAGCAAAAATGTGCAGGAAGCAGGCTTTTGTTGGCTGTTGTTGCCTTTGCTCTTTGGAGAGCCCTACTGGACTGCTTGACAGGTTCACCGTAGGGAGTCAGATGCTCAATGGCCATGAAATTCTACGCCTTTGAATCAACGCAACTGACCTGTGATCTGGCAGCGTATACTTCCTGAATATCAAGGGCTAGGCCATATCTGCCAACGGTGTATTACTGAAAGCATCCTCAGAGCTACAGCTGTCGGTGAAAAGAATGCAGACTGACTGGCATGTTCAGAACAAAAGCTGTAGTTATCTCTCCTTAGGGCCAGGGATGCCCTGATCAGGTCAGTCAGAGCAAGAATATCTGTTGAAATCTTCTTGCTAATGTTGTATATTAAGCAGGGTGGAGGATATAAATCAAGATGATTTAAATCATGATTTAAACCTGTAAAAATAATTCTGAAAATAATTTTTATTTAACATTGTCTATCATTTGATGTTCTCTATGCGGATTTGTTTTTTATTAAAATGAAAAAAATGTCAAGCAAGAAAGAGCTATATTAGGCTGAACAAATGAAAATTCATTGCTATACTGGTCAAATTGCATCACTAAGCTTCCACTTTCCACTTCATTTGTCAGTTGCACATCCGTCCAATTGCAAGCAGATCAGAATGTGAAAGGAAAAAAATCTAGAAAGGTAATGTCTTACTGCAAGCAAATCAAAATGTGAAGAAAAAAAAAAGCAATGAAGGCTTTTTGGCTTACTAAAAATCAAGCTGTTTTTTTCTTTTTCTAGTATGGCTGGGGTTAAACCAATAAAAAGTTGTTAATTAAACTGTACTTTAAATTATAGTAATGTTTTTTTTCGCAATGTTATCGGTGATTAGAGGGATTTATCAATCAATCTACTGTGTTTAAAAATATGCGCAGCGATAAAGAGCCACTAATACCTAGCTAAAGGTATTTAAATTTAAAAAAATCTGATTTACTTGACGTTTTCAAAGGAACTTATAATTTTTTAGTTCATAATTTTTAACTTATAACTTATATTATAAAGTGTTAACTTATAATTTTTAGTTAACACTTTATAATTTCAGAAATTAAGCAATATCACTGAATGCACTGCAGTTACACTGCCTTCCAATTACTTGCTTCGAAAACCAATATGCATAATGATTACAAAGGCAACAACTTGAATGAAACAACCAATATCAAGAATTATAGTCAAAACATTTGCACCTTCCCCTTTCCCCTGTTATAGACCAACACGCGGCCCTGACGTCACGCAGCTGCGGTGGCGCTGTCGACGGCACTGCGCGTGCGCAGACGTTTCACTCCTCCCGAATTCGGTTTCTGCGCACGTGCGGTGCCCACACCTGGTGTGGGCAAACGCGGGCTTGTTTGTAAACAGCGTGTCGGTCTATATGCAAATGAGTACTAAGCAAACAAAATTTGGGGTCACAAAAAAATGGGGCTGTAAAAAGAACTTTAAAAATAACTTTTTTGTTCCCTATGCTTTAAAAGGGATCTTCCTGTTTTCTGATAAGTAAAATAGTTTTGCATGGTCCGTGGAAGTCCCTCTCGGGAATCTACCATACCCTGGCCCAGACTTCGCTGATTCCATCCGTTACAAGATAACTGGCCCATAGCATTCCCCAGGATGACGCAAACTTCAATAAATACAGAAGCATAGCCTAGGAGTTCACACATCAAAAAAAGGGTTCGGGGGAATATCAGGGGTGTAGCAGATCAAGCTCTTAGCAGACTGCTGCTCTCCCTCCAAAGCTCCTTCAAAGTACCCAACAAGTGAGCGCAACATAAAATGTAAACATTCTTTGTTTGACTTTTCGTGGAAACCCCTCATAGTACAAGCAGCAATGTATCACCAAACCAAAGCAGCTCCAAATGTGCTTTAGCATACCGGGAAACTCGCCGAAACAGTGAATGAACCCTCTGGCTTGACCCAAAACAATGTATGACTCGACCACATCAGAGGCTCGAGAAACCAACATTCACCTCAGCCTGAATCCATTTGCAAACATCAGACAGCAGTTTCCAATTTAGCTGCACTAGAAAACATGGAATGGCCAACAAAATGCTGAAGCTCACCGCCATCAGGAAGGGAAAGCTCTTTCTGCCAGCCTCGTGCTTCGTATCGCCGACATGCCAGGAAAAGCAACGTCCCGACACTTTATAACTCCAAAGGCACGTGTACTTGCAAAGGACCACGGGGGACTCCATGACGGAGAGCGTGAGAGCACCAAGACTCACACCGAGGAGTCACCACACTCAAAGCGTGGCGCACCTCGCAGCAATCCCTCCCGGCACCTCCGGCCTCTTAGCAGCGAGTCCAGAACGGATGTCTGGTGCAAACAGCCCTCGCCGAGCAAACAGCCCGAAAAGCAGCAGCTGCCGCAAAACACCTCGCCCTTGTATACAGTTACCGTTCCCCGACCTTCGCATCCGAGAGGAGCAGCCAATCTTGGATGAGCAACCGAGAGCCTGTTTTCCTTCGGAAACGAACGGCCGAGAAGTAAGCTAAGATTAAAAAGACATGCCCTGCCTCCCCTCCACCGTAACCGTCTGTGAGCGTTGGCTTCCGTCAACATTTAGTGTGGCCTGTTTTTTCCACCTCCCCCCCCACCACCTACGCTACATTCACAAATGATGCGTGGCAGCCTTTCGGCGGCATTAATGACAGGACCAGCAAAAATATATGTGTGTTTTAAAAAAAGTTCAACCCTTCGTGGGGTGGAACGTGGTGAGCGGCGGAATCCCACTTGTTTGTACAATCTGCCTGCTGCAAAAAAACAAACAAAAGAAAACGCCAGTGTTGACAGTAGAGGGAGGAGTGCCTGCTAAACATCTCTGGTGAACTCAAGCCCCAATGTTTTGCCGAGGGGGATCCTGTTTGGACTGTGCCAGCTTTAAGCGAGACCATATGCTAAGGAGAAGGGGAAATTGGCAGATTAGCCAGAAAAATGTTGTTTAAGGCTGCGAAGCAACAATGTACTATTGATGCTGGACATGTGGCGTACAAGTTATTCTGAGCAAATAAAAAAATGCTTATAATGAAAGAAAGTTTGTGTGGCATAAGAAATGTTATTCTTACGCTTCTGCATACTTCACAACATGCAAAGAATGGCCACAGCTTGTTTTGCGTGGGTTCTCACAAGATCAATGTAAACTGCACCAGTTTCGCCTCATGTAACTAGTCTCTACAATGCAAGCTCTGGTGTAACTTAAAAATATACGCCGCTTTCAAGATGACCCTACTGTTCCATTTCTTGGCTCACGAAGGCTTGGATCGAGAAAACATAGAAAGAGCAACGATACTTGAGCACATCTCAGAAAGAGTATCCAAACTGCCGCGGTTTACGCAAACATTGCTCTCACTCTTTTGTCACACAATGGTACCTTCTCAAGATCATTCATTACATCCAAAAAAGGGCAAAACAAAGTTATAGGAACAAGAACGACTCTTCGCTTAGCCAACCATTAGTCCACCAGCGTAAACAGCCATACCGTCAAAGAATGCCTTATATATAACAAAAGATGAATCGCCGTGCACTCCCGCCA